GATCGTTCTTGGACGTCCAAAGACGATGGAAAGCGTTTTGAACACTGGCCGTCCAAGAGGCGCATGGTGCATCTTCGGCCACTTTATTGCATTGTACACAAAGATCAACTCGATACAGTAGGAAAGATGAAACAGTCGAACTGTATCTACGCATCTCTCTGAGCTCCATTGCTATGCTGAAGTGAAATCTGCGCCGCCGAGACACGTTCACCTTCTTGGCAGCGTCTGTTTACGTGTTTGTGTGTTTCTTCTATTCTTTGTGGCAGCGTCTTGCATGATGTACAATCGACAGATGCTAGTTCTAGCTATAAGCGATCACATTCCATTGCGACAACAACAACGAGCTCAGATGCGGCGAAAACGAAAGTCGTTCTTCTCCGATGGAAGGTCTATTCGATTCAGTATCGCAAGCGACGTTTCGAATGTAAACCTATCGATTGATAAAGAACAAACATGTCGAAATGATGCATTTTAGCTTGAGGTACGTGTTCAGCAGTCCTGGCACGTGCTGCTTCGAAGGTAATCCCACTTTACTGAATACGTGTCGCAGGACAGCTGTAAATGTGCGAGTGTGGCCAGGAATGGTAGCAGTCAGTCGTTGAAGTTGGAAAAGATGCAGTTGCGGATGTGAAGCGAGTGTCGAGCATGCAATGAGGAGCGTCCCCGTGGCCCAATGGATAAGGCATCCGCCTACGAAGCGGGAGATTGCGGGTTCGAGTCCCGTCGGAGACTGTCTTTGACTGGTCGCTCCTTTGCGATCGTTCTTGGACGCCCAAAGACGATGGAAAGCGTTTTGAACACTGGCCGTCCAAGAGGCGCATGGTGTATCTTCGGCCACTTCATTGCATTGTACACAGAGATCAACTCGATACAGTAGGAAAGACGAAACAGTCGAACTGTATCTACGCATCTCTCTGAGCTCCATTGCTATGCTGAAGTGAAATCTGCGCCGCCGAGACACGTTAATCTTCTTGGCAGCGTCTGTTTACGTGTTTGTGTGTTTCTTCTATTCTTTGTGGCAGCGTCTTGCATGATGTACAATCGACAGATGTTAGTTCTAGCTGTAAGCGAGCACATTCCATTGCGACAACAACAACGAGCTCAGATGCGGCGAAAACGAAAGTCGTTCTTCTCCGATGGAAGGTCTATTCGATTCAGTATCGCAAGCGACGTTTCGAATGTAAACCTATCGATTGATAAAGAACAAACATGTCGAAATGATGCATTTTAGCTTGAGGTACGTGTTCAGCAGTCCTGGCACGTGCTGCTTCGAAGGTAATCCCACTTTACTGAATACGTGTCGCAGGACAGCTGTAAATGTGCGAGTGTGGCCAGGAATGGTAGCAGTCAGTCGTTGAAGTTGGAAAAGATGCAGTTGCGGATGTGAAGCGAGTGTCGAGCATGCAATGAGGAGCGTCCCCGTGGCCCAATGGATAAGGCATCCGCCTACGAAGCGGGAGATTGCGGGTTCGAGTCCCGTCGGAGACTGTCTTTGACTGGTCGCTCCTTTGCGATCGTTCTTGGACGCCCAAAGACGATGGAAAGCGTTTTGAACACTGGCCGTCCAAGAGGCGCATGGTGTATCTTCGGCCACTTCATTGCATTGTACACAGAGATCAACTCGATACAGTAGGAAAGACGAAACAGTCGAACTGTATCTACGCATCTCTCTGAGCTCCATTGCTATGCTGAAGTGAAATCTGCGCCGCCGAGACACGTTAATCTTCTTGGCAGTGTCTGTTTACGTGCTTGTGTGTTTCTTCTATTCTTTGTGGCAGCGTCTTGCATGATGTACAATCGACAGAAGCTTGTTTTAGCTGTAAGCAAGCACATTCCATTGCGACAACAACAATGAGCTCAGATGCGTCAAAAATGAAAGTCGTTCTTCTCCGATGGAAGGTCTATTCGATTCAGTATCGCAAGCGACGTCTCAAATGTGAAACTATCGATTGATAAAGAACAAACATGTCGAAATGATGCATTTTAGCTTAGGGTACGTGTTTAGCTGTCCTGACACGTGCTGCTTCGAAGGTTATCCCACTTTCACTGAATTCGTGTTGTAGGACAGCTGTAAATGTGCGGGTGTGGACAGGAATGGTAGCAGTCAGTCGTTGAAGCTGGAAAGGATGCAGTTGCGGATGTGAAGCGAGTGTGGAGCATGCAATGAGGAGCGTCCCCGTGGCCCAATGGATAAGGCATCCGCCTACGAAGCGAGAGATTGCGGGTTCGAGTCCCGTCGGAGACTGTCTTTGACTGGTCGCTCCTTTGCGATCGTTCTTGGACGCCCAAAGACGATGGAAAGCGTTTTGAACACTGGCCGTCCAAGAGGCGCATGGTGTATCTTCGGCCACTTCATTGGATTGTACACAGAGATCAACTCGATACAGTAGGAAAGACGAAACAGTCGAACTGTATCTACGCATCTCTCTGAGCTCCATTGCTATGCTGAAGTGAAATCTGCGCCGCCGAGACACGTTAATCTTCGTGGCAGTGTCTGTTTACGTGTTTGTGTGTTTCTTCTATTCTTTGTGGCAGCGTCTTGCATGATGTACAATCGACAGAAGCTGGTTTTAGCTGTAAGCAAGCACATTCCATTGCGACAACAACAATGAGCTCAGATCAGGCGAAAACGAAAGTCGTTCTTCTCCAATGGAAGATCTATTCGATTCAGTATCGCAAGCGACGTTTCGAATGTAAACCTATCGATTGATAACGAACAAACATATCGAAATAATGCATTTGAGCTTGAGGTACGTGTTCAGCTGTCCTGGCACGTGCTGCTTAGAAGGTAATCCCACTTTACTGAATACGTGTCGCAGGACAGCTGTAGATGTGTGGGTGTGGCCAGGAATGGTAGCAGTCAGTCGTTGGAGCTGGAAAGGATGCAGTTGCGGATGTGAAGCGAGTGTGGAGCATGCAATGAGAAGCGTCCCCGTGGCCCAATGGATAAGGCATCCGCCTACGAAGCGGGAGATTGCGGGTTCGAGTCCCGTCGGAGACTGTCTTTGACTGGTCGCTCCTTCGCGATCGTTCTTGGACGCCCAAAGACGATGGACAGCGTTTAGAACACTGGCCGTCCAAGAGGCGCATTGTAACGGGGCACTTTTGACTACGTAATGGTTGACCAGTACGGAGTATACTTTCACCGACAACAATGGTCGACACTGCCCTGCTAGGTGCTGAAGGATCGCATAGGAAGGAAAGGAGACCAAGTAGTCAAACCTAGTCTCTGGTAAAAGTATAACTGTACTAATATAATTAAGTCCTATAACTTCTTGAATCTCTGTTGTCCTGACTTAATTATACTAATGGAACTAAATGTATGATGACGTCTACTCACCACCCATTGCGCGCGTCTAGCAGAGATTGGTGGGTTGATATCATCACAATGTCAACCAATGAGTAGACCCTTCGGTCATCTCAACAATATCACCATGTCTGCGATATTGTTGAAAGAATATTAGACGTAATATCGACGACGCATCTCTCTGAGCTCCATTGCTATGCTGAAGTGAAATCTGCGCCGCCGAGACGCGCTAACCTTCTTGGCAGTGTCTGTTTACGTGTTTGTGTGTTTCTTCTATTCTTTGTGGCAGCGTCTTGTACGATATGCGGGATTGCCTGCCGTCATTAGATGAATTGTGGCGAGCCTATCACATTGTTTTTTGTATAAATGCTAATACGAAGATGGTAATGCAAAATTTTGATGTGTCCGGTTGCACTAACATATTTGATACTATTATCGTTGGCCAATTTTATAATGTAAAATTCGTATACTTGAATGAGTACTTTCGCGCCAAATAGGTGGTGATTAGAAAGTTCATGTCATGTGTATGTAGAAAAAGATGGTAAATTCAGACCATTTATTATCGACATGGAAAGCTACATTGAAGTCAATACACTTTTTGTACTTATTCAACCAGAGTGTTTGTGAGTCATTTTGATTCTTCTGAACTACTGTTCTCACAGCTTTTCGGGAAGACTGCCTACACTGTTGTCAGTTCAGCTCATCTTATACTCGTTGAAGAGTGAGCACGGCACCCCGTTGCAATGTGTACATACCCTAGGAGAATTCTTACCTAGTAAACAGCCTTGGTGCACAGTTTACCGTTCGATTGATATGTAATGCCCTCTTTTACCGTCTTATGGCATTCATACATATTCACCCTAGTATGAATGGTGTGGAGGATATATGTATGGAATAGGAATGCGCAGGTCATCTTGCGGTTGACACCGCGCGAGAGAAATTCGAGCCCCTTGCCTATACGATATGCCTGAAACACTCATAAAGGCATTCCGTCACACGACTTCATCTTTAGCGCACGCATCACTGTACATCTACATTGGCAAAGGCTAATATCACTAAAGAGTATAAGACAGGCTTGATCGACCAACAATCGAATGAACACGGTTTTCTAGGAGTCAATAAGCCGAGAGAGATGAACGAAACTGTCCATGACCAGAAAGCCATTACAAAGGGTAACTGATAATGCTACCGACTCTTTGAAAAATGCGAGTCGATATTGTAAAAGTCTACGTTACTATGAGGTTACCGTAATTGGAGCATCTTTCCTCAGTGTGATTACAGTATCTCCGTGCGGCTCACCTTCTGAATCTAATTTGGCGCCCACGGCACTTGGTGTACGATGCTGATTGGTCGTCCACGGCAACGACAAAGCACTTCGCGACAGCGAATGTTGTCATAAAACCGTAAGTAGGACGTCCTTTGACTTTCGAACAAATATTTCCACCCACACCATCCGATAAGTTTCCTCGATTTGCTGCCAAACGTACCAAAACTTGTTAAAATAGTCCTCAAAAACGACTAATTAAAAAAGTTTTGGTGTCAAAGAAGACAAAATCACGGCCGTGGCTTTCGGTTTCAAAACGGCGCGGCTGGCTTTCGGTTTACTCGTACCGATATACCGACGTCCTCACAGCGCTTTACCCATTGTTACCGGTACGTGAACCTGTCCAGACCCGACACTTCCCAAACCACCATGCACCTGGCGTCCCGCCTCCGCTCGCACCGTGGCATCTGCGTCTCGGCGCCTTTTTCCCTGCAGCTCATGCGCCCCGTCGGTGTCAATGGCGTGCGCTGTATCACCAAACGAGCGGCAGAAGAAGCGCGACGAGAAACCATCAAGAAGCGCAACCGCCGCGCCGTCATGTACCTGACAGGCACGGCCATCGCTTGTGTCGGAATTTCGTACGCTGCTGTACCGCTGTACAAGATCTTTTGCAAGGTGACGGGCTATGGAGGCACGACGAAACGTGTGGAGAAGTTCGTGGCCGATCAGCTCACCCCGCGCGAGGGCTCGAAGCCTATTCGCGTCACATTTGACGGCGGCGTGAGTTCCAACATGCCGTGGGTCTTTCGTCCGCAACAGCGCGATCTGTTGCTCGTGCCCGGGGAGACGGCACTAGCGTTCTACACGGCGAAGAACAAGGCAGACAAAGCCATCACTGGCGTTGCTACGTACAACGTGCACCCGCCGTCAGCTGGCGTGTACTTTAACAAAATCCAGTGCTTTTGCTTCGAGGAGCAGCGACTCAAGCCGAACGAGGAGATTGACATGCCCGTGTTTTTCTTTATTGATCCTGAGATCTGCGATGACCCGTCGATGAACGGTGTGCACAATATCACGCTGTCGTACATGTTCTTCAAGACGGACGACGTGAGCGAAGACGACGTAGACCACGAGGACTGACGAGCTGAGCTGGCCGAGCAATTGGAAGACGGACAAGAGAGACGACACGAGGGGTCAACCAGCGGGTAAAGTTGCAGCAGTAGGTGGTCACGATCGAGGCAAAAGCACAGGCGTCGGGGAGGAGCGATGGACGACAAGGACGGACACGACGCACGTAGGAACTTGTGTAGGACTTGTTGTGGCAGTCGTAGATGCTGTGGGAAGCGGGTACAGTTGTTTGAATCTTTTGGCGTCTTTTGTTTTGCCTTTATATAACTTGCGTTTTCGATTCCTCGCCATTCGGACGCTTTTTTCGGGTTGTGCAAGACGACGACTGACCTTCTACTTCGGCGACGAAAAGGGGCGAGAAGAGAGTATGGCGAGCAAAGACGAGCACAACGACGACGAGATCCGCGAGCAGGACCGGTTCCTGCCGACGGCCAACATTTCCCGGATCATGAAAGTGTCGCTGCCGTCCACGGCCAAGATCGCGAAGGATGGCAAGGAGACGGTGCAGGAGTGCGTGAGTGAATTCATCTCGTTCATCACGAGCGAGGCGAGCGACAAGTGCCAGCAAGAGAAGCGCAAGACGATCAATGGCGACGACATCATCTGGGCGATGAGCACGCTGGGCTTCGACTCGTACGTGGAGCCGCTGAAGCTGTACTTGCAAAAGTACAGGGAGTCGGTCAAAGTGGAGAAGAACGACAAGAAGGACAACGTCGGGTCGTTCGGGGCGTCTTCGTAGAATCGACGCGAGGAGAAGTAGCAGGCGCAGGAGAAGGAGGAAGAGGAGGCGACGAACAGCAGCGTAACAGTAATGGGGGACAAGGGGACAGACGCGAGAGAAAGTAGCACTGCAGAAAGAAAAGGCTGAGAAAAAGAGAAGAATGACATGGACTTGGTCGTTATAGTTGTGCATTGCTTGGAAAGATGGGGAAAGGAGAAGGCGACTTTGATGTTGGTGTCGACAAGGGGATCCAGCACTAGCGCGGAAAGTCGTCGTCGTCGTCGTCGTCGTCGTAGTAGTAGTAGTAGTAGTAGTAGTAGTAGTAGTAGTAGTAGTAGTACTCTGTCAAGCTATCGTTGCTGCTGTGGCCACGCAGTTCTGCGTCCTGCAGTTGTTTGGCCTTCGAAACAAACATACTCTTGCTTGCGTCCAGTGACAATGCGCAGTTAGACGGACCTGTCGGCGTGCAAAGAAGTCCAATTCGTGGTGACCGGCAGGTGACAGAGAGGTGCAAAGTGGCGGCGACATTGAGGTGAACTGCGTCCGTTGCTCAAACCGTCAACACTCACTTTTCGCAGTAGTTTCTCCAAACTATTGTGTGCAAACCGTTCCTGCTGTACGGTAGCAGGTAGTAAATAAGCGAAGCAGCTGCGTCGCCGCTCGGAGCTTCTGCTTGCTGACCCACACTACAGTACCAGTGCTCTCGTCGTCAAGCATGCCGAGACCCTCCTTGCCGGCCAGACCGGGTCAGACCGCGATGCAGCCCCTTGTGTGCTTTGGACTCACGTAGAGTTGTCTGCGGGTGGTTTTCGATGCCCTCAGACGCCAGAAAGTCTTTCGGCTTTTTGCTCGAAGCTATCCCCGTTCGATCTCGTGTAGCCGTTGTCCGAAGAGAACCTTTTCCTCGTTAGTGACAGATCTGCCGCCTTCGTTGCCAGCTGCTTCCCGCGTCGATTGCCATCACATCTCGTCCGCATCGCCTTTTCCGTTTTCTCCTCCAAGGTCTCTTCATGTAGATCTCTTTACCACATGAGGCAGTGCTTGCTTCGACTTGCACTTCCAGAGCCAATGGAGTCGATCCATGTTCATTGATGCTACATCGCCAAGTCAGATGCCGAGTTGCGGAGGTTTCAGGGCTCACGACCTTGGCAAGACCGAGCGAGAAGCTTGGACAATAATAAGTACCAGCGATAGGTGAACGCGACGTGGTACACTCATCCAGTTGTCGTCATGACATACACTGGACGGTGCAGCAGACAATACGACTTCGAGGGTTATCGCTGCCAACTCGGACCTGATGAACTCGAAGGTGCCTTGACGCGCTTCTTGTGTGGGCCAGGCGATACCGATCGGCTGGTAGGCCGGCCTCGCATTGCTGATTTCCCCGATGCTTTGGCGATAGAAGCTGCAGTTGCGCTCGATGCACTACCTAAACTTGGCCGCTTGACTTTCTTTGCAAGGAGCGATCCGCTTGACGGGACGTTCAAGCTGGGCGACAGAGCCGATGGCGCACTGCTCACAATGTTTTCCTTCTCCTTGAGCATCGTCCGCAGCTTTTCGAGTGAGCGCTGCAATTTGAGCTTGTCATCCGTAAGCAGCCGTACCTGATCCAGAAGACGGTTATTCTCCTCCTTTACCTTTACGTGGTGGTGAATCTTCTGGCGGCTGTTGTGATGACCGATCAGCTTTTCGTTCTCCTTCGACACTGTCTCCACCTTTTCGGTCAGTGACTGAATCTCTCGCTGCATCTTCATCTTTTCGGCAACATATTTACGCTTCGCCTGACGAAGTGCGGCTTGAGCTACTGCCTTCGCCTTAGCTTCATTCATTGCACCTTCAGCGCTCTCAGTGCTCCCAACACCTGTCTGCTGCATCCCCAACACCTTTCGGACAGACTGATCTTGTTGTTCGGACACGCGACGTTCAGTGCAACGACCATCGAGCTCGTGTTTCTGTTCCTTTCCATCAGGCAGAGCCTTGGCCTCAACACTCGTGCTATTTTGCACAGCCAACTCGTGACTCGTCCCTGATTCTTTCGTCGGTACCTGCAAATCTTCGACCGCGACGCTCCTGTCATTCTGCGCCAGCTGGTTCCTACACTCGGCTGCAGAAGTAGTGTCAGGCTCAATTCGTACACCTTCTTGTTCTGACATTGCATCGAGCTGCCTGGTCGTCTGCATGAGCTGCTCAGTCTTTTCCGCCAGTAGCTTCTCCTTTTCCGCGATCTCTAGCTGAAGTGAGTGCTTATCTGCCATAAACGAGCTTTCAGCTTTTGCCAACGCCGCTGTCTTCTCCGCCACCGACTGCTCGAGCGCCTGCACTTGTCCACGTGCTGATTCCAACTTGTCTTCGTATTCGCGCGTCTTAAGATCCCACCCGATCTCGTTGTTGCGTGCACGATCCTTCATCGTTGCAATGAGGCCATCTGTTATCGAAATGGCAAGCTCCTTTTCGGCGAGCTCTGCTTCCTGCTTTTTTTTGAGGTTCTGATGCTCAAGTAACTGGCATTCTAGGTCACGTACAATCTCTCGCAGCTCCGCAACATCATCAGCAAGCTGTTCCTGTGTCGCGACGGAGTGAGCAGCATCGGACTCTAGCTTACCGATCTTGTTCTCTCCGTCAGCAACTTGATCCTTGAGCTGCTGAAGTGTCTCACTTTGCTCTGCGACTAAGAGCTTGAGCGACTTCCTTTCTTGCTCCAGCTCGCGGTTCAAAGCGGACAGAGAGTCCGCATGAAGACGCACTTCATCAGCGCACTTCTCAACAGCCAATAGCGATTCTTGAGAACGTTGCTCCAGCTGACACTTTTCGCTCACCCATGCCGCACGGGCTTCAGCAAATACATTTTCCAAATCCTGCTTTGCATCCTGCTCAATTTTCAGCGCTTCAGAAAACTTCAAGCGATCAAGCTCAATGCTTTTCAGCTCGCCGCGCAACGTAGAATGAGTTTCCTTCAGCATAGTTACCTCTTCCCGCTGGCGTGACGCGACCCCTTCAGCATATCGGATCTTGTTCAATGCCTCCTCAAGACTGTTTGTCGTATCACGTACAGCGCCTTTACTTTCAACAAGTTCTTGCTGCAACTCCTCGATCCTTTTTGCATAGGAGGCAAGTTCAACGAGCTGTTGGGAATGCGTGATTGCAGCCTGGCTACAATCTTCCTGTGCCGATACAAGCTGTTTACGAAGATTGACCACGTCATCGGTGATTATTTGTTGCTGCAGTTGCTCAACTTCATACGAAAGCTTTTCATTCGTTTGCTCGGAAGCAGTGAGCCGAGCTTGCTGCAGCTCACACTTCTCTCGAAGCTCAACCTTCTGCTCATCCAATTCTCCCACTCTCGCCAGCGAGTCCTCCAAGTGTTGTGACAAACTTCGAATCTTGTTCGCCATGGTGCCCTTCTCGATGTCAAGTTTCCTGGCAATATCCTGAAGATTCTCGAGCTCTTGCACTGCAAAAGCACGGTCTGATTCACATTTGACTTTCTCTTCACTCAATATGGACATATCGGCATGACTCTTGAGCAATTCCTGTCGGACGTCTCCCAGCGCTAGTTCAAACTTCTGTGACTGATCATCCAACTGCTGCTTGAGTACACCAAGTGCCACGTCCTTCTCTTCTAACGCTAAGATGTGGAGATGAGCAGATTCCTTTGTCGTGACTTTATAGTCATCAAACTCAGAGCGAAGGTGCTCGTACTGCTCGCCTCTCACCCGAAGCCTCTCATTGCAGTCTTCAACCAAGAGACACTCATGCTCTAGCGCTTGATGCTTAAGGAACTCAATTGCTTTCATGTGTTGTAGCTCGGTAGTTCTGGCTTTCCCTTCCAACCGTCCAATGGACTCAGTCAAGTTCTCGAGCTTTTCTTCCAAAACGATCTTTTCCTTCGTGTTTACAGCTGCAGTGCGCTTAAGCTCATCGATCACGCCTTCGCGATCCGACACTTTTGCTCGGAGATGGGCGATTTCCAGCGCACTTTCGTCCCGCGCTGCGCGGGCCTCCTCAAGTTCTGAAATCACTCGCTGATGTGCTTCTTCTAGATGCACCAGTTCTGCCTTTTGTTGAGCAAACTCATTTTCAGCTGTTTCGATCCGGTGCTCGAGCAGCTCTTTAGAATATGCAAGGGACCGATTTGTGGTGGCAGCGTCGGCCAATGCTGTCTCAAATTCAAACTGCGCACCTTCCCTTGCTCGCTCGAACTGTATCCCCATCTTTTCAGCTCGAACCTTCTCTTGGACCAGTTCTTTTTCAGTTAAAACCTGAGCGTGCTCTGCAAGGTGTACAGCTGCTTTGGAATCCGCAAGTCCACGTTCGAGGTCGTGTAGCTGAACCGACCAACTGCGTTTGAGCTCCTCCATACGTAGAAGCTGAAGCGACGCCTCTGCTGCTTTTTCTTCTAGACATGCGTTAACAGATGCTACCAAGTCCAGCTTTACCTGGTACTCATTTGCTTGGTGCTTCAGCGCCTCTTCTAACCGGGCAGAAATATCTGTATCCGCAACTTTTTGGGAAAATCGCCCCTCCATGCTTTCGTCATCGTGAGTCTTGCTGTCCAGCAGTCGGTCTTGCAGATCGTGCTTGTCACGCAGCACAAGGGCAAGTTGTTTCGTCAGAGCTAGAATCATACTATTCATATTCTCGACTTCGCTGCTGACGCTCCCTGCGACATCAGCATCTTTAACCCCACAGCGCTGAAGCTTGTCTTGGAGCCCAACCACACGCTTTTCCATCTCTTCGTATTTCATCCTCCACTCGATGGCATCTGCTGACGGCTTGTTCTCATCCACTCCTGTGCCGCCGATTCCTCGAAGTCGGAGCATCATTTTCAGCTGCGCGGCATTCTGTTTTAGCTTCGTACACAGCGCTTGGAGGTTCCCGTTTTTAAGCTGCAAACAGTCGCAAAAACGCTGCAGTTTATCGTTGTTCTCAGCAGTTGTTGCAAACGATTCTTCTAGCTCGCGAAAACGCGCGCCAATGGCCGGATCGCAGAGTCCTTGAAGCCGGGACGAAGCAGCTACGGAGCCTTCGCCCGAACTCACATCTGTCAGCGTAGTATTTTTCTTCTGAATAGAACAAGATCGTGGGATGCCACGGGCATTTTCTTGGTGTGCCTGCTGCAGCTGCCGTCGAAGTCGCTGGACCTCTTCTTGCAAAGCAACTGCACTGCCCACAGAGTCTTCGTTGACGACCGCGCTATTCTGAATCATCTTTGCCCTCTGGGCGAATTTAAGCGTAGAGAGCGTTTCAAATGCAGATTCTTCGGCGGGCGAAATGGTTGCGATCATAAACGTTTTCGAGTTTCCGCCGAGCGAATCCTTCAAGAGAAACGTCAGCTTGGAATCACGATAGTGCACGTGGCGGTGCTTGCCTACAGATTGTTCCGATAGGCGCAGAATGACATTGCCAAGTGCGGACAACGACTTGTTGATATTGCCAGCCTCCTTCAAACGCTCGCCTGCTGCGTCAGTACTTCGCTGACGTTCAGAGCCTGCTAAATCCACCAAATTGAATCGTGATGTACGGATCTTGGTGCCTTGCGACGACACTTCCTTCGACTGCAGTTGCAGAATGAACACACTGTGCGACCGACTGCTTTCTCGGTTCATCGACGTCTGGCCCACTCGTCGATTCTGCGCTCCAATCATCATGAGTTCTGCTGCTTCCTTTGAGTTGGTGACCACACTTTCGATCAGCCCTTCAACGTGAACACCTTTGCGTCCATTTTCTCGCAGCTGTAGCCCTGCTGTGTCTTTTGCACTGCCTCTGTCCAGCAGATCATACACGCGTTCATTGTAAATCTCTAAAAACGAGCACGCAAACGTGTGCTGGACATGCGTTCGCTTGTCTGTAGCCACAACATTGTCAAAGAGGTAGTCAAATACACGAGGGACGAGCCCCCGCAGCGAAAGCTCCTGCGATGTCCGCGTCGCAGCTTCTGCAGTTATAACATCCTCTGCTCCCTGCATCGTGAACGTCTTGCCGGATCCCGTCTGGCCGTACGCAAAGATTGTGCCATTGTAGCCATCGAGACAGGCTTGCGTAATCGGCGCCCCCACGACCTCAAACACGTCGTTCTGACTCGCGTCTTCGCCAAACACTCGGTCGAACGTGAACGTCTTGGCACCGACGTGTTTGCTCTGCAATAAGAGCGTCTGTTGCGCGGGATCAGAGGCCGCGACCGTCACGCACTTCTTCACAAACGATCCACTGCCGCAGACCGAGAGACCCGTAGAGCTACTCGAGGCCGTCAACGATACACCGAGACGCTCGCGCTCGTTGGGCGGCCGCACACGACAGAACACCTTGACGTTCGCGCTGTCGTCCATCGCCAATGGCCTGAGACAGCGTCGGCCACTTCGACGTTATTGTCGGTCGGCGCGGCAGGCAGTAAAAGAGGTGGACGGAATGTTATCGGAAGGTCGCTCACATTCGCGCGACATCCTAGAGCCGTTACGGCATGATGCGACTGGCCTTTGGCATCCCATCACCAGTAAGTGCAGAAACGGGTGCAGCAGAGCTACGAAATGACAAACGAGAGCATCGGATGGCTTATATGGCTTAACGATACAAAGTCCACTCGGTATCGCATGTTTTTGCAGCAGTTACTGTAAAGGAGGGCGACATCCAACCAACCAACCAGCCAGCCAACCAGCCCAAGCGACTAGATCGCCCACACGACCGTCTAGTGCTCCTCGCTCTCGCACAGTTCCTTGTAAGCATTTTCGTCCAGCAGATCGTCCACGTCCGACATATTGTCCAGCTGCGGTAGCACACACAAGCCGTGAGTCAACGCAATGCTCTTGCTACCCACAACTAAGACTTGCTCCGTAGCGTACCTCCAGCTTGATAAACCATCCACCACTCATGGCCTCATCGTTCACAAGGTTCGGTTCGTCCACCAGATTCTAAACACAGCAATCACACTCCGTGAGTCGCGACAAAAAGGTACTTCCAAAGCCATTTAGCAGCAAGAGAGAGCCAGTACGCACGTCGTTCACGGCCGTGACAGTGCCAGAGGCAGGCGTGTACAAGTCGCTGGCAGCCTTGACGGACTCCACGGCACCGAACGTGTCGCTGTAAGCGTCATCAAATACACACACGCATCAAACGTCAGCATCGACAGAATAGCGACAACAGATAGAGGCCAACACACAAACGTAGACCACAGAGTTGCACCGTACCCCTTTTGGAACTTGTCCCCCACGGCTGGCAAGTCTACGTACACGACGTCCCCCAACGAGTTCTGGGCAAAGTCGGTGATCCCTACCGTGCCTTCCTTGCCATCGATCGTCACGTACTCGTGCTGCCGCGTGAACTTCGTCGAGAAGCAAGCAGAGCGTACGACATGCTGTGACGACATGCGCCACGCCGTAGGAGCAGCCGGCTTCAAAGCACGTGCGCGAAGTGTCTGAGAGACGATGCGAAGAGCCATAATATCGATAGCCGAGTAGATCGACGAAGAAGAGGGCGAGAGAGCTGCTGCACGAGCGAGTGAGTGACTGAAAACGTTGTCGAGTTTTCCGAAATGTTCGACTCGTGATCCTCTAATCGGAGCTCGTGTGTGGTGTGGCTACACCATAACATCGTACTCTACTATGGCTTACAAATTGCCAGAGGTTTGACCGAAAAACAGCTGACGCACCAATGACTCGAAGCCAGTCGAAGTCGTGACTTGGGCCTCAAACGGGTGGGCATGACTCTGCTGACGCGCTTCGCCGTGCGTCCTCGCGGTCGTCCGGCTCTCCGAGGCTGCATTGGTCGTGGTCTTGCTGCAGCGTCGAGTGTCAGTGATAGCGTTGACGCCGGTGCGCGCTTGACGAACTCGTTGTCCAGTGCCAAGTTGGTCAAGCGAAAGGTGGCGATCGTTGGCGGCTACAAAGGCACGGGCTATCACGGACTGCAGTTGAATAACGACGTGAACACTATCGAAGACGAAATACGACGCGCGATTTTCGAGGCTGGAGCCATGCGCGAGTCGAATCTCGAAGACTTGGGAAAGATCGATTGGTCTAGAAGCAGCCGCACGGACAAGGGCGTGCACGCGAGCTGCATTGTCGTGCGTTCTGCTGTCTTTGCTAGGATCATGAGTAGGGAGGAGACGCTGAGATCATGTGTCTGTTTGTGCTTACTTGTGGTTGTAGTTTTCTGGAAAGCTGTTGATCGATGAGGAAAACACAGTGGACCAGGCAACGGGTCGTGTGAAGGGACTCACAGAGGCGCTGAATGCGTCGCTGCCGGAGAATGTTCGCGTGTTCTCGTGTACCCGAGTGAACAAGCGCTTTTCTGCGCGGAAGAACTGCGTAATGCGTGAGTACGAGTACTTCATGCCGCTTTCGTTCTTGCGAGACAGCACCCTTGCATCGCACGGAGCGGAGTTTGATCAAGACGAGGCTGTTGCTGAATTCTGCCGCGCGTTGCGTCGTTATGAGGGCGTGAACGATTTCCACAACTTTACGCGCTCGAGGTCTCACTTTTACAAGTTGCAGGCAAAGAGAGGTCAGTGGAAGCAGCATAATCGATGCGAAGCAGGCCAATCGGAAGTGTGTAACGACGACGGTGTTGAAGATGACGACGGTGGCGAAGACGACGTGATTGAAGAACATGGAGATGCTGAGGGTTCTTTTGCAGAAGAGGAGAGCTTGGCTGTCGACGGCTGCACTAGTCGATTGAACCAGACTGAAGATGACGGAGGTCTTACTCGCAAGCTGCTGCTTCGTCATCGCCGATCCGTTTACTCGTGCTCAGGCAGCCTCGTTCAGGATTTCTGTGGCGAACCTTATTTGCGGGTCCATGTTGTCGGACAAGCGTTTTTGCTGAACCAGATTCGCTGCATGATCGGCGGCGCGCTAGCAGTAGCGACGAAGGGCATGTCTCGTGTTGCATTTGATGCTGCTTTGCGTAAGTGACTCATGTATGTGTAGGCTTACCTGACACTAGCTGTCTAACCGTGCAATATGTTTGTTGTCGTGCTTGTTCACGAATGCAGTAACACCCCGTATCGTCCGCGTTCCGATTGCTCCAGCCGAGGGACTTGTACTTCTTAGCAGCTCGTTTGGAGGAAAACGTCACACCGTCTCGCTGCACGCGGACCAGAACACCGCTCTTGCGCAAGAGCGCAAGGATATGATGCATCGGATACTTTTGAACCGCCGCGAAGACGAGAAGATGATGCAGTTTCGCGAGGAGGTTATCTACAAGGAGGTTTCTAGCAGCTGGGGCACAGAAGTAAAGTCGGACCAATGGCGCACGTACCTCGAGCGCTGTTATGAGTCGAACAAAGACCTCGACGAAGACGAGCTGTCGAGTGTGCTGTACGAGCTAGACCAAGCCAAAATGAAGAGCGCGAGCAAGAGTCAGTCCATCGTTGAGCAAAACCGCATTGACCTCGGCGAGCACGGGCGTCAGGGTGCTTTACTGCCGAAACAATTCACCACGAAGCTTTGCGTTCGGTACAGTGTGGCCCCCGGTATCTTCACGTCGGACTTGCGCCGCGCAGTGACCCGGGTAAGCAAGGGATTGAGTGGCATTGTGCGCTTGCAGTGTTCAAACTCCACCTGATGTGTGCTTGTTGTGTGTTGTTGCTGGTTGCAGCACCTCAAGACCGGCAAGATCCCGCTTGACGTGGAGGAAGAGCAGCTCATGGCGTACATTGACAACGTTGGTCCGAAAAGACTTGCGAGGGAGGGCCGGAAGCTCCGGTTGAGCCTTTGCACCTAATTATAGAGCACGAGACCCAAACGTGGTCGATAGCAGGTAGAAAAGTAGCCATGTTGCCAGACGGATTGACGGGATTGGCTGCAGTGTGTATGCTTCGTCCAATCAGACGCGTTGTTTAATTTGCAATAGCTCCCCGAGGTCCCTTTTCTCAGTCTACTTTTCCAAGCAAAGCAAAAGGGAAGAAAACGAACAAACACGCGAAGTCGAAAAATGGCAAGTCGATCGACTCTTTGCACTACATGCGATGGCACTCAACTTGTGAACCGTTGCGAACAGTTTGGCGGCTTCGGTGGAGACGGCAATCCCTTCGGCGTGCAGTTCAACTTTGGCGACTTTCCGCAGCGGTAGGCGCTTCGATTGAACCAAGCGAACTAGACACGCGGGTTCGAGCATCTAAGTTACTTACGCTGCTACTGGATGCAACAAAGGTTCGACGAGCACTACCGTGTGTACCCCGTTTCGTTTTGCGACAAGGCGCACCTCGAAGATGGCGACAAAAGTGCGTTTGGAGGATGATTTGTGGTTCTTCGTTGTAGTCTTTGGCGTTGACTGACGTCACTTTTTGGATTCTGTTCGACAGTTCTGCTGCCTCCCTCTGCACTTGAGACGCTGGGTACGTGGTTTGGAAATTGGGTGGGTGTAGAAGCAGGGGAAGAGCTGACTTGTGTTGCCCGCATGTAGCGCGTCTGCACATTGAGTACCCGATGTTGTTCAAGGTGACAAATGAAGGAGTCGAGCGGTTTTCGCATTGTGGCGTACTGGAGTTTAGTGCCCCAGAAGGGAGCTGCTACATGCCATATTGGGTACGTCTTTGTCTTGCTCATGATGGCTCGTTTTGTGCCATTATTTGTGGAGACTGATACGATGATATGTGCATTTGGTAGATGATGCAAAACCTTTTTGTAAAAGAGGGAGGAATTCTGAATGTGCAGAACGTCTCGCTGCCAAAGGCAACGTTTGTGAAGCTTCGACCGCAGTCTCAAGATTTCCTTGATATCTCCAACCCGCGTGCAGTGTGCGTTTGTATAAGTAGGTCACGTGCATGTTAGACTATGTGCTCATTACGATTTGCTGTCTGAAGGTTGGAGGGCTCACTTCGAAAGTTTTCGTGCATGACGGTGGGCGACACGATTTGCCTGAAGTATAACAACAAGAACTACATGTTGGACGTGCGTGAAGTGAAGCCAGCACCTGCTGCGTGCATCATCGAGACAGACTGCGAGGTGGATTTCGAGCCTCCTGCCGATTATGTTCCTCCCGTTCCTGCAGCTACAAAAGCAGCGGCTGCAGCAGTACCGTCGGATGTTCCGTATGGAGGTAAGGCAATGCCCTGCGTCGCATTTTACTTGCACGCTTTCGAATAAAATGCACCGATGTTTGTGTTTGGCATGATAGGCGTGCCAACCATGAGCGCAGAAGACATGAAGTGTGCACGTTTTGGTGGGACTGAGTCTGGTGGCTTGCGCCTGAAGAAAAGCGGTGAAAAGAGCGCAACTGACGCGGCGGCACTTCGCGCTGCTCGCCTACGCAAGTACGAAGCGTTTCACGGCACGGGTCACTCGCTGAGTGGAAAGACGTCAATACACGCTCGTGCCACTTCTGGGGGTCAAAGCTTGGGAAGCAGTGGTGTCACGCTTGACGGAAGCAGCAGCAATATTGCAGCTGCCGGAACGGTGGTAAGACCTGCTGTCGGCCATCGATTGAACGGTGAAGCCGTTTTTGTAGCTGACGAGGAGGAAAAGGATGAGGAGGCGAAAGAAAGCGACACACTGAAGCCTTTCCACGGTGAAGGCCGACGGCTGAGATAAATGCGCGATCTGAAGCACGCAGCATGTGAGGAAGAAGCGAGAGGAATACTGGTAAGAAAATGAACAGATCATTCGCGATAGTAGCCCGTGTTCGAACCAGGTTGGTGTGCACACATGTGGCGCCTTCAGCACCGATACATCAGATTGATAAGGATGGGCTGATTGCACGGATCGCCCAGTAGTTCCGTGACTCACTCACTTGTCAGCAAGCGCGACCAGAACGCCCGACGTGACTTTGGTTCGTCTAATCAACCCACACCCTTCCATATCAGCCAAGTGGAACTCTAGTTGGAAGCACGAACACGCGAGTTTGGCTTTCTTCAACTGCTGCTCGTGCATCTCTTTGTACTTCGTGCGCTTCAGTGTCCTGATGATCAACGTCCGCGTCTTCCGTATCGCAGACACGAGCTTCCCTACGCCTGGGATCGAAAAGGAATACGCTTCGTCGTCTAGTCGAGGCGTCGGTAGCAAGAACCCAAGCCGCTGAACTTGCCTGTTGATATAGCGAGCCCAAGCACGCACAACACATGTCAGCCTCACATTAATCCATGGCATGATGCTCGAGTGCGGTCACTTCCGACTTACCCCACCATAGCTCGAATCTGTTGTTTGTCCGAGCAATCTTCGCTTTCATTCATGTGCACTACAAACATATCGATCGAAGCAGTTGATTGCGATGCGAGTTGCGGCAGCGCACGCCTAAACCAAGCCAAAGCGTTCAGCGTGGCCACGACAGCTTTGTCCCCGGGATGCTGGCGTATCTGCTCACGAAGTGCCACCTCACGCTTTTGCAACTCAGCAACGTAGTCTTCTGTACGTACGATAACTACATCGTCTGCTCCTGAGGGAATTTCGATCGCCATCAACCGGCCTTCGGTCTGGAATCGATGCACCTGCCGAAGACAACGATGAAAGATCAATCAAGCAATCGATTGCGTCCACCACGCTTGCAGCAAGTGTCAATACGCATTACATTTTGGTCCACAAATGTCCGGTTAGGCAATATCGTGTATCTAGGCACAAAAGCAAATGAGAGGGACCAGCAGTTTCTTCGAAGGATGTCGAGAGCTTACAGCTGGTGCCAAAGAGCCAACGGAGGGAGACCGAGCGCTGCACAGCCCTCAGAGTTGCGGCTCAACAGAAGCTGAATGGACGTCATGGTATCATCGATGAGATGGGCGAACGCGGCCCATTCGTCGTCTTCCACGACCGCAGCAGTAGCGGCTTTACGCTTACGCCGGAGCATTCTTGACGCGAAGGACGGCTTTTCGAGTGTGACCAGTTCTAGCGGATACATTTACTGCTTCAATTTCGATCGCTTCTATCGCTACAAACTCCATCAGGCTCTTCTATGAAGCTCGATACAAAGCTATCAGCAGAGTTTTATAATGTTTTCCAAGGCTCAGGAGCTGCCGGATTCACACTTTTTCCGTTTATTACCACTCGTATGTATTACAACTTTGCAGCTCGCTCCGAGTCGGCGCACATATATAAGGGGCCAAGTGGATTGAATCGCGTGACAGGACATAGCGACGGGTGTTGCGGTCTGAACTCAAGGTACAGTATACGAATTGGTCGGTTGGTGGGGCTACAGCTGATCGAGAATGATGTCATACCTTTTAAGTTATACCTTTAGGCACGATCCAGCATAAACACTGGCAATAGATCCTTGAAGTTAACCAGTTGCCTCCACCTTGCTGTCTTCGATTGTATTTCGTGGTGACTCTATTGGCAATGTGAAAGGTGGCTAAAGGGTGGTGTTGTATCGCTGAATGGCAGGAAAGCTTATTGGAAGCGAGTTCAAGTCGACCGGTTTCGTGAGCTTTTCGCTCAGCTATCGCAAGATCTTTTTACTGGTTTGCAAGACTGTCGGTCGTTTGACTCGAGTAAAAAACGGTAGGCGTCTATTGTTGCAAGCGGATGCCTCGGCTTGATGACGCGATAGCCAATGCATTTTATGGGCTTGGCACTTGTACACGATAATTAAAAATACGACAACATTTCTTTTCTCATGTGCGCATCCATTCGCTCATCGACCAAACTTTTACAAGCCCCGAAAAGCGACTCTTGTACGATGTGAAGTCTTGCGGTTGGAAAAGTGCTTGCTTGTGAACGAGCTCACAGAAACGAATGCAACATTTGTATCGTATTCAGGAAGGAGGTAAACACAAGCGATGTGTCATGTAATTTTTTGCGCAGTGGTTATGAGCACATCAGCACCCTATACAATACTAAACTGAATTGTGAAAAGCTTTACTTAGCTGTGAGTTGGGTCTAGGTGAAACGATATACACCGCTGTGGATCTGCGTACCCATGTACCTTAAAACCATAATTGTGTCTAAATGGTTGGCAAACGCAAGGCCTGCTACTCCGTTCTCCATCTCTTATATGGTGCATAAATGGTTGGAATAGGAGAATAGCGAGCATATGCTAGAGAGGACATCCTTTCTGGATGTACCAAGTTGCGGGACCCGTTGACAGTTAAGCGACACCGTGTGACTTCGTTTGAGGTATTAGAAGATCTAAACAAGTCCTTCGAGAAGCCTCGATATGCCGGAGAAAAAATATGCACGTATCCCAAGATACCTGTGTGCGTTGGGAAAACAAGGGAAAGTGCAACCCTCTGCTTGGTTTGGGGTTCATAACGTGCTGCAATTTTCGTGGTCGAGAAGAGGACCGATATGTAGTTCCTATTCCGACCAGTAACGCAGCCAACCTTATGTGGATGCACGAACTCGATGACATTAGTTCCGTGGAGGCCTCCATGGACACGCGAAAGACGATTGAGCTCAACGTCATGGATGCTGCTGAAAAAATGAACGTTGAGTGATACAACAGCACTTGTGCTCTTCTTGACGTGAGCCCTATATTGTGTTGGGCAATGTGATGCCTTCTAAATGGAGATGACTCAGCGCCGCAATCAGCGGAAAAGGGTGTAGATGGGGTCATAATACCGGTTGTTTACGATCTTGTCTGGACCCATGCGTTTCCATGATCTCTCTTTGAGCAGCATTGCGCCATTCGTCGTGTAAGAGATTGATATATGTCTCCTTTTTTACACCGGTTGTTGAAAGAACCAAAAGATGAATCACATCACTTCGTTTTGCATAAGTTCAGCAGGCGGTGTCTTCACTACATTTCCTTACCCCTCATCACGTCTTCGGCAACTTCACGCGATTTTATACGACGATATGTCGTCGCTAATAACAGCTAAGAACAGGGAAGACAATAGTTTATTTTCGTGGGATTCCAGTGCATGCTATGATGTTCAATAAGTTGGCTTGTTACCTACTTTGTCTTTTTTTATCGATCGAAGTTGTCGAAATCCTTTGTTGTTCCTTTTTGATTCGTGATAAATTATGAATATGATTTTCTTTGCATTCTTTTGGAGTCATTTCGAAAACATGGTTTGACGTACGGCAAGAAAGGTCGAAGTTATTATGTAAAGCTAGTAGTAGACTGAATCCGAAACATTTGAGATGTTGCCCTCAGCTGACCGGATCTATCATGTCTTAGTGCGGCATGTCGTCCTTGTTGGAAGTGCACTAGAGAGATGAGTGCACCAGCATTGCACCTACGCAGTTAGCAAGGCGGAATCAGTGAGTCTGGATAAGTTTTGGGTCAATCTGGACTAGATACGGCAGAACCACCCGTTAGGAGCGATCGGTTTGAAGGAGGAACTATAGCTCAAACAGGCGACCCCGTATCAACCAGTCCGTAGAAGAAAGCTTCAAGCGCAAGTTCCCATTGCGTCAGGCCTTTGTCAATAGCCACATCGTCGTCGGGCCGAAGCCTGTATCGCGCCAGCTCACAAAAAGCGCCTATTCACAAAGTTCAAAGTGTCTAACTCATGATTACTAACATCAATGGTGTTTCGAACAGAAGGTCTTGCAATGACTGCCGCATACACATTCTAACGAATTGCAGCTAAAAGTGGCGGACGCTAGTACGGCGAATTGCATTCCAGACAATACTCTATCTTGTCACATAAGAACGATGGGTGCAGATCGCTCATCTACCACATATCGAATCCCGGTGGATCGATATTTGCTGACTAAATTGGCAACAATACCTACCAAAACCGCATATGTACATACCTGTAGTGAACGATGGTGTTGTGTGTACTAAAAGGAAGATAGACGGTAAGCTCATAACGTTCAGTGCCAAAAAGCCAGCGGAAGGTATATGAATCGATCGCTTGCATGTTGACAATTGAATACATTGGTACCAACATCAGCAAATCGTTCGACATTTGTTAGTTGGCACTTTCCGGAGGTTTACGCAAGATTCGAGCATTGATGCAATATCAGGATATCTGCACTAAGTGAAGGACCTCCCACGAGATTATGTAATGTGAGGCAATGTTTAGCGTTTTCTAGCGCCAAAATAAATTACAAGCCACGAGTCTTCGACACATGCTGGATGGCGCAGTGTTCAGGTATTCGCCCTTGTTTTTTTCTATTCATGAATCGATATACGGTCTAAGGTCATTTGCCGGTGGAGGCACTACCATAATTTTACAAGTATATTTTCAAGCACTACGCATAGCTCAATTTTTATTATCTTTTTAACATGTCCCACCACGTATACAACTTCCGGGCTGGATCATTGGGTGAAGTGACGACAAAGGAATTGACTGACGTAAAGCTTTAATTCAATCGTTAACCTGCATAGCATGGACTAGTCGTGGAAATATCTCCCAAGATCTACCATATTTATATAGGGCGCGGAAAAAAGCAAAAAGTCTATACAATAAGAACAGCGAGGTAGATCTCGCAGGCGCTTGAGATTGCAACCGCGATCAAATGTATAGAGGAACACGAAGCAGACATTTATCGGGACAAGCAGGACCATTGCCAGCACAGCTGGTATAGGCGGAAGAACCTTTTTGGTTAGACTGACTTCACGATCAATGATCGCGGGTCAGAAGGCAAGAAAACAGGAAGTGAGATTGAGTGTAATAAAGAAAGATTACGAGAGAAACAAGACAGACCGCGAGTACTTCATATCTAACTAGCGAGTGAACAACTGGAACAAGATCTGCTGTCTTGGAATTAGGCATCTTCCAAATCAAGATAGCGCCTCAATCAAGATCGCTGCGTAAAACGTCACGTGCAGCATCATACCAAGTCATCCCTTGGCTCATGCGATATTGACACCTTCAGAAGATGTGAAGACGGGCTCAAGACATCTAAATCGACGGCTACGAATGGTAGCCATAGCTGTATAAGGCGACACACGGATCATGTTTTTCTATGTGAGTAGGCAACACCAGATTTGACTTCTCCATACTCAAACATTCGTACCTCTCCTGTGAGTATGAGGGTGCAAAATCGATACAATCGTGTCCCTAAGACGAAGGTAATTTGAGTTAAAGGTATGTACCGACGTGATATGTTGTTTACGGTCCTTCGTCCTCATGCTAACCACGTTACATCTGAGCCGAATTTCGACGGTATGTTTCCATCGTACAAGGAACATGATCGTACTTTCGTCTTCATCACCACCCGGTGACCTTCTGGTTATCAGTTTACCAGCTGACAGATGCACCGCATATGTAGATCTTATCTGCTCTACTATGTTTCCACGAAAGGGAGCCATACCCGATATCACCGCTATCCCACCAGGATGCATCCACAGAATACATACATACGGTTGTGCCTTGTCAACAAGTATAAGACGACAAAGTGTAAAATATAAAGAGCGGGCATGGCAAAAGTAATTCGCTTACGGACGCTAGCCAGAAGTTGTTCAGCCCACCGCTGCAGGTCTCCTCAATAGCTTACCGATCGCAAAGTAAGCTCTGCGAGTGCTGCGGCTTCTGCCACTGCCATACGTTTACCCATGCACCGAATATTCTAGAACGATTTTATCTATCGCCAAGAGTAGCACGACGTTGTAGACATTGTTGACGCACATCTAGTATCAGCCAGGTGCGATATCCCACATGACAACACGAGGGTGAGGACGAGCTGTTACGAAGTAGTGGGTGAAACCACAGCGATGTGTTTATATCTTAACACATTTCGGAAGGTGATTGAAATAGTAGAACGATTGGCTTGGAACCGATGGATCTCGTCGTTGCGCGCTAAGCTTGTCGACGTGCGTGCGAACCGCGTATATGTAACCAGCGGTGGGCTAAGCAAGTTATGTACGATCGCATGTATCTATGGACTTGACATATAGCTGGAGGGCACGTTGCAGCTGCCAGACCCCAGCAATATTACTGGGAGGATCCGTGGCTGAAAGCTTACAGCGGACCCTACAAACCGCAAATTGATCAGTGGATGTGTCGTGTGTCGAGGAGATGAGGTGTGGGGTGAATCGTTGTGAAAACAAGTTTGTGGCACTGTCCGCGATGAAGGCCGAGTTTGTGTCAGCTCCGCTAAAGGTGGATATTTCAGAAGGTCGAAATATACATCGAAAAGGTTGGCGCATACGTGTATGAACTGTTAGCTATGCACAAATCATCAAGCTAAGAATAAGCCGATGCATGGAGAAGATAACGCAAGGAGAGCAGAGCACACCACTGAGCGCCTCACGCTTTTTACGTAATTTGTACAGGTGGAAGCGATCAAGGTGATCTACTGTAAGTCTGGTTCCATGCGAACATGCGTTCTCATCAACACTTTCATTGTGCCGCGGTTAATGGAAAAGCGCGACCCCATGTTGCTGTCTAGAAGACACCTCAGAGGAGCGCAAACCCGTATTGCTGTCTGAGAGGCACATCTGGAAGCGGTATGAAACATGTGCGACCAATGTACCCAAATGGGCGAGATTGATGATATCCAAATGGATGCGACAAGTGACTTGAATGACGCGACTAGTTTTGATGTAAGGGTACGGCTCTTCGAGCCGGCAAACTGTCTTTGTTACCTGCAGTCACCCCCACATACATTCTCTGGATCTATGTGGGGGTGACTGTAGGTAACAAACACAGGAGACAGCGAGGACTGCCCATTTGAAAAGCATGCAATGACATATTCTCTAGACTCAACTCAAGAATGTAATATCGTCACATCTCGCCTTCCCGATCACACGTCCGCTGTCTTCCATGGCGCACATAGCGGAGTGTAGACTTTCTTGTCAAACCCGTAGCCCATGACAGCAATTCTCGACCACAGGAAGAAGGCCAGTATACCGGCTCGTTGACGGTCTTTCCGTCATTGATGTAGATCCTTTTAGGTCCAGATCAGGAAGCAATTCTTCTTCGTTTTCTCGGGCTTCGTGTGACTACGCGACCTCCTGACTCATTGCCTACCTTTCATTCATTCATTCGTTCGTCCGTCAAACGACATGGAGATACATTTTCGTTGACTTGGAGAATATGATACATTTATCGACTTGTTTTAGCATCGTACACGCAGGCGGACAGCTCGACAAATCGCAACCTTTGTCTGATCTAAATCACGTACTGTAATAGCTGCTCTAAAGCTTCACGCTCTTTAGACCTTCTTCGCACAGCCTTGTGACGCACCGATAGCTCCAAGTTGCAAGATTGTGCGCCTCATTGCGCTTTGTCACAAAATACTAGACAAGATGGCATATACGCCCGATCAGATCATCAAACCATATCGCACATGCGTACGATTCCTCCGAGAGCTTGTCAACAATCCTCTCGGGTAGCAAGAGTTGCTAGTCTAGAATCCTGACTTGCAAATTGACTCGATCGTCGTCTTGCAATGGAGAGCTTAGCGAGCAAATAACTCGGGAACGCCATCGTGCGACCACTGATGTTTCTGCAGGTGAGCGAATATGCTTTCTGACTTGCAATCATTGCATCGATCTAGCATCGACACCATTCCCATCAATCTGCATGAGACGCAAACCTGTCGACTGCTAAAAGTGTGCCATCGTTGGGCTTGCCACTACTTTATCGGAAGTGCTATTGCCGATTGACAGTGTCTGAGCTTCACGTCAACATCCGCCGGAGCTGCTGTTGATACGGTTGTATCTCGTTTTGCAGGCTCGTTGCTTCTTTGTCGGTCGGTACACGTGGATATCCAATCTATTCGTACTGGAACCTTCGAGAGCAACTCAGAGTTCGCGCACGTATCTAGCCTGTTCGTCGTCGACAGAAGCATTGCCATTGTCGTACCAGCAGTTCTCGTATTTGTCACACGCAAGTTGCTAGTGCATAAGAACAAAGCCATGCCGGTGGTCTGAGGCGCATGTGGAGACTAAGGTACAGTAAAAGCACACTGCCAACCTTGCCACAAAGCCTGAGGTTCAGCCATCTTCGCATCTAACTCGACCACTTATACCAGCATCATTGCAGTGCACCGAACCAAACCGGCCCGACTCGAACTAAACGTGGGACATGTGTTGCACTGCACCCCGCAGGCAGCAATACGACAAACCTGTCTCAGCACAATACAACCAACCGGTCTTCAGCCTTATGTCTACACACGATGGTCTTCCTCGTCGACTCGGCTCCACTGCCATTGTCATCTGCGCTTCTCCCGACACTGGATAGCAGCTAGCATGCAAAACGGACAGCGACAACACTTTATACACAGCTTTGTCCACAAATCCAGCCGGGCGCCAACGCTGCATTATCAATTAACGCCCACCACTAGACCTGTTTTCTTCCTTTTTCACAGTTGGTTCCTGTCCTCATCGCAAAGCTCCGTCTCGACCGAACAGACGCCCAAATATCCGTCCATCGAGTTGTCATTCCTGTGGTCAGCTGTTTGACAAGCACGTCGCTTACTCGTTCTCCTCAGCACGCACACGAGCATCGGGGTTCGTCACGCGGACGTTCAGCTGTTCCGCGCGCTCAATGATCTCACGACGCTTGCGGCCCGACACGTTGTGCGCAATCTCAGCGCAGTACTTGCGGTTGTGCATGAGCAGCACCTCGAGCTCAGCCACATTGTTGACCACAAACTTGTAAAAGCCGTTGGGTAGCAAGTGGCGCGTCTTCTTGTTCGAGCCGTAGCCGACGTTCGGCATCTTAATGGCGCCCTTAAACTTTCGGCGCACGCGGCCATCAATACCTTTCGGGCGACGCCATGACTCCGGCACACGCTTGAAGCGGTTCGACTGGTGACGTTTGAACTTCGTCACCTTCTTCTTGACGATCTTTGGGCGGACGACGGGAGTAACCTGCACCATCTACAACACGAGCAGCAGCACAAACGCACGATACACCCGCTGTCAGCAATGAGTTGACCCGTCTGCTGGTTCAGTTTCCTGTCCTGTGCACGGTCCATCCTATCGACCTCAGCGCTCTGTACTGATCGACGATCGCGGGATGGAACCCAATCATCACTTAGTGACACAGAGTATGCTCATGTTCACGAACGAGTCTCGTGACTGCAATCACGTCCACGAGCAGAAGGCGGACGTCTGTCTACGTATGGTCCACGTGTACCACGTCTGCATCGACACATGGCGCGCAATACGCGTCTCTCTTACCTTTGAAATGAGGAACCGTTTGTGATTTCAGCACTGTTTGGAATCGAATTGGGCCGGACGAGAGCGTGCTCGCCATTCAATCGTGTGTCCACTTTTGGCCACTCAGACGACGAGAGCGTGCGCCAGCGAGCGCTGATTCGACGAAAGTGTGCGCAGATGTGATTGGCCGAGCGCGATATCATCGGCCGACCGTCGCGATGTCTTCCTCTCGAGCATCGCTCAGATCGTATCGGAACTGACTATGGAGACTCAAGTCATGCGCGTGCTGCCGGACGTTCGGGCTGGTACATTACTTGCGAGCAAATAGTGGTGTCTGACGTATTGTTTGTTGCAAGTGATGAGACGGTAACGCTGTTGTGGTGGTCCGATGGTACATGGCACACAGCAACTGGCACCTCGCAGAAGCTCGTGGTGATGACGTACAATGTGTTGGCGCAGTGCTACGTCCGGTCCAGTTTGTTCCCGTACTGCAGATCGGGAAATTTGCGGTGGAAAAAGAGGTCGAAGCTGCTGGTAGGAAGCACAAAGACGGACATTGTGGCCAGGTGCGCTGCTTGGTACAGTTGCTGACAAGGTAGTTGAGCAGGAAAGGGTCTTTGCTTCGAGTCTGCCTGTCACGCCTGATGTCATCTGTCTGCAGGTATGGGCAGTTAGTTGATCCGATAATTGAATGAGAGTAGACGCTGCAGCAGGAGTAGTGTCGTCAATGTCGGACACGACGTTGGCACCGGTCGTTGTTGCTGATGCTGCTGCATTGTGCGTTAGGAAGTGGACAACTACCACGAGTTTTGGGTCGGCGCGCTCCAGAAACTTGGATACGAAGGGTAAAGTGCTGGCCGTGCCCTTTGTTCGGTGGATTCGCAATGACAGTGTTTTGTCTCATGGGCTTCGGCTGCTTGTGCTGTTTGGCTGCCTGTGTTTTCTTCATCCAGACATTTCGTCAAGAAAACGAGCAATAAGCAGGATGGCGTGGCAGTGTTTTGGAACGCCGACAAGCTGAAGGTCAAACGGTCCAAGACAGTCAGTCTGGACCTGCCTGTTGGCGACGAATCGGGTAAGTTTGCGGTGGCACTCCAGTTTGCTGTTGTTGAGACTGCAGAATGACGAGCTAATGCCTGTGTGACCACGTGGACTAGACATCGACCGCGAGTTGCTTTCAAGGACTTGCCGAAGAGGAAGTGTGGGTGCAATAGTTCATTTTGAGCACGTCGGGACGCAGCTCGAGTTTGTCGTTGCGACAACGCACTTGTACTGGGACCCGATGCAAGCGGACGTGAAGTTACTGCAGTCCCGTCGAATGTTGCGTGCGATCACGACTTTTGTGAGCACGCTCGATGCATCACTGCCGACCATCTTTTCCGGCGACTTCAACTCGCTCCCGGACAGCAAAGTGTACGATTTCATCACGAGTTGCAACGACTTCAAAAGCGCCTACTCACTCTACGATGTGGACGGCGAACCCAAGTTCACCAACGTCAATGGCAGCGCCGAGACCAGCGACGGCAGACAAGTGGCGCGCTTTGTTGGCACGTTGGACTACATTTTCTACCGCTCGCATCGGTACGTGCACGTGTGCAAACATGTCGTCGTCGACAGAAGGGAAGGGAAGACAACCATCCAGCAGCCCTAACTTGTGTGTTCGTTTCCGACTACAGAATGCGACCCGTGGCGCTTATGGAGATCATGTCGATTGAAGATGCCAGTCGTGAAGTTGCGCTGCCCAGTGCCATCTCTCCATCCGACCACGTTCCACTGCTATGCGAGTTTCAGATTCTACTGAAGTGACCACAAGGGACTCTCATGGACATAGTCAAGTCGGTCTCAGTCAGTCAGTCAGCACGAGTAGTAGTTTCGCAATGTAGCCAAGTGGTTCATCCACGCACTTTTTACAAAAAGCGGGATAAAACGTGCACCCGAGCGGTAAAAAGCACGTCGCTCATTGTTGCCACGTTTGACATGGGGGCAGCAACGAGTTCCTCGTCTGGTGCTTCGACGGCGGCCACAGTCGAGTCGCTCTTTAGCTCTGCGCACGAGAAAGCTGCGTGGGATAAGATCGTCGGTAAAGTGCCTGTTCCGTATCACGACGCAGCGTATGACACGGTCTTGGCAGCGCCAAAGGTACTGCCTCAGTTGTCGTTGACCCAAGTGGACCTACTGACTCGGGAATACGGCGACACGTTTGGTAAAAAGCAAAAAAACGATGACGATGGACACGCGATGAGGCTGTCTGTCTGTCTGTCTGTCTGTGTGTGTTTCTGTGTTGATAGTGCAGCAATGAGGTGCTACGGGTCTCCTGACTGTAATTTGGTGCGTGGACAGCTCGCAATAGTGTGTGCTCAGGGAACTTTCGCGTCTTGTTGCGCGACGTGACCCACACACTGCCACTGAGCTGCCGAGTGGCGGCGATGACAGAGAGCGAATGGGCGGCGTTTGCACGCGAGACAGGAGAGCGCGTGGCAGTAGACGGCAAGCGGCAGACAGTGGACGCGCACTTGCATCGAGCTGTGAACGCGCTGTTTTTGGTGCGGCAGTTTGCAATGAGACTGGTCGAGAAGACGGACGAGGGGCCGTTGCTGGCCCACTTTACCATGCAAGCGACTGACGAGGTGAATGGGCCTGCAGCCAGTCGACAGCGTAGGTCCATCAGTGCTTGACGACTTGTGAAGATGTGCTTTGTTCCATGACGGGCGTTGAGTGTGTTGGTGCTTGGTGAACAGAGAAGCTGTCGGCTCAGATGGAACGTGAGGTCGACGGCAGCAAAAGCAATGACGAGTCTGTGCGTGAACATACGTCGGATGACCTTGCTGTCCGCTTTCTGGATGTGCTGCTCACTACTCTCATGCAGTTGCAGCCAAAGTACGTACCTCGTCGTCGAGAGCTCGTCTATCCTGTCGTGCACTCAGTCGTGTCTGTATGTACGTGTGCATGTGCAGTGAAAAGACGTACAACTTGCACGTGGAAGTGGTAAACACGCTCTTGGTGCTCTTGTCCCCCATGGCGTACTCGCGAAGCCATGTCGCGCAAACCGGCAGTGACATACGGGCGCACAACCCTTTTCTTCATATGGTGATGGTATCTGCTCTGCCTGATGGCAGTCGATCGCACTGGGCGTCCGGTTTGACACGGCGCTTGTTACAGAATATCATCGATCAGCTTGCAGCCACTGGCCCGAACGCAACGACGAATACTGCAGTGGTAACTATGCGGAAGGCACGAGAGATGTCACTTGTGACGATGTCGGGAACCTCAGAACAGATATATGAGCCGGAGGAGAGCTCGTTCGTGTCCAGGTACTTTACACTGGAAGGTGTTGGCTCGATCGCGGGTGAGTGTGCTTCTAGTGTGCTTTTCTTCTTCGCGATCACTATCTTACGATTCGATTGCGTTGTGCTTGTCGTGCAGCATCAGTGCTTCGCTTCCCGTGGAGCTTCGTTCGGCGATTCGCTACTCGCGCGGAAACTACCAGTCCACTCGCCGACCGCAGCACTCTTCTACTGCTGGTGCTGCTTCAGAGTTGTCGAGACAAGGACTCGCTGGTTACGAGCAATCCTTTTCGAGAAGCGCTTTGTGAGGTCATGAAGGGTGCTGCTGGTACCGACGACAGCTCGCGTGTGGAGACGAAAGACGCACGGGCTCAGTCAAGGAAACACGATGAAGCATCCACCGACTCGAGTACGGACAAAGTGACGTTGTCGATGTCGGATTTATTTGATGTCGTTGGGAGTCACGCGTCATACGAAGCGAGCCATCTCATGCTGTACACGCTACTTCACGCAAACCCAGCGATGTTGGGTACAGCCGTGAGCGACGCAGACATGGAGCGACTCTTGCTGCCTCTACTGGAGACGTTGTACCACGCGCGATGTGTGGAGCCCAGCCGCCTGTACATACTGGTCATCGTGCTGCTGCTTTTTACGCAAACCCCGACGTTTGTTCGCACGGCACATACTCTGCTTGTCGTACCCAAGGTGTCGTGGTACCAAGAGCACTACATGCTCGACATTTCACTGGGCAGCCTCATGATGGTCATCTTTACGCGGCTCATATCCCGCAACATCACCCACTTCCAGGACAGCTTCATTCACCTGAACGCTTTCGCAGCCTTGTCCAACCTCGCTCGCTCGGCCGAGAATGTGCACATCTATGCTGCTCAAGGCATGGTCGGGCTCATTGAGATGCTCGTCAAGAACGAGGCAAAGCTGGTTGCACGGATGCATCGCTTGACCACCACGGACAAGGAGGAGAGAGACGTGCTTGCACAAAAGCGTGCCGCGTACGTCGAGTTCATCCGGCTCTTGCTCGGTGTGTTGTCATCCTGTCTGAAGACCGAGCGGCTGCCGCGCAACCCTCAACTTATTTATGCGCTGTTGCACCGCGCCGATGTGTTTGCAGCGCTGCAGCGACACTCTGAAGTCATAGCGCATGTGCACGACAGTCCGATATGGAGCACGTTGACGCGGTTTCAGGCAGCAGTCGATGCAGAATCTTCCGGCGATGTGCTTGACGCGGACAGAGTGCTCGACATCATTCGATGCGAATGCGTTAGTCTCTTGGCGGCGTCATGTACCGAGCCAGGGGGACCTGAAGGCGTTGCAGCGTCAGCCACGTCTGTCGACAACGACGATGTCAGCTATCAATACGAAGAGGAGACTGACCCGGAGCAGTTTTTCGTGCCGTACGTTTGGAAGCTCGTTCAGGAACAGACCCCTGACTTCTGCTGGAAAGTCGACAAGATCACGCTGTTCGTGCCAAGCGGCGCCTCTGCGCATGGGGGCGCGTCGATAAGCTGAAGAACAGGGGCAAGTCGCAGACAACAGTAGACGTTAAACACACGGCTCGTATTCATGCTTGCTCAAGTGTCCCTGCACGTGCACGCAGGAGCAACAGTAGGCTAGCGCAGTCACTTGCGCACAGTGGCGATCTTGCGCTCGGCAAAGCTGGGCAGCACGAATGAAGCTTCGTGGATCTTGGCATTGTAGTACCGCAGCGTCTGCTCCATCTTGTCGTCCGGCGTGCGCTTCGGCTTCGCTAGCACGCCGTCGCTCTCGTCGAGCGAGCACATGATGAACCCAATTTGACCCGACGGGTACGTCGGAATCGTCGTGTACGCGTAATTGACCGACGGAAAAAGCGCTTGGCAGCGCTGCATGACGTCAACAATGAGGTCGAGATGCAGCCACAGGCACTCGCCTTGGGTGCAAATCACTCCGTCGTGCGACAGCGACTTCTTCATGCTCTCGTAAAACTCGGACCGGTAGAGCACCTCTGCCGGCCCGACTGGGTCCGACGAGTCGACAATGACCACGTCAAACTGGTGGCTCGTGTTCTCTCGCAGATAGACCGCTGCATCCGCGTGCAGGAGCGTGACCCGCGGGTCGTCGAACGCCGTCGCGACCGTGTCTTTGAAAAACCGCTTCGACACGTCGCAGACCATTGCGTCGATCTCGCACATGACAATCTCCTCGACGCAGTCGTGCTTGGCGACCTCGCGCAGCACGCCGCCGTCGCCGCCGCCGACAATGAGCACGCGCTTGGGCTGCGGGTGGGCAAACAGGGGCAGGTGCGCGATCATCTCCTGGTACGCGAACTCGTCGCGCTCGGTGAGCTGAATCACACCGTCGAGCACGAGGACGTGGCCGTAGGTGGCCGACTTGAACACGAGCACGTCCTGGAAGTCCGACTTGGCCTGGAACAGCACGTTCTCGACCTCGAGCGAGAACTTCTGGCCGGGCCACATGGCTTCCGTCTCACTGAACCAGTGCTTCGCGTCAGTCTGCGGGACGGACGACATCGGAGCGGCAGAGGGACGCGGGGGGGGGGGCGGGAGGCGCTGCGGGGCGAAGAGAGCGGCGGCCGCGACTCGACAAGTGGGTGGGCGAGAGCGACTGACTGGTCACGAGCGCTGGTAGGCGGATGACGCGCATGCAGAAAAAGGGACGGGACAGCAGGCTGGCTGGCCGGGTAGAAACGGTATTGGACGGGCGGTTAGAAACGGTATTAGATGGACGGACGGACGGAGGAATTGATCGACCGATTTTATTCGGGTGGGGTGAGTGATCGACTGGTTGCTGACGGAGTGCTCGATTAATTGATCGACCGATGGGATTGTCGTGGCCGATTTTTTGTCGTGGGCGATTTTTGTCGTGCGTACACAATATTCGTGTGCGATCTCTCGTTGGGGAGACCGGTGAATACCACGCGAGACGAAACTCGATAGTGGACAGACCGCGTGAGGATGCCGCGCTACTATTGCGACTACTGCGACACGTACCTCACGCATGACTCGGTGCGCCTCGCGTTGTGACGTGTATATGCATATTGTTGAACTGACGGCTGCGTGTGTGCATTGAACTAACGCCGACTTTGTGTGTCCCTTTCGCCGTCTTTACCTCTTCGTTGTGATTGCCATCGCTGTGCATGTCGTCATTGTTGTTATTGTTGTTATTGTTATTGTCATTATTGTCTTTGTCGTTGTTATTGGTGTCATTCTTGTTATTGTCGTTGTTATCGTTGTTATTGGTGTCGTTATTGTTGTTGTTGTTCCTGCTATTGTTATCATTGCTGTTGATGCCAATGTTGTTGCTCTCGTTACGTGTTGCTACTTTTGTTGTCGCTGTTGTTGTTGTTGTTGTTGTTGTTGTTGTTGTTCTGAGATAGCAAGCCGGCCGCAAGCAGCACAATCGCGGCTGGAAACACCGCGAGAACGTCAAACTGTACTACGAGCAGTTCCTGGCTGGTCAGGGGGTCGTGATGACGCGTACGCTGTGCTGCACAGTCCCATCGGTGGTCGATCACTGTACCATTTGTACTGACATTGCTCCGTTGGGTGTGTTTGTGCGTACTTTGTCGATTGTTCGTGGGGCTGCAGCCGGCGAGTGGCTGCGTGGACCACTGCCAACCGGTTCCTTACCGCCTCGACCCAGTGGACTCCACAATGGCGGAATGGCCGGTGGATATCCGCCTCGGGGTGGCCCTCCTCGAGGTTTGATGCCTCCTTTGGGGATGCGGCCGCCCATGTTTCGCGGTGAGTAATACAGTGGTAAAAAGGAGAAGAAGAGGTGGATGACGACGGACCGAAGAGTGCTGAGTGCTGAGTTGTGAATTGGTGATGGCGATTGTGTATAGGGCCTCCTCCACGTGGGCCTCCCATGATGGGAGGCATGGATTTTAGAGGACTACCGGGACCCGGAGGCATGGGCATGCCGTCTCCGCGGTCGATATATGGACCACCATCAGGCGCCTAATGCTCGTGACTGCATGCAAAGTTCATTTACGTTGCAGCGCGTGGAAGTTGCGGACTATACTTGGCATGAGCGTGAAACGTGCTAAAGCTTGTTGAGTTTCACGTGCGCGGTTGGAATATGCTAGCTGTGCAACGGTGACACAGCTGACGAATATACGCATATGATATCCTGGCGGTGAGTGTTGTCCGAATTGTCTGAGCTGCTTGCGGAAGCGATGGGTCGGTCGAGTTGAGCAAGATCGCTTGCACTCAAGTGGTAGTATGGTGATTACTACCGCTTGCTCAGGTTGCGATTGCGCTTGCACTGCTAGGATCCTTATCCACGAACATGGTATCGATCACTGCCAAGATCGTGAGCAGCAGGATGAGACAAATCACGGCTCTCGTGCATCGGACTGGACCGCCACTAACCTTTGTCAGCGTATCGTTCATCATTTTTGTTGACCGTATTCGTCTCATTAACGACTGTCAATGTAGCACGTTGATCCTCAGTGACTCCCTCGCGCTCGATTGCACCACGGCCACCGCCACCGCAGCTACAAACGTCACTCGAGACGCCGACAATTCGCATCACCTCGTCAGGATTCGCTCTTACGGCATGCATATCCACCACTGTCGAGTGACTCGATGGATCAATGCGACTCTTTGCAGAGTGTATGACGAGCACTTTCGGCCATGTTGTCTTCCGTTCCGAGATTGTGCCTGGCCATAACGTCCTTGACGTCAACCCGGGCGAGACAGATCTCTTCTTTGGCCTCCCGCTGTCGTCGAATATTCTCTCGAGAGCAAACATCCGGTGCTCACCTCTTGTCATTGCTGCCGCGCCGCTGTCTTGGAATACGCACAGTGCGTCGGTCGTTCATCCCCCAGCTTCCCACAAGACTCTGCAGATCATCCAAGTACGACCGTGTTCCGACAATGCAGTCGCTCGTGGATCCTGTCCCTCAGCTCGTGGACATGACCACTCACTTTGTCGCATTCCGTTTCCTCCTTGCAACGATCACCTTCCACGTCCTGTGGTAAACCATCAACCACTTGTCCAGCTATCCATTACACGTACAAGTCGCGTCAACTCGCGGAAAACAGCTACTGTAGCCATTTCCCTCGACCTTCCACTTCAACATCACCAGCCAGTCAAATGGTCTGTAGCCATCGATCGACTGGTCCACTGGACACACTCCACTGCCAACAACTTCTTGGCTGACCACTACCTCCCAACTTCGTGCATCGTGTGTCACCAAACTCTCCTCGACAAGTGAGTGAGTGTCTGCTACAACTGTTCTGTTCCAAGTGCCTCTAGTCACCAGAAGCCGTCAGGGCACCCGACAGTACCCGCCCAGCGCCCGCCACCTATTTGCCGAAACTCGCTACAGCCTCAAGGACTATTTGGTTGGCCCTCGTGAGCCGACATGTCCACGGAAAAAGCACAAGCGTTCGCCCATCGCGTCGTCGAGTTCGCCGACTACGAGCAATGCGTCAAGTTCTTTCTGGAGAAGGACATTGACTTTGACCGGTCTAATGACATGGGCTGGACGGTGCTCATGAGCGTCTGTGCCTGTGGTGAGCTGCTGCTGCTGCTGTTGCGTTGGTCGCTGTGGTGCATGTTTGTTTCTTGCTGGGTGGTTGGACACCAAGAGCCTGATGGGACGGTGCTGCTGCTGGACGTGGTCTGCACGTGCGTTGCTGGCTGTGTGGTGGCTGTGGTTGCTGTCAGGCCGTGACGACCTCGTGGGGCTCTGTGTCGACCGAACAACCGCACTCGACTCTGCGACAACGACAAACCGAACGACTGTGCTGCATCTATCGGCCATGTCCAAGAACGTGCGTTGGTGAACGAGCGCTGATCGAGACTGCGTTCGTGTGCGTACCTGACCCTGTACATGCTGACGTCTTCACCTCGTGGCTGCCTCATCGTGCACAGGTGCGGGTGATCGAGGCGCTCGCGGCGACTCGCGAACGGAAGCACAAGCTGCAGCAAGTCATTGACCAGACCAACGCACACGGCGACACGGGTGAGTGGGTACTCGATCGATCGTTGGCTCCTTTTCAGCTGTGTCGTGTGCAACAAGCAGTTGACGTTCGCGCTCGGGTGGTTTCCTCGTGGTGGTTGACTGCTGCAGCTCTGATGATGGCGTGCGTTGCCAAGAACGTTCGCGCGGTGCAGCTGCTTGTCGAGATGGGGGCAAACACGAGCGCTGCCAATGCGAGTGGCATGACGGCCCTCATGTGCGCTGCACGCATTGGCAACGATCCTCGTCCCGGGGTCGCAACAGCTGAGGAGCGGATGGAGCACAGCGCTCGCATACTGGACGTGCTTCTTGCAACTGGAGCCGATGTCAACGTCGTCGAGAAGGCAGAGGGCAACACGGCGCTGCATCTGGCCGTGCTGAGCGCGAACCTCCATGCGGTCGAGTCGCTGACGGCACGTGCACGAGGTCTGGACCTGACCGTGCGAAACCGAGCAAAGCAGACAGCACTGGACGTGTGCAAGCGCATGTCAGGCGTGACGTCTGCGCGGATCGAAGACCGGCTGCGTGACAAGTGGGCTCAGCACGAGCAAGCGGCGGCCCAGTTGAGCGTCGAGATGGAGCGAGAGCTGCTGCTGTGCTTGGCGGTGGGTCCTCCAACAGGCGAACCGAACCACAAGCCGACGTCGGTGGCACAGCCTCGTAGGAAGCACGACAAGAAGACTGCGGAGAACGGCGAGGCGTTGACCAGCGCCTTGTCGTCGGCAAGCGCTTCAGCTTCAGCACCAGAGCTGGACGACGGTCTTGCAAGCGTGAGCACGACGGAGCCTTCTGGACCAGACACTGCTAGTGCAGAAGTCGGACTGCAACTCCATTTAGTGCGAGTCGACGAAGACGTTCACGATGCTGAAAGCTCTTGGCACAGCGTCGTCACGAAGAAAAGTCGTGAGTCTGCATATCTGCGTCTCGGCTCTGCGTTGTGTGTGTGTATCTCGGAAGCTCTAACGCATGCGCTGTAGGGCGTAAGGATACGGTGCGCGGAAAAGCAGAAGCCAAACCCATGCGTGAGAGCAAAACGCTTCCTCGCAAACCCCTTCCAGCCACCGCGAAGCATCTGCAACCACTTGCCGAGTCGGACCGAGTTCCAGCGGAGCAAACGAGTTCAGATCACACCGAGGTACCAATCTCGACGAAACCAGTGCCACAAGCTTCTCTGTCGAGCCAGCCTCGTGTCCCTCGTACGACAAAGACCCCCACGTCTGCAATCGAGCGCAGGCACGTGACGTCCAAGTTGGATGACAGCGAGCTCTCGACGTCAAGTATCTCCTACGACGTGATGAACACGAGCTTCCACCGAACGTTTCCCGTGACAGCTGAGCTAGAGATTAACGTGGAGAAGTTCCTCATTGCATCGTCCACAAGCGACCGCGAGCTCGAGCCCACTGGTAGCTTGAGCATCTCTCAAGTCGAAGCCCTGCAAGAGTCACACTGGCAGGCGTACCATTACCTTAATGAGAAAAAGGTAAGGCCTGCAACAGTCCGTTCGAAATGAGGATGCACCGAAGGTCCCAACGTCTCTCTCGTTTCTGACTTTGTAGATCGAATTGACGCGAGTACTCGAAGCTCAACGCGTCGAGGCCCGATTCGCCTTGCAGCACGAGTTGATGCAGTGGAAGTGATCGTCCAGCTATGCCTTGCGTTGACACATTTCGTTGGAGCTGCAGCTGGTCGTAGACGACATGAGGAAGTGGGATCATACGTAAGCATCGAGTCCAGTCGCTCTGCTGGCTCTTGCAATGCACGAACCATTACAACTTCGTCGGCAACTCGTCGGATTCAATTCAGGCCATGTCTCTTGTCGATCTACTTCCGCACGTCACTCGATTCAAGCAAAATGCAAACCGCGGCACTTGCCGCTTGCATCAAACAGGAAACGCTCGAACTGTAGTCGTGATCCATCAAGCCTTGCACGTTGTGGGCATCTATCTGCCGTGCTGGCAAACAGCTCCCGTACTGCCTGCGCTTGGTTCATCGAGCCGATCTCCATCAGCAAACAGGACTTTGTCGTACGATACGCTGGCATCTCGCTTTGCTTTATGTCCCAGTCAGATGCCACGGCAGTCTCTGTGCTGTGGTTTCGAAATAGGTTGGCCACACTCTGGTGCAGATACTCATACATCCGCAACCCCTGCGGATCCACTCCAGTATCGTCAAGCAAAGGTCCACCATCTGGAAACAGCGCCAAGTGCGGCTCATACGCGAGCACGTCTTGTCCAACAAGATGCAGTTCTCGACGTGGAATGTACGGAGGATTGCACAACACCACGTCGAAACGCTGGTACACGAGTGCATCCTCCTTGCCAAGTCGTGGTAACGTCTGCAGGTCTCGGAGCACGAACGCTGTCCGTCCGTCCAAATTGTGCGTACAGGCATTGCCTCTCGCAACCTCAAGTGCACGTGGAGAAACGTCAATGCCCACTCCAGTGGCTCGTGGGAACTCGGACAGCGCCGCGAGCAGTAAACAGCCCGATCCTGTGCCAATGTCCAAGATACGCAGCGGTGTCTGCGGCTCGTATTGCTCCTGCCACGTCCATTCCAATGCAATGGTGAGAATGTGATGGACTCGCACGAACATTCACGAATGGGTCACGCACCACTAACGTCTCAATGAGCACTTCACTGTCACTGCGTGGAATGAGTGTGTCTGGAGTCACTGCAAAGTCCATCGACCAAAACTCTCTCGAGCCAGCAATGTAAGCCAACGGCTCACCTGCGAGACGCCTTTTCACGAAACCGGTCAGCTTTGCAGCCTCGTGATTCGTCAACTGGAAGTGATATTTGACACAACAACAACAAAGCAAAAAAGCAAAAAAAGCACAAACACAGAAAACAGAAAATAAAAGCAAAACCAAATTGACATGAGATGGCTTCCTGTTGTTGCTTTTCTTGATCAAATATTTCACTGTCCTTGTGGTACGAATTGCCCGTCATACCTTTCGCTCGTCGTGGAAGACCACGTCGTTGCTGCGTGCGAGTCGGGGCTCGAGAGCATTGGCCACCAGCGCTTTGGCGTCATGACGAGCAGACACGCGGCAGCTGGAGCCTGTAGCAGAGCCTTCTTGGCGGTGTAGGCGCTCGCGGATCTCGTGTACGGCTCGACGCACTGTCTGGTGGCTGTGGATATGACGTCGAGACGCTGCCGAGCGCATGTTTGACTGATTGTGGCAACGATACGTCATTCGACCGAGGGAACATAGCGAAACAGTATGAACGGGATATGTGCGTTGCGGACTATGTGGAAACATATCATATCCCACGAGTAATGTTGCGTCGGATGAAGCTAACCACATAACTGCTGAAGACAACCACTTGTCAAAAAAGAGTGTTTTGGGTCATTTGTGCCCAGTTCACTCGGCAAGTGCTGCATCGTTGTTGGTCCAACTTTGTGTCAGCAGTTGTTCCTGGTGTATGCCAGCCATACCCATTTTCTGAGTCGGAAGACTATTCGCAATGACTGTTTTGGCTTATTTTATGCGTCGAGACAGGATGTCGCGATGGGCCTTTATCCTGTGAGCTTTGCGATCGTGAAGCACGTTTGTAGCGAGCGCCATCTTTGACATAGCTATGCAAAGTACTGTCTCCTTCACGCACCTGTCATGTCTACGAGTTGTTGTCGTGCAACAATCAGACGTAACGTGCGACATCACCAAGTTTTATTCACTTGTTTACAGCCCATTCGTCTGTACAGTACGTGCCGTCCATGACAGCAGACACAGCTCAGCAAAAGCTTTAGTTGTGCACAACACGACTACTACCTGATCGACTTCATGCGATCAAAGTGCGGTCCACAGCACGTCGTGCTTTTCGTCGCCTGTGCTCAAGTCGACATCGAAGAGTTTGCCCATAGCTAAACAAAGGCGAACGTCAAACTCAAACAAACGTCAGTACATATAACTTGCGCTCAGTCGTGTGAAACGAGCGCTGCATCGACATCTGATCTTTTGGTCTCGTCTCAGGTTCCTGACAAGTGGCAACGTGACGATATGCTTAGCCTGTCGTACGGTGCTCAAGTTCAGTATCGCTGTTTGGGTGGAGGGTAAGTACTGCATCAAATTGGGTTTGCACTCGCATTCCTGACGCGTTACGACGTACAACGTTACGTCCTACACGAGTGGCCGAAATATCTCGTGATGGTGCTCGATCGTCCGTGCACTGCACAAAGTGGACAACTGAATTCGTGCGGGCGATAGCGTGCGATACATAGCAGCACCAGCAGCACATCAATCTCGGTCTGGAATGGAAACGAGCGTTAGCAGCTTCAGCCCAACTTTCAACTTTGGGCTCATGACATTTCGTTGCCATTGACTTTACCACGTTGACGCGACGTGGAATAGCGTAGATACAACTAAGACATCGGCTGCTCGTCATTGCCACCTTGATCACGAATACCTCTTCAGTTGCAGCCCACCTCCTCCACAAACTGCTGCAGCAATATCCGGAGATCAACGCCGACCGTGACGGCGGTCTCTGTCACGGTGGCCTTGACGGTCATAGTCTCGAGAGCGACCATGTCGGTTGCTGCCTCGCGATCGATCCTGAGACCGGTTCCTCTTTGACTCTCCAACAGAGCTCTGGCCACGTTCATTGCGAGAGTCGATCGTCATATAGTCCTACGTACGTATGCACAGAAGACAGCTTAGTCGACAGTCACGTTCGCGAGCATACACACAATGAACATCCTTACGTCTGCCGAAGGCTCGTTGACGGAGCGAAATTGGTCCTGTGATATTCGTACACGATACAAGACTGTTAGCGCTGAGCTTACAAGGCGGAAACGGCACCATAGATGCTGCAGGGGCTTACATCGATATGCTTCTTGAACTTGAGCTTGGCAGTCATCCACGACTTGTCGTCCGTCGTATCATCGTGTTCGTCGTCATCTTCGAGAATTTGCCCATGGTAACTCTCTGTGACGTCCTTCTTGGTTCCATCGCTTTTGGCATCTGCATCACCGTCTGCAGGATTCGTCGTCTGAGTATTCACGCTGACAAGCGTCGCCTGAAACTGCTTCAGCTTCATCAGCGTCTCTTGCTCTCGCGTGCTGCGCTTACTGCTTTTTTTCGCTGCAAGTACTTTTGTCGCTGCTGTTGCAATGGAGTGAGCATATCTTGGAAAGCTCTGTCTTTTTCCAGCTTCTTTGCTTCCTCGCCCATTAGCAACGGAACAGCCTTCTTCGACTGTCGCAGCTCCTCTCGCAATTTAGCATACTCTTCTCGGTCCGTCTTGTGGCGACTCGAGCTTGCAGAAAGCTTGTTGACACTCGTCGTATCGAGGCTTTTGTCAGCATCTCCCCTCTCTTTGCTCGACGCATTCTTGCTGGAAGCTGCTGCTACTGCAACTTTCAATTTCTCTCGCGCGCGTGCTTTCTTGTCCTCGCTGGCCACTTCGTTGTCGATCTCTGCGACACGCTGCAAGACCTCGGCATCTACTATTGCCTTGAGTTTGTGATCATCGAGTAAGTCGTGACTACTTGCCATCGTCTTTGCTTTCTTGTGAAACGTCGAGGCAGCTCTACTGACTTCTTCTTGAAACGCCTCTTCATCGTCACCAAACGAAAGCAACTTCAAATCCTTCGTCGCTTTTCGCTTTGGCTTTTTCGTTGCCTGAACGTCATTCGACGCCTCGTTCCGCTTGACAGCTCTACTCAATGCAACAAGCACAAACGACAGTTACCGCCATATCCAGCCTTTCATCAAAGCCCGTGTTTCAACACGAAGTTACCGTGGAACAATGTCCTCGAACGGATTCCAGAGCACTTCAATGCTCAACAATTTCGGCGGACGAAGCGGACGGTCCTGCTCATTGGTTTCCACGTCTCCGACACTCAGCAGATTGAAAATGGTGTTGCCGGTCACCTACCACGTAAAGCCACAACAAACTCCCGATCAGTACCCCATCACCCACTGGAGCTTCAGCCTCACTCAGCTCTTCTTGTGTGTACTCTTTTTTTTCGTACCTTGCCAAAGATCGTGTGCTTCTTGTCCAGAAAGTCGCAGGCGTCCAACGTGAAGAAAAACTGCGAGTGGTTCGAGTTGGGTTTGTTCTCATTGGCCATTGCCAGCAGTCCGCGATGAGTGAACCGCAGTCTCGAGTGAAACTCGTCGGTGAATGCACCTCCGTAGATACTCTCGCCTCCATTGCCAGTGCCTGTGGGGTCCCCTCCTTGTACCATAAACCCTGGCACAATGCGGTGGAAAATCGTCTGGTCATAGTACTGTCATATATTTTGTCATATCGAACGAGAAAAACAGCGAGATAAACAACAATAGAAAAAGTGAGCGACTTGCCGATGGTCAGTGTACTGAATTAGGTGAGTGAGTGAGTGCAGTGGCGACAGCCACAACAGCGCCTGCCTCGCGTACCCCTTCGAGACTGAGCTGCACAAAGTTGCGACATGCCTTGGGTGCTTGTTGCGGCCACAGCTCGACGTCCACGTCTCCGAAGCTCGTGTGCAGCAGCACTTTGCCTTCCGTGTTTGGCTCAGTGATGTAGATGTTGGACATGTCCGCACGTGAGGTCACTGAGCTCGGGAGGCGGTTGGAATCGTTGAGCTGGAGATGTGAGTCCTCTCATTAGTCATGGCGTAGTTATGACCACTGTATGATGGGTTTGGCCACTATCTCAACGTTCGAGTGCGAGCTGACTGATGACATACCGATATCTGCTTCCGTCGATGGAAATGGAGAAAGTTGTACAATGAATCACAAGACGTCTTCTCGTTGTCTCGACATTGACAATCGACCGAAAGCGTCACCAAAGCACACTGAAAACTCTGTGCGTCAAAGAACGCAATGCACAATGGACAAAACAGTAGCGAAGCGCTCACATTCCTCGTCCACGTTGAGAACGGACCGCGTTTTATTCGCTTCGAGCTGACCAGAACCGAATCCATCCTCAGCAGACCAATTGACAGCTTAGACGGACCAATCAATGGACTCGTCGAGGGCTTAGAACTGACGGAACTGCTTGCGCACGTTGATGGGCTTGGTCTCCGAAGCAGGCTCGACTTCTAGCACGTTGAAGCGCACTGTCTTGGCGAGCGGGCGGCACTGGCCAATCGTGACAACATCGCCTTCCTTGACACGGAAGGCCGGCGACAAGTGCGCCGCTACGTTCTTGTGACGCTTCTCGAAACGCTTGTACTTCTTGACAAAGTGCAAGTAGTCACGACGCACGATGATCGTGCGCTTCATCTTGTTCGACAGCACGACACCCTTGAGGATACGGCCACGGATCGAAATGTTGCCGGTGAACGGGCACTTCTTGTCCACGTACTGGCCATCGATGGCGCTCTTGGGGGTCTTGAAGCCGAGACCCACCTCCTTGTAGAAACGAGGACCTTTCTTCTTGCCGGCAAACTTCTTGCTCGCGAGGAACACGCCCTGCTGCTTCTGGTAAGCCTTCTCCGTCTGCAGTCGACAAGCAAGAGAACAAGCAGTGAGTCTTCGCAATAACCCACACACCCAACAACAAACACGAGGAACGCGGCGTGACAGCAAGAGCACTACTCTTGGCGTGTCTTGCCAACGACTGCTGCTGCAGGTACAGTAAAGCAGACAGCTTTGGTGTCAACCTCTCCGTACAAGAGATCTAGAGGGTCCTGCCGATGATGAGTCGGATGAGAAAACGTTTTCAGGGTCTCGCAGTCTCAGCAGAAAGAAGAAAAGAGAGCAAAGCCATGGGAGATCGACGTCGGCAGTAGCTACGAGAGACACGAAGAGACTCTGCAGCTACCGCCGACGTCGTTCCCATCTCCCTCCTTGTCGTCTCCCTCTCCTTCTTCTTCTTGCTTTGACTCGACAATCACTCACAGCGAGCAACTGGGTGTGGATTACAGCCTTGGTGGGCCATCACCCCGACCAACTAGCTAGCCAGTTCCTTCAGCTCCGTCTGGACGCCAGTGCGCATGGCAACAGGCTCCAGAGACAGAGACACTAAGCCAGCCATTGGCTCCGCTCACACTACCACAGCGATCAGACGCACTTCCACGTCGCCCTGTTTCCCCTTCCTCACTCGCTATCTGCCTTACCGCCCACCCATCAGTCTTTCCGTCATGAACCAACAGAGTTCCTCGCTCTCTCTCTCTCTCTCTCTCTTTGTCTCGCAAATTGCTTAGGCGCAAGGGCACTAGCGGCCTAAAGTACCTGGTCAACGTGCTCCATTGTGCTGGCGAGGAAATGAGCGAATGGCTGGTGAGGAGGCCGGCGCTCGCGCCACGAGGAGAGGTGATGATTGGCCGAGGTGTGTTACTTCAGACTGCGCAAAGTAACGATGTGAAGGGATCCGTGACAGGTGTTATGTCGGTTTCTGGCGTTGCAAAGACGACTTATGTGGCTTTGGCGAGGCCACGCTAGGATGCTTTTTCTGTGTTGTGTTATTCGTGCGCGCAATCCTGTCTCCTCGACAACATCCACAACGACACTTGTTATCCCGTGCGCACGAACACCTGTTTCCTATATTTCGATAGCTCGTGCCGAGGAAAACAACATGCAAAGCTGCGTCACTCCATTTTGTTCACTGGTTCTACTTACTACATCAAACTGCTGCAGCTAGAGAGACCCAGCGATCTGCGTGTGGACCGCAACTCCACCATACCCCCACACATACACACTCAGCCCTCCTTGCTGGTGATGTACTGCTTGACCTCCACCGGGTTGGCCTTGTAGCCCTGTAGACGGAAAGACGAGTTCTGGAAGGCCCACAGGTAGCCGCCCAGCGAGCCCAGCAAGCCTGTAACCACCATAGATGGCACAGCCACGTGACGGTGTAGCTTCAATCCTGCAGATACAGCATAACAGAATAAGTGCGCTGCCCGAGGGAGGTCAGAAGGCAGCAGGGGGGACGGCCTCACACGCACCGAAAACGTAGCCAGCAGGGAAGGACAAGGCGGTGGTGCCCAACCACCGCGAGTAATCCCCCACGTCAAAGTTCGACTTGACGTCGTCGAAGTTCGGGTGCTTCACGATCACGGGATAGCGCGGCTCGCGCGGGTCTCGAACGGGGGCGGCGTCACTCATCATCGCAGGCTTCTTTCTGCGTGTGGACTCGACGGCAGGTTAGTGTTTGTGTGAATTTTGGCCAATTGGTTGAGGGAGCTGCGATGACCGTATACGCGATTCGTATAAGGTGCGCCGATGGGCGTATGCACGTTCTATCCGGTCGCAACTTTCTTTATCGGTGTTTCTGGCCGTAAACACCATCGACACGATAAGAGTCGTGGAACGTGCCAATCCAAAATGAACATGAACGACTGCCGACGCATTCGCGCAGTCGTCGGCAGGAGACGGCGCTCGACACGGCCACGAGAGCAGCAGCGCTCCGTCCGCCTATACCGCCCATACGGTCAGCTACGAACGGGTGTCCCGGTGATGACGTCTGTGTCGGTGGCAAAGCATTCAACAAACAAACAAACAAACAAACAGCTCGTCCAGCGCCACGAGCTCTATTGGCGGTACATAGTGCACGCGCAGCCAAATGCATCGCGACTTCGGGATACTGACCGTCTCTGTCTCCGCCATCAGAGTGTGGGGTCGTCATCCGGCACGACGTCGTTCGCGCTGCAGTAGACCGCGTCTTTCGATGATCAGCTCTGCGGTCGCTCACAAAGACCCCACAAACGCCACCAAAAAAGCGCTCGAAACTCCTCAGCACACGGATAGCGCATTCGAGGAAGAGGAATGCGGTCGTGATACGATTGCAGACATACGACCAGTCTGCTGTGGAAGCTGCACGTGGCAAGCGCCGCTCGATTCGCACCACAAGTCGACGACGCGGCAGACGAAAGCAGTGTCGGAACCTCTCAGCGATCAAGTACATGACTTTGGTGTGTTGCAGTGGGTATTGCCTGCTGTAGTGCCAGCGACGTCGCGTAAGAACGTCTGTATCACGACAGCTAGACGGCAGTCAGTCTCCGTTGCTGCCACGTTATGCAGAGCTCCATTGGTCCCCAAGCATTGTCCAGGGTCTGCTGTACAACACGCTGGACCCGATCGGGCACGAAGCAAGACCATGTCAAGTTTCCAACTGCTGCATCGCGGTTTGAGCCTGTGGCAATGACTGTAGCAGCCACTGTGGTAGTTCTCACGTCAGTCGTCTGCAGATGCAAAGCAGTCGAGAATCTCATCTACGACTTCTCATCGGGTGAGTTGGAGATACCACACCCTGCGGCCACTGCGATTGCAATTGCAGGTATCGCGGCGGTCGCAACGGTGGGACTCCTGCTCTAGTCGGCCTGGACCTTCAGCTCAACGGTACCAGGTGCAGCTGGAGCTATTCATCCGGGACGACTGCAACGACATGCTGAGCAACTCCTTTGCTGGTGCAGCATACGTCGTCGCATCTCTCGGGCCAAAGGCTTTGCACGTCGATCCTGCCTGTGCAACTTTGACCCTCGTCTACATCATGATGCCTTGAGCTCGATGTTGTACGCGCCAATTCTTCGCGGATCAAGGTAACTCATTCAGCTTGACGTGGTCGTATCGAGACAATGTCGGTGCAAGTCGTCGCACAGTGCGCACTTCAGATGCAGTTCCAAGTCATGGACTGAGACCAAGCAGAGCGTGGCTGTGTCCATGTCGACTATCAGGTTTATGATACGACGAGCGCGTTGTCGTGCGGAAGAATATGCGTTGCTCGTATACGCTGGCTACGAAGCGTCGAGCGGTCACCAATACATGGGCGTCTCGCTGGACAACTGAGGCGCCATTTCCAGCCGTTGCGGAAGTGAGCGCAGCTGCTGCTCCGGGTGCTCCCACTGCCACGAGTGTCACCGGGCTCAAAGGATGACGATACGCAAAGACCCACGTCGGACTGCTGCATGCGCGGCTGGTATCATTATGCAATGCATTGCTCAGCTTGACGCTGTCGAGTTCCTTCCACGTTTCATCACGTTACACACGCCGACGACGCTCACTTCTTCCTGCTACTTTCCAGCCGCTTCTGGGCGGCACGAAACTCGTCCTCACTGGGTTCGCTTGGACCTTGCGCTCCAGCCTTTTGCCTTGCACTCTTGCCCTTCTTCGCGTACTTGGCCTCCAAGCTCCCAAGCAACGACTCGAACCCGCGCTTGCTGGACAAAACAATCGAATCGGCATCAGCGTCCCGCTTCTGCTGCTGCTGCTTGCCCTGGATCTTGCGGTACAATGCCTCAGCCTCGCGTGCTTCTTTCTCGCGTTTCGCTTGTTTACGCTTTTGCTCGGCGGACGTTTCGTGCGTTTTCGTCTTCTTCTTCCTTGACTGCTTCTTCACATACTCTCGCCATGCCGGAAACGTCTTGACCTGTTCCACCGTCACCACCACCACCACCAACAGCACCACCACCACAACCGTCAATTACGATTAGTGCCATTACCATCCAGAGCCTCACAACTTCAGCGCTCGACTTGTCAGCACACTACACGACGCCCACCTCCTTTTCCTGAACAGCTTCTTCGATCATTGCTACAAAACGCTCTTCATCGTCGTCCGTGGACAGCATGATCGTGTCCATAACGTGCTGCATCTCTCCCTTGTACTTCACGTAGGCAGCCACGACGTCATGTCTCTCCTCGTCTGAGTACCGATACTCTCCTTCAAACCGGACAATGTCCTCGTTCGAGACCTTCGGAAAGACACGCGCAAAGTACTGCGTCCACATCTGGAACGACGGAGACGGCTCGTCCAGCTCGTCCGACAGAATTGTGCCCGACTCGTCGTACACTGCACGCGCCTCTTTGTTGCTGAGGATCGAGTGGATCGCACTCACGGCCTGAAACGTAGCGGTTGCCTTCGCGCGTGACGCTTCATCGCCTTTCTGCTTGTCCGGATGCTGCAACAATACGAGACACAAACGGTGAGAGACAGTGAGCGATGACAAGTAGAGAGGCAGACATATTGATCAGCTGTAGAGGGTCACATGCGATGACAATTACTACGACTACGACTTTGTCTATGACTACTATAACTGCAACTTCAACTTCGACTACTACGACTACGACTACTACTACTACGACTACCACTACTACTACTACTACGACTATAACTACTACTACGACAACTACCACTACTACTACGACAACTACCACTACTACTACGACTACGACTACTACGACGACGACGACTACGACTACTACTACTACTTCTACTACTACGACGACGACGACGTCGTTCGATAATAGTTATGACAAAAGAGAGGGAGACAAACGTACGTATTTCAGCGCGAGCTTCCGGTACGCCCGCGTGATCTCTTGCTCTGTGGCCGAGCGCTCGACGCCCAGTGCCGTGTACAGATCACAGTCCGGTCCGAACTCGGAGGCGATGATCGCAGCCATGACAGACAACTACTTGCGGCGACGCTGCGCCTGAAGTAGCACAATGCCAACGCGCATTCACTCGCGCGAGTGGCGGGTGCACTTTTACGTTGTCCACGTAAAAGTGCAGTGACCACCACATGTATCGACTGAGAAGGGCATAGTGAGACCGTAATATATAAAATGCTGCTGTCGTTCGGTAGTGGGAGTGCAGCGCATGTGGCGATCGTGACGGGCGCCGGTCGTGGTCTCGGGCGCGCCTGGGCGCAGACGTTAGCTGATCGAGGTGTTCGAGTGGTTGTCAACGACAATGACACCGATCGGTCACTGGTCGATGCAGTCGTGCAGGACATTTGCAGTCGAGGCGGCGTCGCAGTGGGGGACTACCACTGCGTGACGGACGGCGCAAAGATTGTCAAGACGGCGATGGAGCACTTCAAGCGCGTGGATATCTTGATAAATGTATGCACCATGCGATCGTTTGTGGGTCGCTGCGCTCTTGTTTGTATGTTTGGTAGTCATGGAATCGACGGACGAGGGGTAGTCACGAAAGAAGAGGAGATATAGTAGTAGTCATGGTGGGAATAGTAGTAGCCAGTGGGAGGAGGAGTAGTAGTAGTAGTCACTGAAGTTGTAGTGGGTGCTGGATACTAAACGGTGGCTGTCGTGCTGTAGAATGCTACTGTTATCCGTGACGGATCGTTTCGCAAGATGACTGACAAGAACTGGTACCGAGTGGGACATGAGAAAATGAGAGACGGAGTCGCATTACATTGAGAAGCTGTGTGGAAAAGAAAGTAGTCGTCGAGTGCTGACGATCTCTGCTGCTGTCTATTATTCGTTTGTTTGTTTGTTCTGATAGGGACGACGTGTACCGGTCGAGCTTGCTAGGGACTTTCCGCGTGACGCAGGCAGTGTGGGGTATCATGCGTCAGCAAGAGTACGGCCGGATCCTCAATTGCGTGTCAAGCTCTGGCCTTTATGGCAACTTTGGACAGGTGAACTACGCTGCCATGAAGATGGGGCTCGTGGGGTTCACCGTGGCCCTTAATCAGGAAGGTCCGTGCTGGCCGATCTGGTTCTCTCGAGTTGAGATAGTGTGCTATACGCTGGTGGCTTACACCATCGTATGTGGCGGGTTCTGCTGTGAGCAGGTGCCAAGTACAATATCGCTGTGAATGCTGTGTCTCCTGTAGCTGGCACGCGGCTCACACAGCCAGTGTGGCCGGAAGACATCTACGCCAAGCTGACGCCCGAGTTGACATCGCCGATCATTGTGTACCTGTGTCACCCGTCGTGCAAAGATAACGGGAAGTTGTTCGAACTGGGTGGAGGATGGGTCGGCGCTCTCCGTCTGCAGCGCACGCATGGTGTTGGCTTCCCCACCGACCCCACGCAGTTTACGCCTGAGCTCGTGGCAGAGCAATGGCGAGGAGTGGTGGACTTTAGCCGTGTGACACATCCGACGTCGACGCAAGACTCGTTCGAACCCATGATGCGCAACGTGACGGCGCCGCCCAAGTCTTTGACTACACCTCGTTCCATCGAGTGTGCCGAGGTGTTCAATCGACTGCGAGCTACGCTGCAGGAAAAGGGACAGACGCTCTGCAAGCAGATTTCGGGCGTGCTCGAGTGGCACATCAACAAGGAGGTCTGGACAATATCGTTGTTGAATGGCAAAGGCGTTGTGATCGAAGGCAGCGGTCCGCGCTTGGCACCGGATCTCCAGATTCACATGGACGAGCAAGACTTTCTGGACTTGGCAGCGGGTCGACTGCGGGTGCAGCAGGCACTGATTCGGAAGAAGCTGCGCTTGCAGGGCAATCTCAAGATGGCGATGAAGCTGCAGCCGTTTGCCGATCTCTTGCTGCAGCAGTACAGCGCGCGGCTATGAAGGCAGAACTCGTACGTGCTGGAAGAGGGAGGAGCGTAATGTTATACATGTTGTTTGCCAGCCAAGCAGGTGACGCTGCCGTTCTTGCAACGTATTCCCATGGCCTCGACGTGACTGCATGTACGCTGGTGACATACCTGGCTTTATCTGCTTCATATCAAGCTGACCAAGCTGCCGTCCTTCTACATCGTCATGAGACCATCACACGCACGACAAAGCACAGGCGATCACTGAGTCTGAACGGCACGACACGATCTGCGCAGCAGCACCGCCGCCAAGTCGACGGCCGATCGATCGACGCAGCAGACCCGAGACAACAGAGACGCAACCTCGCAGAGAAACACGCACTGGTTCACTATATTGTTGGTCCTCGGTTGGTCCTCGGCCTCACCTGCTCTGTTCCTGCCATGCCGTTTCCTCCCCTCCTATTGCTGCTGCTGCTCCCGACGTGGTCGAGTCGCGGCTGCTGCTCGCAGTGTTGTAGTCGACTCTGTGCTTGTCCACCACACCTCCTTCGCCTATTGCTGAACACGTCGAGCTGGTCTTGCTTCGTGCAGCCACGCAACTCCGTCCAGCAGGGGCGGGACCCACACACAGTCGTCTTGCTCACTGGTAAGTCTTCCGCTTGCCCATGCGCTCAAACTGCGCCACCATGCTACAGGTTCGCGCGGCGAGATCGCGGGTCTTGTCGACCACCAGACGATGCACCGAGTTCTGCGGCGTGCCCATGACAATACGGCCCTCTTGCGAGTCAATCTTTGCATCCAGACGGGCGTTGCTGATCAGCTTTACAATCCACTTCTCGGCCTCGCCGTCCTCCTGCATCGCCAACTTGGACGACAGCGCCTTCATGTCAATCGTGCGATGCACGCGGCAGTACATCTCAAAGATAGCGAGTCGCGCTGCTTCCATGAAGTCGGTCGAGTTCTTCTCGTAGAGGAAAAAGTCACTCGCGAGCACCACTTCGCACTCGCGCAGCTTCTCTTGCGCCGACTCAAAGTCAAAGTTGATGAACAGACACTCGACAAAGTCCACGATCGGGTCGCGGTAGCCCTTGTCGTCGACGCGCAGGACACGGAGCAAGTCTTTGATGAGATTGCGTCGACGCTTGTGCAAGATGACGCCGGCGCAGAGGTAGCGCAGCAGCCACGGCGCGTTGCTCTGGATCGCCTCGACGCAGCGCGACTGCAGCATAAAGTCGACGATGGCATCGCGCCCTTCTTCGTGCCACGCGAGCACAAACAGCGACCAGTGCAGCAGCCACGTGCGCTGCTGGAGCTGCTCGACAGGACTCATGACCGTCTACCGTCGAGACCAAGCAAAGCAAAGCGCAGCCACAAGAGCAAGAAAAACAAGTGTCAGCCCAACAACCCGCACGTCAGCGTCATCAAGACCAGTGCAATTAAGCCACGTACGCTGCTTTCAATGACGTCGCTGATGCGCGAGATGTCCGCCAGTGCATCGTCCCAGCGGAAAATGAGGATCTCGGCAGCGAGTTTGCCCCACAGCGCGTTCAGGTACTGCTCGGACGAGTTGGGAATGAGCACGCCATAGTACGTCAAGTACGTGAGGCAGTCCTGGTAGTTGCCGCACTCGTACTGCAGCTTGGCGTACTTGTACAGTCCATCCAGCACGGCCGGTGTGATCTGTAGCTCCCCGCACACGCACAGAGAGGAACAACAACAACAACAACAACAGCAACAACAACAGCAACAAAGAGAGAGAGAGAGAGAGAATAGCCAAACAGAGAGCGTCAACTCAGCGCCCCCACACGTCTCCAAGAGGTCACGACTCCCCACGTGTCCGTACCCCTTCTTGTTGCTCCAAGTGACTCGCATTGAGCAAATTCTCGCTCTGGAGCTGCAAAATCTTCTCCTCGTTCTCAATGAGGCTCAGCATGGGGCTGCACTCGCTCTTGGCAAAGCTCAGCGCGTCGAGGATCGCGCCCCGCCGCGCCTCAAACTCGGCCGGCACGTCGTCCGTGTCGTGCAGCGTCTGGTGGATCTCCACGGCAAAGTCCGCCATGTTCGTGGGCTTCAGCAGCGCCAACTTGGCGGCCATGAGCGTCGGCTCGTCGTAGAGCTCACTGCTCGAGAGGAAGTCGATCAACGGGAACATAAAGTGCAGGTCCATGAAGGGCGCGAGGCGGTTCGTGAGGTCGAACTGCGCGTCCGGCGGCACGCTCACGCCCAGCGCGGCCGCGGCGTCCGTCGCGTCGTCGTGGCAGCTCATGAGACGTCGGGGGGAAGTGAGTGGCGGTTGGCTGCGGGCGGCTCGGCGGGCGCGGAACCGGTAGCTGGATCGGTTTGGAGAGCGGTATGATATCGGTCGAGTACCGACGAGTGCGTGGAATGGGTCGCGAGCGACGGGGAAAAAAGAGGACGCGCTGGACCCATACGAGTGGGGTGGGAGGACGTTTTGTGGTATGCTGGATATGCCGTTTTGATGCGAAACTTATGCGGGCTTATGCGGGAAGCAGCTGCGGTGCTCGTACATCGATGAGAGTTGGCAGCTATCGTCGCATGGACTGTTGAGAGTGCTGGCAGGTGCAACACCCGAAAACAATGAGACCAAACACTTGATCAGCGCCGGTTGAAAACGATTCGTCCAGTCAGCTTTGACAAAGTGCGGCAGCAGCACTCCCAAAGCAAAGTCACAAAGGTGCGTGCATGGAACAAACGAGGCCAGTGTTGTAACTCCGTGTCACGGCTTGTTAACACTGTAATAACGATACGACCTCGTGACAATGGTGATAGGATGGAAGGGGGCTGTTATTGCCCGTGTCTTGACTAGCGCCTTCGCGCTCTAGAGCAGTCAGTATGTGACGGGCCACACAGCAGCGGCAGAGGCGTCTCACGCTCACTTTCGATGCGTGGACACCAGAGTCAAGTCTCAGATCAGACACGGTCAATGGATGACGTGTTACCCTACAGACTCGTGTTGCATGACGTAAAGCACATCTTGTGATCGGAAACGGATGCTAAGAAGAAGCACAATCGTCTGCAGATATACCATTGCACAGTACGGCTGGCTGCAGATATACCTGTGCACAGTATGGCTAGCCGCAGGTATCTGCAGAAGTTCCAAAACGCATCGGAGAATGAGACCATTGCCACAACTTTTGGCGTGCCGTTTTGACAATTATTCCACATCGATCATGATATGCCAACTGGAAGGGTCAATGACCCGCTGGAAAAACCCAGACGCGCCGTTGAAGCTCTAGTGTCATTTGGCTCTGTGGGTGGTAGTCGGTCTCAGATGTATAGTTTTGCACAGGGGGTGGGTGATTGATCGTCATCTCTCGCTATGCACCCAGTCGAAACCGGAATGGAAACACGTGCCACGGAATCGACAAACATTGACTTCCACAGGTTTTGCCAAACAAAGAAAGCCAATTGACCAGCCATTTGTCCCACGGTCCCAAACAGACCCGAGACGGACTTTTCGCCAGGGCAAAGGATCAAACACCGACACTCCCGTCCTGCCCGAGGTTTTTTACATCCGCCACCACTCGCCGCCTGTTGCTCCTCCACACAGTCAGACGACGCCGACGCCGACATGAGCGACAGTAAGTATCCGTACCCCCAGTACACGTGGTCCCCCGCCGGCGGCTGGTGGGCCAAGACCGACAAGTGGCAGCGCAAGACGGGCCTCGCGCTCGTGGTGATCGCAGCGGTCGCCGTCCCCGTGGCGCTGTTCTCGGGCTCGAACCACGTCAAGTTCCCCGCCGAGAAGCGCCGCCAGCTCTAGACAGGCGAAGGCGGGGAGGGGCGACAGCTACAACTGTGCGGCAGGTGCATGCGGGCATACAATTACCAAGTGAACAAAGCGGAACGAGGTCGGAGGTCGGGCGTCGGGCGTCGGTTCGTCTCGGGCTCACTCGGGCGGTCCGGTCGGTCGACAGTCAAGTGGCAGGTCAATCGATCGATCGATCGATCAGACGTTGCAGAGCTGTTCGGGTGTAGCTGTTCGTCAGCTGGTTGGGGTCGTGGGCGGAGTCTCGTGTGGTGTGGTGTGGTGCAAGTGGTGTGTGGTACACATAGACAACTGCAGACTGTAAAAACAACACGAGAGGAGGATTACAGACAAACATCCGAATGTCAATTTGAGCTAAATGCAAATTTGGGCTGAGTGTCAATTTGGGCTGAGTGTCAATTTGGGCTGAATGTCAATTTGGGCTGAGTGTCAATTTGGGCTGAATGTCAATTTGGGCTGATTGCCAATTTGGGCTGATTGCCAATTTGGGCTGAATGCCAATTTTAGCCGAATGCCACTATCATGGGGAGCTGATGTACTAGAATTTTCATTACTTTGTTAGGTTAAGCGGTCGACGGCGCACACGATCAAAACTCGTGGTGGTTCGCACCGCGGAGGATGGGCGACAAGGACGACGTCATTGTCTCGGCTGGAGCAGCCGTCTGGTTGTGCGTCGGCAGCAGTTTCGGCAACTTGAACGCCCATGCGGACTTGGGCTTCGGCTTCAACTTCCGGTACGCCGCCGACGTTGTGCCCCCTGCAGTCGCGACGTCCGTCTCGTGCTCGCTGTGGCACTCGGAGCTCACGTCGACGGTCGCCGTGGGGAACGTGTCGCCCTCGTCTTCTTCGCTCTGGACGTCGGTGCTGCAAGTGTGGAGGTGCTGGTCTTCGTCCGCTCGGACCACGTCATTGTCGTCATGGACGTTGTCGGCACCGGACTCACTGCGGTCGTCGCGATCGCTGAACCCGTGTTCGCTCTTACTGCGCGGACTGCCGTTCATGTCGTCCGTCGGCACGTCCCAGCTCACTTGTCCATCTTCATTGGCGTAGTAGTACGTTCCAGGGTACCCGCGGCTCTCGTGCTTTGTCCAGCCGGGCGGAAGCCTCTCGCCGGTGTCCTGGTCCACCTCAGTCGAATCGAGAGACGCCGTGTCTTCTTCCGACAACCGCTCGCTGGGCTCGGGTGCCACGACTACTGCAGCTGCTGCTACGCTCCGTGCAGCAGTGCTGGGGGTTCGGTGCTTCCGCGCCGTCTCGCCGTCTTCGTCCGACGTCGGCTGCTTGGACGTCAAAGAGCTCTTCTTCTTCGCTTTCCACATGGCGAGCACGTCCGACACGTTGTCCACCACTGGCGCGGGGTCCTCGCGCGCGCTTCCCTTGAGCTTCTCCTTGGGCTTCTCCCGGCACGTGTCCTTGCCCTTTGCCTTGGGCTCGTCCTGAGTCACAGGCACGACGGCATCCGTGAGCTTCCGCTGCCTCCTGTTGCGAATCGCAGCGAGCGTCTCCTCGGTGGCCTCGTCCAGCAGCTCTGCCGGCCCAACGTCCTCCCGCTTGTGCCCCGCACGCTGCAGCACCTGCGTGAACCCGCGACGAGCGCCACCTGTCTTGTCGGCTTTCTTTGACGCCGCTTCCTGCTGCTGGTGGCAGAGGTGAGCGAGCTTTGCCTGGAGGTTCACCAGCACGTCCTCCATGCCTTCCAGCATGGCCAGCATATCGTCCGCCCGGTCGTCGACATCGACCTCAGCGTCCGTCACGTCGTCCAGACTGCTGCCGCTCTCGACCGCGCGCATCTTCTGCAGCAGCGTCTTGGCCTTCACGCGCAGCGCCCACTGCATCTCGCGCTCGTGCTGCTGCGCGTCCTCGAGCTGCAGCACCTTTAGCTTCGCCTCGCGCAACTCGGCCACGGCTTCGGCAAACTGCTGGTCCTTCTTGAGACTGAACCGGTGCGAGCGGATCGCCTGCATCCACTCGAGCGCGTCCCGATCGTCGCGCGCGTCGAGGAACAGCGGCCGCATCTTGGGCACGTCGCCCGCCAGCGTCTGCTCGGCCGTCGGCCGCGGGAGTTTCCCCGACACGCGGAAGCAGTTGTCGCTCGCCCCAACTGCTCGCTGCAGGCAGTCGGCATTGCGCTTCACGTCGGTGAGGTACTCGAGGTCGATGATCCCGCGCGGCGTCTCGTCGTCCTTGGAGTTGTAGTAGAACAAGTACGTCAAGGGCTTCACCACGAAGAAGTACTCGTTCCAGGCCCCGGGCTGGTTGTCCGCCTGCTTCCGCAGCAAACCGCTGTACGTGGCCGTGGCCGCCAGCGCCGCCGCCGCTCCTTCCGACTCGAGCACACTGAAGCGCACGCGGGGCCGCTTGGCGCTCGACGTCGTGGGGCTGCGGCCGTCGCTTGCGTGCAGCCCCTGCGGCGGCGGGCGCGACTTGGCCCGCACGGGCGGCTCGTGCGGCCGGTGGCGCGCCCGCGCCCGCTGGTCGTCGGGCCGCGGTCGGGACGGCGACCGGACGGGCCGCGGGCGCGATGGACTGCGCTGGCGACGGACGCGCGCGTGGGACTCGGGCGCCATGACGGGACACGACACGACACGAGGCGCGTGAGGTGGGGGGGAGGAGAGGGGTCACGTGGCGTGTCAAGCGTAGCTCCTCTCGGATTGCAATGTGGGGAGCTCACTTGCGGAACGACTGCCGGGCGACGACAGGCGAACGACGAAAGCGGGTGCGGTGGGGTCCGACTCTCGGGCGAAAGTGAGTCGGAGTGAGGGACTGAGTAAGGGACTACCGACCGGGTGGGGGAGGGAGTGGGTGGGTGGGTGAAGCCGTAAACCGACGTGCGGAGGGGCGACCGACGGATCGAGCAAACTCGATACTGCGACCGATCGATGAGTTGATTGTCTGTCACGAAGACGGCTGTAGTCCGTTTGTGGATCGGGTCACGCAGATGCTGCGGTCGTTGTCGTTGTTGTTGTTGTTGTTGTTGTTGTTGTTGCTAACGACGACGTTGATGATGTTGGTGATGATGGTCGAAAAGGGCGCGAGGAGGCAGCAGCAGCAGCAGCACCGGGCAACAATTTACACGGCTCAAAGGGTCTCGTTCTCGTTCTCTCTCTCTCTCTCGATCGGATCAGGAGGGAGAGAGCTGGCGCGCGGCATTCTGCCGCTCCGTATCGTTCAGACGCAGCAGCAGCAAACAGCAGCAGCAACTTGGCCGGCTGTCACGTCTACGCGTGTGTTGGCAAAAACGGAGTTGACGGATGCGAGGCACGTGGCCTGTTGAGAGGAGGCGGAGACGGACAGAGGTAAAGTCTGGCCGGGGAAACCAGGCGGCGCTTGCGCTTGGCCACGACGGAGCACGGGCGAACAGAGACGAACCCGGTCCAGCAGCTGCAAAAGGGCGGCTCGAGCAGGCGCGTGGAAGCGGCCGCGCTGCTCGTTGAGACAGCGGCAACAGGAACTCGCGTCCGACTCTCTCGCTCGCGGATGCGGCTTCTTCCTGCTACCACTACTACTTGACACGCGGCGGCTCTGTCGGTGGCGGTTGGCTGGTGCAGTTGCCACTGCTGCTGCCGTCGGAAGCCATTGCTGTGCAACGTGTTTACTCGCGTGGAGCTCAACAGATCAGCAGGTCGAGAGGCAGACAGACAGACGAACGGACAGACAGACTGACAGACTGATCGCTCGCTCGCTCGACAGACTCTTGAAGTCGACCTCACGGCGTCGTCGAGTTGCTGCGAGGCAAACAGGACGTGTGAGCTCGTGCAATGCCTATCTCTCGATCATGCCGACTGTCGAGCCCACTTGTCGCCCATGACCGTCACCTCAACGTGGCACTCGTCGCTCAATGCACGTAATCGCTTCACAACCAGTTGTTAGCACTTGCAGCAGCCGCCTCAGCAGCAGCTTTTCCTCCTCTTCTCGTACGTCGACGTGCACCAGTCTGCAGCAGCGATTGTCTGCTCGGGTTTAGATCGCCACTCCGTACATCCGGAGCCTCGAGAGATCGCCCGTCGGGTCTGGTGCAACGTGTTCCGGCTCGACATCCGAAGAAGCTGTTCGGTGTCTCGTCACGCACGGCCGTCGTCGACTCGTGTCGATCGGTCACTCGCGTTTGGATATTGCCGTCGACGAGAGAGAGAGAGCGAGTGAGAGCGTGTGACTGACTGACTGATTGTCTGATCGCCACAGCTTCCGACCACCGCTGGAGTTGTGCAGCGTCTGCCTCTGCTGTCGACGACAAATCGTTACCACGTGGGAAAGCGACGAGTGGACCCACTTGAGTGGCGACGACAGGTGTTGCGTTGCCGAACGTGGCAAACGTAGCAGCAGACGTGTCGACAGTGTGGCCAAGCGAAGGGGACCAGGAAGTACGTGGGTGCCTCAAGTCCGGATCGACCGACTGCTGGTCGTAAGCCGACCAGGTGGGGAATCGCAACGCTATGCTGCCACGCCGCAATCACTTCAGCAAGAAGTCGGTCTGAATACGCGCCGCGAGCAGATCGTATGCGAACAAGTGAAGTCCTCATCGCTTTGCAGCGAGCGAACGGCCACTTCGTCCCCATCCTCTTCGGATCAACGCTGCAACGACAGGAACAGTGATACTGACACGACAGCGCCAGCAATGAATGACGAACTCATCAACACACACGCACACATACGCACTCGTGAAAAGGACGAACGGGTGTAGTTAGCTTCGGTCGTCTCCCTCCCCCCCCCTCTTCTTCTAAAGGTACGTCGTATGTAGGCAAGCACGGACTGCTGCCCCTACGCGTGCAGTCCGAGATAGAACACCTGCTGCTCGTGCTGCTTCTCGAACCGCTCGACCACTGCCACGACAAACGTCTCCGTGAGGTCCCTCTGCGGGACGTTTAGCTCACGGCACAAGGACAGCACCCGCTCGCTTCCCGTCACGGCCTCTTCGGGCGTGTCGACCGTATCGAGACAAATGAGGTGAAGCCGCTGGACCTGCAGCTGCTGCCGAACTCGCGTCTGGACATCTGCACACCAAACAACAGCAACAACAGTAGCGACAGCAGCAGGTATACCATCATCAGATATACCGTCATCAGCAATGGGCCAAGAGAGGAGGAAGACGACACCAGCGCACCTTCGAGCACCGTGACAAACATGGCGTAGTCCAAACACACGACCACGTCGATCGCAACGAGCTGTTGATCGCTGAGGCTTTGCCAGCGCTCGGGCGCCTTCTTGATCGACCTGTCCCGCTCCAACAGCCCAAGCACACCGTTGTCCGTGTACACCGCAGCGTCCTCTGCCTTGAGAGTATCGTACATCGTCGCGTACGGCGTCAAGAACTGGAACGTGCGCGGCTTGGAACCGGTTTGGCCCGCAAGAATCACCTGGCGACCAGCTCCGTACGAGCAGACGCGCAGGCCGGCAGCGTCGAGGACCTCGTGCGCAGCGGCACTTCGGTTCACGTTGTTGGCACACACCATTGCGAACAACGGGTGACTGGGCTCGAGGCTGCTCGTGTCTTCGCAGCCATAGCGCTCGTTCGTGGACTCTTCGGGCATGTGCGTGAGACGGTTGAGACAGATAAGTGGCAACTGGAACGCTGTCGAGAAGCTGCCAGTGTCGGGAGGTGTTTTGGGTGGGGACGTGGTGGGTGATGGGTGTGGCGGTCGTTCAGGCGTCGGTCGAATGCGAACGTGCTGCGAGATGTCTCTCCGTGGTAACGCCGTGCACGATGAAAGCAGCGACGGCGGGTCAAAGGTGTCGGTAGCAGATATGCACGCAAACGTCACCTTCAACACGACACGACTTGGATTCAGTGCATAGGTGTTACAGGTGGTAACTAGGTAAGTAGATGACACTCCTCGTTGGCTGATGGCGCAGTGGACTTGAGGCTTGACGCACGACGCCAACGGGCGAGCTCTTCTCGACGCTTCCCGAGCTCGTGGTCGAGCACGACTGTTCCACTTCGTCCGTGGGATCGTCTGGTCGTCCGGTCCCGACACGCACTTCCCACGTCCACTCGAATGTATTCGTACCCGTTAGGCAGAGAAGCTCCACCACCTGCGGTGACTTGCTGGACCGATAGTCACGGCAACGCGCGCTGTCATCGCGGACAGCACTTGCGCGACTGACAGCGACTCATACTTTCTCCCACCCCTGGTCCAAGCGTTTCATCCCATCTTGATGCACGTCAGCTTTTTTTCTCAGGTTCTTGCATACTCGTTGTCTTCCCAATGCACTATCGACATCGACCCCGCACGGTTCGTTATGATACCCGTGCGAACTGACGCGGCTTTGGACGCCATTGCACAGAGCCCTGGGTCACTGGACGAATGAGCTTTACAATCGGACCGTCCACGAGGTTCTCCTCGTCCGGGAGGTACAAAATCAACGCGTTGTCTGCGTCCAGCTTCCCCCAAAGCTTCTGCCCAGACGCCACTAGCTGCACCAGGTGCATGTTCTTCTTGCTGTCCCATTGCAGCACGCGCGCGCGTTTCCACTCGTTCTGTGCCTTGACTAGAAAGTCCAAGATAGCTCCAACCACATGTCTTCCTTTCGGAAATTCAGGCAGACCCAGACGCTCTTCGTTCGCACTCGCGTCTGCCGGCGGAAAAACAATCGGTCTTTGTGTGGCCATGCCCTGAACGACCATCGCCGGCGGGGTGTACGCATTCGCGGTAATCTTGGCTCCTGCAAGTGTCTTGCGGCTGATGTCACCTGAACCAGTACATGCTGCAGACAACGGTGTCGTGCCAAACTGAAGCGTTGCGGTAGCGCCTAGCAAGTGCTGCTTCATGTGCAGATACGGCGTCGATTCAAGCACAAAGGCATACCGCTCAGCGTCACTGTACGACGACGGGTCCAGTTCCTCATCGTCGAAGCCTACGTCGATCGAGTACTCGCTCATTATCTCTTCCACGAGATCTTCGTCACTGATCCAGCGCTTGGCGCCAGGAATGCGCGAGGCAGGCAAGTGCTTGTCGCAGTACACGCCAAGCAAGTTGGCCTCGTTGCCAATCATGAGTCCAGCATCCGCTGCACACTGTGGGTGGACGCCCACATTGCAGTTCTCGGCTTCACAGATGACCGACGCGCCGCCGCGTTTGCGGCAGATCGCGCACAAGTAGCGAAACCTGCCATTCTCAATCTCGTCAAAGCCGTCTACTGGTTCCATACTGGGCACATCTCGCATCACCAGCTCCGGAATCGCAAGGGCACAGAGCACGTGCACCCACTTTTGTTCGTCACTAGAGGACCCCTCCGACATGGCGACAGGCTTCAGCGGACCTCCCGACTGCATACAGACGGCACACGTGAGCTGTTTGCCGAGGAGGCACGACGGACAGCGCCACGGCCCGTTGTCGTGCTCTTTCAGGACCACGCCAAAGCATTCCTCGTGCACACGCACAGAACACGAGTCGTTCCCGCAGTAGAGCACCCGACCGCACGACCAGAGGCCTTCACAGATACTGCAGCACTCCTTCGGCACAAAGTGGGGCACGTAGCAGTCGTCCACGTACTGACGGAGCTGCTGCAGGAGCTCCTCGTCGGCGTGATCGAGTCGGAACGTGCACTGCAATTGAGGCTCGCCCGGCACTTCATCGCTTGGTATACTCAGGCCATGTAGTCGCGTGCCTGCTTGTGTCTTCAGCTGCTTCTGTGCGTCCCAGGGCTGCACACGCTGTTTGTATGGCAAAAGCTCGTGCATCTCGAGCACCTGTACGTGATGGCGGATCAGAAGCAGCACACCGGACAGGTCGGGCGGCGCCAAGTTGGAGATGTCGCTGCACAGCTGACGTCGCTCGTCCCACGTGAACGGACGCGGGCGGGCCGTGCGCGGGGCGCTCAACGACGCGCCGTCAAAGAGCTCGTCGGCCATGTGCCACAGCTGCGTCTAACCGGTCGCTTGGTCCGTATTGTATTGGTCGTTCTGTGGGTTGGTGGTGTGGCAAGCGGGAGACGCACACCAATGTTACGTACCGTCCACAACCCACCGCGACGCCGCGGTATGCTCGTTGATGGTTCGCTGTCTACGCAATCGAGCCAGCCAGCGAGCGAGAGCGAGAGGGAGACGATAAAGAAAACCGGAGCGGACGCGGCCCAGAGGAGGGGCGACACGTCGGGGGATTCCGTTTTTTCGTGGTATTGTTGTTGCTGCTCGACGCGGGAGACGGCAGTTGTTCGTTGTTGGCCCTCACTCGCGACGACGTGACGCGCTCGTGTGGACCACCGCCTGGTGCGCGACTGCTACTGCTGCTGCTGCTGTGTCCAGGGCGGAAAACCGAAGCGAAGCCACTCGGACGACTACACCAACGCGCGGCTCTTTTACGCGTGCGCTTTCGTCGGTTCAGTTGTTCGTTCACTCGGTCTGTCGGTCGTCGGTCGTCTCTTCGATCCATCGACTGACCTGTCGCTTGTCGTGTGCTTGTGGTGTGCGTGTGTGTAGCTCCTCGTAAGTACGAGCGCCTCGTTCAGTCAGTCGGTCAGTCGGTCGCTGCGTTGTACCTCCGACAACAACAACAACAACAACAACCACAGGAGAGACGGACCAGTGGCGTCACAGGTGTCGCCTCAGCCACTTTTGCTCGTGTGGCGTACTTAGTCCGTCCCCACTCGTTCACTTGTCGTGTCGTGCGTAGCAGTCGAACGAGAGCGAGACGCACGTTTAGTAAGTAAGTCATAAACCAATACCGAGTTCGAGAGACAGAAGAGAAGAGAAGAGACGACGACCGAAGAGAGAAGAGAGAAGAGAAGAGACGACCGAAGAGAGAGAGAGAGAGAGCCATGTCGACGCCTCAAGAAGCTGCCCTCGTGGCCGCCAGCGGCTCGTTGGCCAGTGAGCTCAATGCGCTCGTGCAGAGCACGAACTTTGACGACAAGATCTGTCTCGAGGACTTTACGCTCATCCGCGTGATCGGCAAAGGCTCGTTCGGCAAGGTGACGCTCGTGCGCAAGAAGAACAACAGCAAGGTCTTTGCCATGAAGATCTTGACCAAGTCGCACTTGCTCAAGCGCAAGCAGGTGGAGCACACCAAGACGGAGCGGCGCGTGCTGAGCGTTGCGAGCCACCCGTTCATTGTGGGTCTCCATTACGCGTTCCAGACCGAAGCCAAGCTCTTTTTCGTGCTGGACTATTGTCCCGGCGGAGAGCTCTTTTTCCACCTCTCGCGCATGGGCAAGTTTGACGAAGAGATGGCGCGCTTTTACGCTGCCGAGCTCGTGGTAGCGCTCGAGCACTTGCACTCGCTCGGGGTTGTCTACCGTGACCTCAAGCCCGAGAACATTTTGCTGGACGAGATGGGGCACATTAAACTGGCAGACTTTGGCTTGGCCAAGGACGAAGTGACGGAGATTGACAGTGGCGCCACGTCGCTCTGTGGTACGCCCGAGTACTTGGCGCCGGAAGTGCTGGCTCGAAAGGGTCACGGCACGGCAGTGGACTGGTGGGGACTGGGCATGGTGCTGTACGAGATGCTGACGGGTTTGCCGCCTTGGTACACGCGCAACCGCCAAGAGCTCTTTGCGCGCATCCGAGAAGCGCCGCTCGAGATTCCCAATTATCTGAGTCGCGACGCTGCATCGCTTATCCAGTCCCTGCTGCACCGCGAACCCGAGAAGCGACTGGGGAGTCGAGGCGCGGGCGACGTCAAGGTACACCGTTTCTTCCGGACAGTCGACTGGGATAGTCTGCTGTGGGCCGAGCCGCCGTTCAAGCCGTCGGACCCGCAGTCGAAGGAAGAAGGCGACACGTCGAACTTTGACAAGGAGTTTACAGAGCTGCCGGTGAGCGGCACGCCGCTGAGTAAATCTGCTGGCGGGTCTGGGCTACCGAAGAGCATGTTCACGGGCTTTACGTACGAGGCACCGACCATGTCGTTTGGCTCCAACACTTCGCAGTCGAAGGTCGATGTGTCGTCGACCCCGTATATTTAGTAAAGCGAGCGCGGCGAAGAGCTGTGCGTTTGGCTGCCGCGGTGAGGGCAAGGTGGAGGCGAGCTGCAGACATTGTGCATTGGACGCGTGCGGGCAGCTCGTGGACGAACGCACTGTATGTGTTGTACCAAGTGGAAGTGGAAAAGAACAGTGTGTGTTGACGCGTGCTACGAAGGACAAGTGACGAGGACGGATGAGGTTGCCGCAAACGACGAGGGAAGCAGCTGCAGGAAGTATCGAGACAGCGTGCGAAGTCGCGCATGGGTAAAACGTGAGTGTCGTGGTGCCTAGCAGGGGAGCCGCATGCAGCATGGCAGGTGAGGTCCCTTTTCTACAAATAGAGCGCTGCGACTTGATGGAGAGCTCCTCGAGCGTGTGTGTATCAGTTGTATTTCTTTCGTTGGTTGGCAGGCGTTCGGTCCGAGATGGCAGCCAGTGCTCCTGCGTTCGACCTGTGCGGCGTGCGCGTGGTGCAGGACCCAGTCAAGGGCAAAGTCGTGCGCAGCGAGCGGCCGTTCGCGCCCGGTCACGTGATCTTTCGCGAGCAGGCGTTCGTGGCGGCGTCGTGGAGCACGGACGTGTGCAGCAAATGCGAGGAGCTTCCGTCCAGTGGTTCTGGCCAGGCGTCTTCTGCGGACTCGGGTCCTGGCTGCGAGTGCGAGCGCACTGGCACGCCGAAGCCCATGTACTCTTCGAAGCTGCAGGCCACAGCTGGACGCCGCGCTGTCGTCGTGAACGTCATGAAGACTGTCGACGGCATTGACGAAGTGGATCGAGCGCGCTGCATTCTCAAGTGCTTGGCGATGTACGAGCGCGACGTCTACGCTCTGGATGAAGTGCTGAGCTTGGCGTGGGCGGCCCAGCAGCGCGCTATGGATGCAGCGCTCCAGTTGCGTCGCCAGCTGCCAGGCATCTTCCCGCAGGGCTTCTCGGACGCGCAGATGGCTCGACTCATTGGCGTGCTCAACACCAACGCCCACGAGCTGGAAACACTTGGCGGGTCCGGACTGTTCTTATCGGCGTGCCGCATGGAGCACAGTTGCCGACCCAACTGCAGCTTCACAACGTTCGACTCGACGCTGTGGGTGACTGCGATCCGCGCGGTTGCGCCTGGAGACGCGCTGTCCATTGACTATGGCAACTTCTTCTACCGTCCGACACTGGAGCGCCGGGAGTCGCTCTTGGACTCGTACGGGTTTGTCTGCACGTGCGAAGCCTGTGTGACGACGGCCGATCCCACGCGCGCCGTCCACTGTGTGTCTGGCACCACCTGCTCAGAGGGTCTCATGCTGCCGAGTCCTGTGCGAAACAGCACTGTGGCTGGCAAGAGCAGTGCACTGGACCATTTGCAGTTCGAGTGGCGATGCCAGACGTGCGGTACGGTTGCCGACGCTGGCGAGCGCACGCGCATATTGGCAGCAGAGCAGGAGCTGATTGAGAACGAGTTCCCGCAGAGTCTCGACGAAGTGGATCTTGTCGTGCGTCGCCGCGTGCTGCACGAGCGCCACTACCTCTTGTTCTGGGCACTCGACAGCATTGGCTGCGAAGCTGCTGGCCGCGCGACTGCGCAGCGCTCTCGACAGGAGCTGAGTCAGGTCTGGCAACGCATCATTGCGTGCATGAACGTGGTCGTGCCAGCAGCGCATCATGAGAAGATCATCTACTACGACAATCTCGCGCAGGTTCAGGTGGTCCTCGGGGATCTTGCAGCAGCCAGTCGAGCCTATGCACGTGCGTACGAAACTTCGTGTCTCGTGAGCGGCACCGACTGCTCTCCGACGCGCAAACTGCTGCGTTTGATGGAGACTCCCCCCAAGACGGCGGAGGAGCTGCGGCAGTTGTATGCAGCTGAGGCACAGCACCGTCAGCGCCCGTCGAGCGACGTCGAGGACGAAGACACGAGCGACGACGAGTGACGTCGGAGCATCGGCAGATCCGTCCGAGGAACTCGCGTATGGGTCATAGATGACCTGCACGTGGAGAAAGGAGAGATGGACCGACAAAGGTCTCGTGTCGGGAGCGCTGGACAAGACGACTGCAGCACTGGACAGACGCATCTCTCTCGTGTTCGCTGCTCATTGACAGCTCCTGAGCACTGCGCAAAAAGTGTGTACTGCAACGCAATGTCCCAACGCTCCGCCGCCAATGCAGTGCACTGGTCCGCGCAAGTCCTGTGCTGCTGGAAGCGCCGTCGTGGCTCGAAGGGGTCTGTCTGAAGCTCTCGCCAATCTCGGACAGGGAATGGACGTGCTGCTGCTGCTCGTTTGCCCGATCAGATGAGTGGTCGATCGCGGCCGTCTTTGCACGCTGTCTGGTTCTGCTTGTCGCGTGTCTACAGGTGCGGCCCGCTCTCCAATGTCGACGCAGCTGGACGAACACGAGTCGCTCGCGTCGCTTGAACGCGTGAGAGCATTGGGCAGTGGTCTTGCACTTGACCGGTGTGTTGACGTGTCCAGTAGAAGCGGCGACAGCTGGTTCGGGCGTTCCCGATATAGTCAGACGTTCTGCTTGACTTTTATCGCTCTTTTTGACGTTAGATGAAGACATGGGTACATACAGACAGAAGTAGGTCATTAACGAGTGATCTTAGGACCTACTTGTGTATGTACCCATGCTGTTGTTAACTCAGCGCAGTCGTAGCAGGATATAAGATGCTGCAAGTCTGTCTATTCGTACACAGACTGTGCTCGAACGGACAACACGTCAAGTCAAACCATGCGAGCGAGCGAGCGAGCGACAAACCAAATCGTTGTGAGCTGTCGACAACACTACGTATCCGTCCTCCACTATGCTGTGTATACACGATATCGTGCTCGCTCGTCCTGTCTCTGCCTCATCAGCGTATCCCTCTGCCCCGTCTGCTGCTGGTACTCGCTCTCGTGCATAATCCAGCCCCACAACCCACACCACGCGCCCACCCGCTGTCCCGCACGCTCTCGCTCTATCTCGCTCGCTCTATCCCTATCGCTCGCCCTATCTCCCTCATTCGACCATTAGAGCGCTCCTCGCCGCATGTGGCTCTTTGCAGCCATCAGCCTCGCGATCGCCACGCCGTGTGTCCGCTCGGGGCTCGAGGCGCTCTTCGCCGAGCTCTCCATCGTCTTCTTCACGTACCTCACGCTCGTGTCCGCTGCCCTCACGCTCGTGCTGCTGCTCGCGCTCGGGTTCCACACCCGCCGCTTCCTCCTCGACAGCCGTCCAGAGCGCCCGTGTCGCGTGATCGAGACGGGTTCCTCGCGCTCCGGCGCTGCTGCAGCCACGTCGGCGCTCGGCCATGTCGAGTGGAAGCGCGGGACGAAGCAGCGCGCGTTCCTGTTGCGCGTCAAGAGCACGACGGGCGACATCGCGGGCAGCGGCTTTTACCCGCCGCAGCTCTGGACGCTGCCGCTCTTTGTGCTCACGATGCTGCCGATCATCAACAGCGTTATGGTCGGCGGAGGAGGAGGAGAAAGAGGAGGAGAAAGAGCAGGAGGAGGAGCGACGTCGGCGCATCTTCGCAGCAGCTTTGCGAACGAGACGACGACGGCAGCAGCAGCTGATGCTACTGATGCTGCGGCGCTCGTGGCGTTGCAAGAGCAGCTGACGAAGTGTCGGTACTCGGAAAGCGACACGTGTCTCGACAATGTCACGAGCATTGCGGAATTTGGCGAGTACCGACAGGCTGCTGGGTACTGCGTGGCATTCGATGCGGCTCCTGTGGACGAGCACAGAGCTCGGACGACGATGTTGGCTCAATACTTTCCCATTGCTGTGGACGATGCGAATGGACGTGGCTTTGCAAACAACTTTTCGGCGTGGTCGAGCGCGAGTCAGGAGACGTTCCAGACAGATTGCTCGCTGCTGTACAACGAGACGGTGAAAGGAAAAGCGCAGGAGCTCTTGTGCTGCACCGAGACGCAGTACGAGATGCTGAGTTTGCGACTGCGGGAATTACTAGGAGAGTGCACGTCGTGCACGGAGAGCTTGCGCAACTTGTGGTGCCAGTTCACCTGTCACCCCAGCAACAGTTTGTTTGTGGACGTCACGCAGGTGCGGCTCGTGGAAGGAGAAGCAGAGCACGCGCACGAGGTCTTTCCAGTCATTGAGGAGGCAACGTACTACGTGGGCCGCGACGTAGTGAGTGACGTGCACGACTTTTGTGAAGCTGACACGGAATTTGCGGCGCTAGTGTGTGGCGGGAACAATGAAAACTGCTCGACAATAGGCTCCGACATGTTGGAATACCTGGGCGCGCACAGCTTTCGTCCCAGCGCAGGACCGTCGTCACGAGTTCACTTTGCTACGATGGAGCAGCTGTCGATGGTTGAAAGGGAACAGAGCGTTTGTGCGTGTGGCGATACGAACGCGACGGGTTGTTTCGCGCCGATGAATACGCGGCTCGGATCTTGTGCGGACACATGTGGTTCACTGTGCAGCGTGAGTGCTGATGACAGGCGTCCGTATGAGCCGGTTTGTTACAACGCTAGCAGCTCTTTGGTCCCGGGTGCTCTGAGCGTGCTCACTCTCACCGGCACGCTCACTAGTAGCAGCACTAGCGGTGCGAACAAGATTGAATCGTTGCTGTCCGAGTTGTCGCGCCGTGCCGAAGAAGGTGACCTGTCGATGTTGAATTACGTGTTGGCTGTGCTGGCCTTCTTCTGGACGGCTGTAGTGGCGCTCGGCTTTGCGTACTCTGTACGATACGGCAAGAAGAAGCGTCAATCTGTGCTGAGTAATCCTGTCAACGGGTCAAGAGGCCGTGGACTGCTACTACCGCTCATAGACGTGGATCGGCTGAAAGGTATTAGTCGCTGGGACGAGTGGCTGACGCAGCGCATGAAGCGCTGGGGCGACTTCGTGGCCATGGGGCACCATCCCTTGTACATTGTGCTCTTGTCGTTGATGATTGTCGTGTGCTGTTTAAGTGGCTTAGCTCGCTTGGAAGTGGCATCGGATGCAACGAGGCTGTGGGTATCAGAAGACAGCACTGTTTCTGAGGAAAGAGCGCGCTTTGAAGTGATGTTCGGACCTCCTGATCGGGCAGAGCAATTGGTACTGATAGCAAAGGATGGTGGTGCAGTGACCAGGTCGGCGTATCTGAAGGAAGCGATTCGCTTACAGCGGATTATTGCGCAGGAAGTTACGTCCGGCAGGGATACTCTCAGTGGTATTTGCGTCACGGACGCCTCGACATCGTCCTGTCAGGTTCATGCGGTCACGCAATACTTTCAGAACAGCATGGAGCACTTTGAGGTGTATGAGACGTACGGTCTGGTCGACCGACACTTGCGCAATTGTGCGAATGCCCCCGAGCGAGCAGACAGCGATGTGTGCAGAGAGCTGCAGGTGCAGATCAATAATGCATCATCGGATACGACTTTGCCTTCCAGCATGAAGGACTGCCCGTGTGTATCGTCTTTTGGTGCGCCGATGATGGAGCTGGAAAAGTATCTTGGCGGAGTTACTGCGACTGGTGACTTGCTGGATGCCAACACTTACTTACAGCAAGGATCTGCTCTCTTGTCGACTGTTGCAGTGATCAACCACCAGGACGCAGCTAAGAATTCGGATGCGATAGCGTGGGAGCGTGCGTTCATCACGCGAATGGAGAAGGAAGCGGAGATCAACACGTTGTATGACGTCTACTATGCTGCTGAGACGTCTGCGGCCGATGAGTTTGCGAACGCGTTGGATCTGGACCTGTATACTGCAGGGTTTGCAGGCTTTGTCTTCATGGTCATCTATGTGCTCATCGGACTGAATCATCGGAAGCTGGACCGCTACTTCTTCTATTCGTCGAAGATTGGCGTAGGCATCGTGGGCGTAGCCTGCATCTTGATGTCTGTCGGTGGAACATTGGGAATGATCGCGTGGACAGGCGTGCAGCTGCAGGTTGTGACGCTTGTCGTGCTGCCGTTGGGTGTGCTTGCGATCAGTACAGGGAACATTTTCTTGATTCTTCATGCTGTCGACCTGAAACAGGACGAGCTGAAGATGGAGCAGCAGTCGTTGTTTGTCGGTCTACAAGACAACGATTTTGGCGTCCACGAGATTACGTGTGTGCTCCTGTGTGAGGCTGCTGGTCACATTGGTCCCAGTATGATCGTGACAACTGCGTGCGAATGCTGCGTTCTTGCTTGTGCTGCGTATTCGACAGTGCCAGCGGCTCAGTGGCTTGCCGGCTCGCTGGTCGTCGGTGTTGCGACCAGTTTGGCTTTGCAGATGACCCTGTTTCTTGCGATCGTGGCACTTGACAAACGTCGCGAACTGAGCGGCACGTACGATGTAGTCTGCTGTAAGCGCGCGTCACTTCCTCGTCGCTCCCACCTTTCGGATGGGACAACTGCTCCAACCGAAAGCTCATCGTTTCCAGGAAGCGCGTTTGCTCTGCCAACGTTGAATTTGATGGACCACTGCTTCACTGGCTACCTCAAGGTCTTGACGACAAAGGTGTCAAAGGTACTCGTGCTGCTGGTCTTCTTTGCGTGCACTCTTCTGGCGATTGCTTCCATCGAGACACTGGACAGTGGTCTTCTACCAACCGCGTTGATTCCATTAAACTCGTACCTGCACGCCTACTACCGCGCGCTCGACGAAAGCAGCTTGTCAAGCAGCGATTCCCCTGTCCACTTCGTGGTGGAAGCCAGCTACGGCAGCAATCCTGATGGTTACAGCCTCGTGAACAACGTGGCAACTCAGCGCATGTTGTGCTCTTCGAGAGCGATATGTGCTGACCTCTCGATCCCGAACATCCTCAGCGCGTTGGCGAACGAAGGCGGAAGCAACGACACATCAGTCAACGATGGCGCAGTAGTGGCCTCGTGGCTGGATGATTTCTGGGGCTTTATTGACCCGAACAGTGAATGCTGCCGCGTGGACCCAGAAAACGGCTACGCGTACTCTCGTCTGCGTCCAGAAGAGAGCACAGCGGCGGATGTTCGCGAACGCGTGACCACGACTTCTTCGTGTTTGGCAAATGCAAGCGACGTTCTGTCGGTGCCGCGAGAGTCGTTCGTACCATTGGTTCGCATGTTCTATACCACAGCGTCTGGGCCGCTCTGCTCCTACGCTGCTGGCACGCGCTACCGTGGACAGCTGAGTATTGACAACCAAAGCATGGCGGCCATGAGCAACAACGCTATCCTGACGCTGAATGGCACTGGCGAAGGCATTGACGTCACTGCGTTTGCGTACAAGGTGATGAACATCGCGCGTGGCCCGTCCACGGGTTCAGGCAACCAAGAGAGAGCAGTCAAGGCCTATTCACAGGCGCAGCACATTGCAAAGTGGATCAGCGAGCAGACCGGCATTGACGTTTGGGTGTACTCACCGGAGTACGTCTTCCTGGATCAGTTTCGCTCGGTTCGCCGTATGGCATACGTTGCGCTGACCGTCGGTCTTGCTGCGGTGTTTGTGCTGCAGAGCGCAGCTCTTGGAAGCTGTCGATACGGCTTGGCCGTGACTTTGATTGCTGCAGCCACTGCAGTCCAAGTTGCTGGCCTGATGACGTCAATGGGTGTGCTTCTCAACTCGCTCGCAGTCGTGGGTCTTTCCATTGCTGTCGCCTTTTCCGTGGACTTCTCTGGTCACTTTGTCGGTTTGTTCGCCAAGACTCGCGCCCTCACGGATGGTTCTGGCTACCCTCTTACGGGCGACAAATGCGTGAAGAAAGTCGTGACGCAGCTGCCGGCGTCCTGCACGCTGGGCGTCGCCATTTCCAAGTTTGTCGCCATCGCTGCGCTCGCTTTGGCAGCAACGCCAGCCGGCAATTGTTTCTTCCACACAGTGTTTGCCGCAGCACTGTGCGCTTGGCTGAACAGTGCGGTGCTGCTGCCTGTGGTCTTCAGCATTGCTGTGGATGCCAGGGAAGGCCGTGTGCGTGAAGCAAAGCCGACGACCGAAGAAGGGGGCGAGTACTCGTGCTCGAGTCCTTCTTCCTCGTACCGCCACAACGCGTCTCTTGTTGGCTATTTTCCTGGTGAGCTGACCACATCAGAGTCCTGACCAGTGGCGCTGGTGGGCGTTCGATCCGAGTGGTCGGTCACACGCAAAGACAGTGGAAAGAGGTGGCGGTGCACGTCCAACGAGAAGCCCAGTGACGCACTGCGCTGTGCGACAAGTGAGTCGTGAGACAATGGCAGGAACGGCCGTTCACTGCACGTCGCATTTGCAGTTCTTTGTACTTGTCTTTGCTCCATGTGATCACACGCGACATCTCTACAGCAGACTTTTCTTCGAGTATCCCAATTGCAGACGTTGTTGTTGTTGTTGTTACTGTGACGGGTTCTTCCTTCGCCCTGACATACTGAAGCGTCAACGTGCTGGTTGGTACACTTTGCAGACGAGACCGATTGGCATAAACGCGCGCTTGAAGCCCATTAGCACAATGTCTGACGCAGCTCAGGAGGCGGGAGATCGGCCGTTGCGTAGCAGAAGCAGACGAGACAGTCAGTCAGTCGTCGAGCGAGGCATAGGACGCGCGACTGGAGGAGGACGAGGAGGTCATTTGTTCTAGATAGTGATAGATGGATATCCTAGTCGGGGGAGGACGGTGGAAAGATGACTGGAGAGAGGGCGAGTGACCGATTGGAGTGGCAAAAGTATGGGACTAACTGTGCCCGTGACGAATCACGTGGATGCCGGATCGTGTCAAAAGATGTGCTGCGTTGTGGCAAAACACGGTGTGAAGTAGGACGAGCGACTCGTGCTTTTGATTACTGTGGTGAATCCCATCGCGCGTTTCGTCCGCGAGTGTCAGCACAAAACCACGGCCAAGTCGCTTGCCCCTTCTATGTATGGCTCGTCATCTACTGTCGTAATTTGTCCTGTCTCCATCTGCGATCGTCCAATGACTCCGTTTTCTTTCTCATCGTACAAAACGCGCTTCAACATCCGTCGAACATCCATCGAAACATCCGCTGAAACATCCAATCCGCCTCGTTGACAACGTCCCATGCCGCGTTGGTCGGACACGAAGCGCAAGCGCGCGTCCTCGTCCTCGTCGCAAAGCCGTCGTGCTGCTGCCCCCCACGCGTCGTCTCCTGCCCCGTCTCCTCGCCATGGGCCGCACTGCAAGCGCCGCACGCAGCACTGGGTCCGTCTGCTGCTCCGCGAGCTCTACGATCTCAACTACAGAGACGCGGCCGCGGCGCTGGAGCGCGAAGCGGGCGTCGAACTCCGCTCTCGACCAATGAAAACGCTGCAAGAGCTCGTGACGCGCCATGAGTGGGACCACGCCGTGCAGCTGGTGACAAAACAGGGTGGACGGGGAACCCTCAAAGTGACAAAAGACGGTACAGAAGCAGCAAGCGACGCGACAAGCGACGAGGAAGAGACGCTGGACATGAAGTCGCCCGTGGCGGCGCGCGCGGCAGCGTTGCTGCTACTTCAGAGGAAATTCATCGACCAGTTGCTGGACAAACAGCTGACATTGGCGCTCTGCACGTTTCAAGACGAGATTTTGCCCGTGTACGCGCCGAACGAGGCTGAAGTAACGCAACTGGCGGAACTGCTGCTCTGTAAGGACGCTGATGAGATGCAGCAAAAGGTCGCGATTCGTTGGCAGGACGAAGAGCTCCAGCAGCAGCTCGAGGAGCTCGTGAGTGCCGAAGAAATGGTTCCAGAAGGAGCGCTACGTGTGAGTTCATTGGTCACGAACGCACAGAAGAGAGAGAGAGAGAGAGAGAGAGAGAGAGAGAGAGAGAGAGAGAGAGAGACGGAGGGAATGTGGTTCTGTGCTGACTGTTGCTCTGTGGTCCTAGAAACTGGTGCAAGACGGACGCGAGACGGATCAGAACGAGTCACTGGTGACGCGCAGTGGACGTGTCGCTGGAGCAGATGTGGCACTGTTCGAAAGTAGCAGCAAGGCTGACGTGTGGGAGCTGGCGTTCTCACCCGACGGAGACGTCTTGGCAGCCGCGTCGAGTGACGGGTCGATCGTGCTGTGGCAGATCAAGTGGAGTGATGGCGTGGCGAGCTGTAGCGAAACAACGCCGACGGTGGGTCTATTGGAGCTGCTGTGTAGCACACTCGACTGTTTGCTGAGACAAATGTGTCTTGCCACTAGTGTGTGGGCGAAACTCTCCACGTGCTGCAAAGCCTCGACGGCTCGGCGGACTGTCTAGCCTGGTCTCCAGATAGCAGATATCTGCTCTCTAGTGGGAGCCGCTCGTGGACCATTCAACTATGGAATCGGCAGGTGCGTAGCCTTCGTGGACACTTGATCGCAGGTGTTTGGCTGAAACATGACGAACGCTGATGCTTGTCTTTCTGACCTAGAGCGGATTGTGCGAGAAGCGCTTTCAGCATCCCGGAAAAGTCGTCACTAAGATACACTGGTTGCCCTGTGCAGACCAGTTTGTAAGTGGAAGTGCAGACAAGTCTCTTCTTTTATGGGTACGACCACTGCAATGCCGTGCAGTTTGCTTCCTCCACGAGGTATCCTCGCTCACTTGCTCTTGTGTGTGTGTGTGCAGGACGCAAACGAAGGCTCGATAGTGTACAAGTGGAGTGGTCAGAGGGTGCTGGATATCGTCGTGCACCCACACGAGACCAAAGTGTTTGTGTTGACATCAGGAAACGAGATTCGCGTGTACGACATTGCGTGCAAATCGGACGAGCTGTTCCTCCGAGTGGAACCCCTGATCTCTTGCATCAGCATCTCCCCGTCTGGAACGTTTCTGCTTGTGAACTTTGTCAAGCAAGAGAGAATTGTGTGCGTGGAGATAGCAAGCGGATCGATCATCGCCAAGTACCGTGGAATTCGTGAGCAGCGATACGTGCTTCGTCCGTGCTTTTGTGGGGTCGACGACGAGCTTGTCGCGTCTGGAAGCGAAGGTAAGACGGTATTGCAATGCACATGAGACGATTGATTGCTCACTGCCCGTACCACCTTTTCGAGTTCAGACGGCATCGTCTACTTGTGGCAACGAGACAACGGCAAGCAAGTGGGCGAGTTGGACGGGCACTCGAGCGTCGTAAATGTCGTCGTGCGCCATCCCATCCGTTCCAACGTGATTGCCAGCGCAAGCGACGACAAAACTGTGCGTTTATGGTCCCTTAAGGCGCTGGAGTAGCAAGGCGTGGAGTATGTAATGCTTCCCATCGCACGAGCAGAGTTCGTCAGGCTCTGTTGGGTGTAACATTTATCACCTCGAGTGACGACGTTCGGGTGTGAAGGATGTGAGGTTGCAAGCGCTTGCGGTGCATCGAGTTCAACAAAAGGCACACTTAGTCATCTTTTTGACTCGATGCGGTGAGGAGGTGGGTCGGAATGAACACGGAGGATAGATGGGCAGGAGGTATTGCCATGTCCTATCCCTCGAATGGTAAGTGTCGGAAGGGTACGTACGTACGTACGTACTGCTGGGAGAAAAAAAGCAGAGACTGTCGATTTGGCTGACCTCCCCCTCATTGTTTGCCACATGGCTGACAAGTTTGTTCGCGAGGTTAGCAACGCCGGTGCTCTGTGCGCGATCCAGTGCTTGTACGTGGTGGCTCACCACTTCGTGTTGTACTCGCGTAATGAAAGTGCCGAGAAGCTCACTGCTTGATAGCAAGCGCGTGCCCTTTACCTCTGTGTGCGTCCGTCTCCGTTCTTTTGTAGCTAACATCCGCAGATGCTCGAGGCCTCGTGGAACAAACTCGTGAGCGCTGCTCCCCTTCTTCACTGTGGCCATCTTCTGTTCTCGAGCGCTTTTCAAGTCCGTGATATATCCCTTCGGCTGCAATGGTCCTGACGCACTGTGCGCATAGTCTCCGCCACATTCCCTTCCCTTCGGGTTTGTCATTCGGGACATTCGGCCCCCAACGCCGGGGGACAAGTCGTCGGAAATGAACTGGAGACAATTCCAATACCGTTCAAGCTCAACAATGTCCCGCATGGCACTACACTGCACGTGGCTGAAGTCGCTCGATGACGGTCCGTTGCTGTCGGTCGCAGAACCCGGTGGCAGGCTGCGCCCGTAAACATGTCCAGGACATACGCCTCGCAGTCGCTCGATGCCCCGTCCGTGATGTTCCGGACGTCCTGCAACGGGACTCCTTCTTGCGTCCTGCGAGGTACAGTTCACTTGCTCGATGCGTGCAAGTCCGCAACTCCCTCAGCCTTGAGACGCTGTGGGATCGCGTCGAAATGGCTCCACACGCGCGTAAGAGTCAATTGCAATGCAGTGTCGTCAGGCAACACTCGACGTGCCCGGCGCTTCGAAAGAGCTTTCGTGTCGACCCCGTGACTCCTTTTCTGGGCGCTTTTCGCCCATCAACACGAGTGCTATCCGGTGCAGTGCGGCACATCTGACGGAGAGATTGGGTCCAGAAGAACATTTCCCGGGAGCTGCTGCAACCACTGAGGTGAGTCATTCGCAGCAGCCGTCCGCTCGCCCGTTGTTCGCATCATCAGAGTTTACGCGACGATTACGTGTCGAGAGGCGGTAAACAATGTGCGCCATGTGCGACAAGCGCATTGACGTATCTGGTCGTAAAGTCGTCCGCTGGAACTGTAGCTGTTGCCCTTCTTTGGCTCACACAGCGTGTCCAGACGGTATTGGCCCACGTACGGAAGATGGACCGACAACCGATGGAGATGCGACGGCACTGGCCATTGGATGACGCGCACGAAAATCGAGTGCATATGGCTGTGCTCCCGTCAAGATGTTGCCACCAGCTGTGGTGTCATCACAATGCGATAGCGGAGTATCAAGTCTGGGTCTCTTATCGTCTGGTACTTCAACAGCTATAACTATTCCCCCCGGGTCAGCTTGAACTCCAGGGGAGTGTCCGCGACTTTTGCGCTAATGGATTTCGGCAAGTACGGCAAGAGCGCCAATAGCTACGATCCCGAAGGCAGGGCATCCGTCCATGGCAGTGCATCGAGGTACTCGACGCTCGCACTGCGCCTTCCAGAGCATCACATCCCGTGGTGAGCCACGTACAACCACCGGACTATTCGACACCGGCGTTGCGGATCTCGCTTCGGACATTCCAGAGAGAGAGAGAGAGGTCTTGTGCACATTAAGACCGTGTTATAGACTCTCTGCTCCTCTCTCTCAAGACGAGAGAGCGAGAGAAAGAAGAGAGAGAGAGAGAGAGAGTCCGAAAAGGGGTTCGTCAGCGCTGCGCCACTTTCGCAGCACTGCAGGAAGACGGCCACGGCAAGTTCAGAGCTCCCACGACCGTCGAATGGGTGAGCCGTTCGCGTTATGCAAACCAGACCCGAGTTACTGCTCGCGCGTTGATGGTGTCACGAGTCCATGATGACGGTCATGTCACGCGTGGACAGTACAGATTCGAAGCAAAAAAGGCCTCGGGTGGGGCGGGAAGGCCCGTTCGTGTCGAGTCGACGGATCAGATGGGTGACTGGACGTCGGACAAGTAAGGTAAGACCTGTGCATGTGTGGATGGGAAGCGTCAGCTGTTGTCACAACTGCAACAACAACAACAACACCACCACCACATTGGCCGACAGCAGGTGCGTCGTCTTCTCGCTCTCTCCAAACTGTAGACAAAAAAAGCGGACCACGTTGCTGTGCATTTCCCAAACGTCACTCGCCCAGCCCAACCGCAATCGCTTCACTGGCGTCGAGAAGTCGGTACACGTATGGCCACCCTCGCGAGAGTGCTGCTTGCTTCGTTTATCGTTGGAACGAGCGTCGCGCAGCTGAGAGGGGCGGAGACCGGCATCAGTTTCGCCTCTCGCGCTCTCACTGGAGACACGGAGACCACGACCACGAGCCATATCCGCAAGCACGATACCGTGCAACCCGTGACCGATACCAGGCTGAAGGAGGAGGAGGAGGGGGAGAGTGAGGAAGAAAAACGACTGTTTGGCTGGATAGGAAAACTGGCCCGAGAAGTTGAATTTGCGCGGTCTATTAGGGCGGAGAAACGCGATATGGCAACGATTTTACCTTCGTGGGAGAAGCAAAAGCAACTGATGCAAACGATGGCTGAGGCGAAGTCCAGAGACACGAAGGAGATGCAGAAGTTGGCGAAGAAGTTAGAGAAAGAGATCCGGCGACTGAAGTTGGAGAGGTACTCTCTGCTGAAGAAGCATTTTTACGACTTCCACCGCTATAGCAAAATGTTGAAAATCGAGGGTTCAGCGGTACAAAACAGAGGTGATCCTCGCCTTGACGAGCTCATCGAATTCGGAGAGTTCTCCAGATTACACCGTTTGTAGTACGATCCATTCGGCACCTTCGTGCGCGAGGAGGGAGACGTGTGGAGTGTCAACTGGTCGTCTACTTTGCTACAGTCGCTTTAGTTTCTTGCCACTGCTAGCTGATTATTCTTGAATACATGTTTCCGACTTCGATCCAGTGCTACAGTATGAACGAGACGTCTCTTTACCGCTTCTGGTTCAACCCTGGCGTCACGTCCGCCACAAAGGTTGACCCGAGGCAACTGCAACTACGATGCGTTGCAATGAGATTGAGACAGCGCTGACGTTGGACAGCCTGCATCGAGGTGACGCCTGTAGCATTCAGACCGGTAGTGCGAAAAAAACGCACGTTCAGCAGTCTCGTGTCGACCTGATGTTCTCGTGCTCGAGGCACCCGACTTTGCCACTGGATATGCGAACGAGGATGATGGATAGCGTCGTTGACGCACTGCTTCACTGGACGGACTGGATGATCGAACGAGGCTGCAATCTCACCGATGCGATGCTTGGTACACGATGAGCATTGGGCAACAGCATATTGTCTGTCAAAGGCATGCAGAGATTATCAGACGAGAAGGCGGACTGCACTTGCGTGAACAACTTATACGGGCTGGCGTCTGAGAACAATCGTTATGAGCTGGACAAGGTAGCCGTACCGGGTTCCGACGTGTTTGGGGTTCGGCGGGCACGTCAGGAAGTACAGCAGGCTGCTACCCTGTTTCGCAAAACGTGCTAGACCAGAACACCTGCTCCAAGTCAAGAAGCACGTGTCATGTGTGATCGTGCGCTCACTAGTGTCCAGTGACATCGACGAGAACCAGGGCGATAGTTCCGCCCGCTATGATGGACAGGAACGAATCAGTCGCATCGCGCAGAACCCGTTGGAACAGCATGAACGCACCTATTGCTTGAGCTCGGACGTCGCTCGATGTGCGGACGGTACTTCCGCTCACGGCGTGCGTGCGAAATAAGTGGCTGGTAACGGTGGTCAGACGGCGGTGCAAGAACGTTGTCATTCTCGAGCGTACAAGTGCTGTTCTTGCAATCGTCAGCATGATGAGGGCCCATGAACTACCACCACAATTCGTTGCACACGTCATTGGTCGATGCACGACAGTGTCTTTTGTTTCCTTCTGGCGAGGAATTGCTCGAGTGGAATGTCATGCGTGCTCGATCCAGCTATCTCGGTGACGGTACGATGCCTTGTAGTGCTTTAAGCCCCCCCAAGACCAGGAAAACAATGGAGTCGGGTCTCGCAATAACACATTCCTTCTGGTAGCACATTCTACCCGTCAAACCTGCGAGTTAGTCGCCGAGGCACAGGAAAGAGTGCTGGGCTGCAAGTTGTCTCAGCATGAGCACCTCGGAGAGCGTCCCTGTCCACAAAGACGGTTCAGGTAACTGTTAGTTTCACAGGTGCGCCCATGTTTGTAAGTTCGATGTGGTGTTTCATTTCTTGGGTGGACACCATTTGCCGAGATGTCCAGTTTACCACAATCGCGACGTACTCCTTGAGGCCGGTGCTTCTAAAACATATCCATCTCATCTAGCAGCATGCTCTCTCCCTCCATCTTCATAGCGACCGATAAATCGCCTTCCAGCGCGGCAATGCCATCGCAGTCCTCCCCATTAGCGCCCACACCAGCAGCAGACAACGGACCATTCTTGGCTTGCACTGCGCGCTTTAACGCATAATACGTGAGCAAGGGAATCGAATGGCACGTGTTGACCAACTTTTGCAGCGTGACAGCGTTTTCCAGCGGAAGCGCAGGCGTTGTCTCTGTCTGACACTTCACGCTCAGTTGCAACGAGCAATCGGGTTTCGTGTTCAGCTCGATCAGCACTTGCCTGCCCGCACCCAAAAGATCCCCAGTGTTCATTGTAATACGCTCTGCCGCCGCGACGTCTACTTTGATTCGAGCTACAATCAATCGACCGAGCACTTCCATCAGTACTTGTGGTAGTTGTACAGGCAAAGTAGTGCAAACAAACCCAATCGTACCGTTCACTGCATCCTCGTTTTCCGCCGAGATGCGTTGGCCGAATACGTTGCATCTTGAGCAGAAAGCAGATAACAAGAGTGCGTGAAACAGCAAGCTTCTTCCGCATATCTCAAACACGTTGGCTAGCGTCTCGATCGAGACGTTTACTAACTAAACACAACACAACACATATCAGTCATGAATTTGCACGAGTTTTCTCATACCAGTGTCGTACCGGGATTGGGAACGAGTGCAGATTGAGACCGCCAGATATCTCTTTCGTCGTTAAGGTGTACTCCTGACGCATCGCTAACGAGCACCGTGACGGAAACACCGAGCATATGCTGTGGTCTCGTGCAAAGTGTAACCTGGGAGAAATGGGCTTCTTTCCATCAGGAGTCGTCCAGCTTACAAACTCGTTGAAAAGCCTTTCGTCTTCATGCACGTCTTTTGGTGCGGTTGCAGTCACGTCAACATGCTTGCGCATTGCTACAAGCGCTAGTTTTCGGGCCTGCGGGCCAGCCATTACGAGAGGAACGTCCGCAACTACGTGCAGCGCCACAGCACCGCGCCATTCAATAAAGCTGACACTCCCGGACCATTCGCCGTTCGCCAGTGGAGAGAGAACGTCCGCGTGCACGGATATGTTGAGGTCATCGTGATCTCCGTCAGGCCGATCATTCCTGTCAGTTGCTGCCGCATCTGTGGAACCAGCAGTAGCACCAGACGTGACGCCCGTCCGAGTATCGTCATCAGTTTTCGCACGTTTACGTGGAGGTTCAACCACAGGGAGACATGCAAATGGGTCTTTGAACAACATTTGGATGCCTTCCACTGCGCGCTTGACTGTCCAATATTGCTGCAACAAGATACACATGCTATGATGGTCAGTAGCAAACACCGATCTCACATGTCGTGTCGACATCACCTGATGGCTGCACGCCTCAGTGGCCTTGGTGAAAAGTTCAAGCTCGAGCTGCTCGAAGTTCACTACAAACACAACACCAGTGAATATAGAATAAGCAAATCACCAGCTTTGGATCCAGTGGGCCCAGCTGACGTTACGGCACACTCACTCGTTGGAAACTTCACCGCTAGTTCAGCGCGATTGATCAACCGGTTTAGTTTCTCCTATGCAACATCCATTGTCAACATCAGTATTCTAGAAACATAGCAAGCTATGTCGCGGTGAGAGTCAATCGAACCGTAAAGCTTGCGCTGTCGCCATTAGCCAGTAGCTTCAGTGACGCGAGCAGGTCTTCGTCTCGGTCCGGAAACTGGCTAGATTGGTCTATTTTGTTGACCAGACCAAACTTGACGGTCAGGTCTAGATGTGCGGCATGTACGTGTTAGCATAGACTGTACCTTTCTCGACCGTCGTCAGCGACGCAGTCTCAACAGCGCCCTGTCAATACACACAGCAACAGACACAATGAGTACTTCACATCACTGCATCAGCAGCAGCCACTCCACTCGTGCACTCTGCCGTACTTCTCCACCCGACAGCACAATGTCCAGCACAAACGTGTCGCAGTAGATAGACAGCGACGCTTCATTGGGCTTGAGAATCTGCAGCTTGACCAGCGGGCGACTCAGACTCGACACGATCTTGGTCACCTCAAACATGATCTTGTAAGCTCCAACGCGTCCTTCGAGCTCGGCCCCTCGCAGCCCTGCTTCGAGGTCCAGTTTACTGACGCTTTCGGCCAGAATCGTCCGCACTGTCGACACGTGGGTCTCAAAGCGCCGAACGTCTTTGCGCAGCTGCACAAACTGCTGGTTGCGCGCGTACCAGTCCTTATGTTGCTTGAGCGTCTCGAACAGGTAGTTAAGTCCGAATCGCCACGAGTTCTTTTCGGTCTGCAGTCGGCTCTTCTGCTGGAGTACTACCAACACAGTGGTAAGCTCACATGACGTTTTCCGAAAGGGTACTGAATTAGCACGATCACAATTCAGTACGTACAATGTTGCTGAAAAGCCGTACCGTCGTTGCGCAGGTTGTCCGGCAACATTCCGTCGAGGCATGAGCGGAGACTGCTGGCGACCGAGTGGAGGTGCGGGGAGTTCTTATTGGCCATCGTAGCGGCCACTGTGGCCCCGTTCGCAGCTGAAGGTGTCGGCGTGGTCATCTTCGCTTGTAGTTAATGCGTTCGTGCGGATGCGGTGCAGCAACTGAGCTCTTTTTGTGACGGGCAACGTAAGTGCAAACCACGGAGTAGACAAAGTGGACCAACTCGGAGCTGCGCGAAAAACATACGTCGGCTGCCTCGATGCTCGTTTTGTCCTTCGACTCAGTCTTCTGTAGACAATATTTTGGTCCGCGTATCAGTTGATTTGGTCCGTGCAGCACATAAAGTGGCTTCTGTCCTACGACTCGCTACCGACGTATCTCACGTGAAAGGCGGCTAAATTGACTTCTTTTAGGATATTTCCCGTGCTTTTGAACCTCAATGACAGAAATAGGCGGCGAGTAGGTGTGGGACCGATAGTGCCCGACTCGGGGACTCGACGCAAGAGCAGAGTTGACGTTGCGTGTGGTGCAAAGAGACGCAGGAGTCGGTGCAAAAAGCATCGCCATTGCCTTTGCCGCGTAAAACATGGAGAATCTGATCGGAGTAGCTGTCTAAACTGGTGTCCTTGCGGCGTATGTACGGTAGATGCGTAGCATATATTGTAAAGGTAAGTGGAGCACAGGCCAAGTAAGTACGTGGATAGGACGGCTCTCCTGACCAGTGACGTTTCGCTCGGTCCAAAGCTGGTGGAGTGTGGTGGCACGAAACACGTACACATTCATTCTCAGGACGCTGCGTAAAGGTGACGTGGTATGTTACACGAAGAAGCTTGCGGTGACGGAATAATGGATGCGCCGCCCGCTCTGGCATTCGGAGAAACCAGTCTTCGCGAGTCGGCAAGTGACGATAGCTACATTACTTGAACATGTCGTTGATCGGATAGCTGAGGCTGCGCACTTTCGTAGCAAAAGACAATACTGGCGAGAAAGATCGACGACGTGGTCGAAATCGCGGGTTCGCGTAGCTTGGCTATTGACACTTGAAGTGGTGGGTTATGGCGACACTATGCTGACACGATGAGTAGATAGCGGTCTCTCTTGTTCCGGAGGTAGGCTCGATGACGTGCATGGCCATGATGTTGTCGACAAGATTTCTTACCGCAACAAACGTCTCAAGGGTGGGAGAGTCAGAAGCTCGCGAATGTAAGGTGACGACGGAGCAACGAGATAAGAGGGTCCTTCAATCTCTAAACACAGCGAAGTGAAAGCGACCTAGAAGGCAGGATAATGCAAAAACTCATCACTAGTCTTTTCGATCTCACCACCGAGCACATATACTGGCGAGTGGATGGCCACGTGCTGCCAATCGAAAAAAGAACTAGTAGGTAAGGGATGCGGTACGTCAATCGCCTTGTCTTTATGATTGGGAGCTAAACTCGCCAGCATTTCGTCAAGCTCAGTACGTCGATACCGCACCACTTACAACAGTCGCTGATAGCATCAGACGTTCTCGAGGCATCAAGACGCGGTGTAACGTATCACAGGACGATGGAACGTGACTGGGTGGCAAGGATCGGTGGATCTCTGAGCGCACGAGCACAGGGTCACCACAGCCCCGGTCAACCTATCACGTGCCTTGTCGTCCTGCGCAAATTACGATGCGATAGATAACATCGGAACACGTGCGTTATTTGTAATGAAATGGCACTCGGGCGTGATCAAGCAACGACCAATCCCAAGTGTGATGTAGAGACGTACTTTCAGTTATCACGCACTAATCCGGCCGCACCCGACGAAACTCGACAAGTCAGTAAACTTGACAAGTCGACAAAACCCGACGGGTCAATCAAACTCGGCAAGTTGATAGAACCCGACGAAAAGGAGTCAGCGGGTGTGTGAAGATCTTCGATCGATTGGTCATACGTTTGTATTGAGGTAACAGGAGAGAGAGATTGAGTAGGAGCCACCTACTTGGCCTTTACTGAAAGAGAATAAGGGATCATCAATATAGAGCATAAATTTCTGAGTCCACGACACGCGTACACTTCACGTGAAGTCCCTACGCGGCCTAACTTGCGTTTGCCATCGGACTTCGGGAGACGTTGCTTGCAAACGCTCTGGCTAACGCCAGAAACTAAGTCGGTACGGGGTGGTCAACACTCGATGTCAGTAAAGAAATTCGTACCGTCGACTACAAGTCGTTTATTCTTGTAGAAGGCAACGTTTGAGCTTCATCTAGTGACTAGTCGGTAAGCCATATGAAGGTATCGTCTATTCAAGGACTGTATAATGACGAGCCGATCGGACTCAGCCGGGCTACCGTCACTGGTAGTCGAGCGCTGCTGAGCTCAGATAGGCTTCTGGAGAAATTGGCAGCGAGGTTTTAGACAGGAAAAAGACACAACTGAACTCAAGGGAGAGAGCACTGACGAGTATCGTGTTGCTCGACGTATCTCTCTCCCCACCCACCGAGTTGAGTCGGCAAATTTGCTGTGTTTGTTCGTCAAGAGTAGCATTACAGAATTGAACAACTACTATACCACATCTCTTTTCGATTGTGATCGTTCACCTTGGTCATTTTCACCTGCTAGGACACGTCATGCTAGAGCTGCGTGATCCTTCTATCGACAGCTCAGCCACGACCATTGACACATGCGCAGGTCCTAAAATAAGCAGGAACAAGCTCTGTGTGGCACTGTGTGCCATCCTAAGTTACAAGTATTTAGTTTATAATAATATCATACTATGTAGTGATGTGGAATGGGGATGGGGTGCGTTCGTTTGTTGCGGGTTGGCGGTTGAGAAATAGTCACTGAGATGTCAGGTGTATTGACTACGGTGCTGATGTGCTTGTTGTGTGATACAGCAAATGCTTTGGTGTTGCTGAAGTGTTGGGGAGACGGAAGAAAGAGAAAGGGGAAGGCGGTGATTTCTGTGCAACAACTGCAACAACAACAACAACAACAAGTAATATGAACAATGACATAAAATTGAATGATGAGGAGGCGAATGGCCGATAACTTCATATGCCGCCGAGGAAGGAGGGTGACACTGACCTTAGTACGGTTACATGTCGATGAGTACAACGAATGGAGAAGTTGTTATGCGTGTCCATGCTACAAAAGTGCTACTTTGCTAAGGTCTACACGTGAGTAGCAAGTCCGCTACGAGTGATAGTCGATTAGCTACATTCCACTGCGACTTCAGTGCCCTATGCAAGCTGCCTTCGACCACAAAAAAGCACCATTGTGTCTTGAAAATGGCGCCCTTGCCAATATTGGCGTAAATCCGCTGCTTATACACCTCTTGTATCTGCAACAGCACACAGGATACAAGAGACGGCGAAAAGACGAAGGTGATGGTGCTGCTGCTGATGGTGGTGGAAGACGACTATCGCTGCTACAAAGCGTATGCATCTGTTTATGGTCACTCCTCGCCATATGTCGCTTTGAGCCAATCACGTGCGTGCATGACTTGCTATCTATTGAGCGGTCGCTGTTTCAGTGACCCAACCAAAGAGCGTGTCCCCCACTCCATTTCTACGTATCCAAAGAGTACCTGCTAGATCCATATAGCAGCGCGTGTGCGGTACACCTCTCGTGACGCACACATACTCACTCATAGTCAACTGCCGACAAAGTCGGCTCAATATCTTACGCGCTCCCACTAATAGCTTTGCCCTTCAGACTTGCAGTAAAACTGAGTCAAGTTGCCCATAGACGTGACTTTGTTGTATGGATCAGACGCTCGACGCATCTCGTGACAGTCCATACTGAATGTTGGACGTCATTACTTGTTCGCCATCTTGGATTTGGCCAGTCGCCTCTTCCCTCGGTCAATAGTATTCTCAGCAAAACACTGAGGCGCTGACGGCCCCGACTGAACCCCTTTCACCTTTGAGCTACTGTGGAAGTGTCGCTTGGTCGTCTACTCGCAATGGCACTGACTCTATACATTTGACATGTAGCGCATTAGACGCTCGCCGACACCATAAACCTTCATCCAGCCATGATCAACGCAGCTATACGTTTAGCTTTGCCGGGTAACAGCGATTCATCGCTCATCTTCGTGTCGTCCCTTTCGAAGGTGTTGTGTAGCGCGAACCTTTTTTTGTCAGCTCTTTGGATCAATTGCTATCGAAAGTTCATTCTCCTCCGTCCTTGTCGTCCATGACCTTCCAGGGGGTCAGACACTGCACGATATTACGCTCCGAACGTGTTGGATGGAGCAGCTTGCAGGACAACGATGCACCCGTCGATACGGTAGTTGACAACGATCGGAGCACACTGTGCCAATCATGGACCGCTCCACGCAGCCGTCACGGAGGCTTTGACGTTCTCTTACCGTGTAGAAAGGGACAACATGAGCGTAATGACAAGTCATTTGTCTATTGAATCTCTCGAGGTACCGCAACAAACCTGACGACGTGTCAACACCAAACCACGACAAACTGTCGTACGAGACGCCACAACGTGAATGCCAGTGGCGACGACGGAGTTGCCATACTGTATGTCCCAAGCGCAATTGAATTTGCTGCGTCTTTGTGTCTTCGTCGTGCCAGTACGACGACTGTAAGCGCATCGCGACGCGTCACGCCCGTCACGACGTCGTTGTTCTCCTGATTGTCAACGGAGAAATACTGGAAGCCGTCGACAGCGCCGAATCAGCGCAGTGTGGACTTGATCCAATAACTCGTATACGTGCCGCAGCTGCTCACGCTGTACCGGCGTCGTCAGTTTCTTTGAGTTCGGGCAAGTTCGTGTCGTCAAAGAGGACACGAATTGTAAGTGAGCAACTCGGGCACGAAGCGATCTCTTCGCCAACGTACAGATCCTCGAGATCGATGCTGAAGCGGTCGCCACATGGACAGGGGTAGTAGTACACTTGCTCCTCTACGTCGTATTCCATGTCTTGGATCTCGACTTCGTCGTATACCGCTGCCATCGTTTGTTGTAATCGCTTGGGATCTACGGCCGTAGTCACAAACTGAGATCAATGAATGGACAGTTAGTTGTCAGGTGTGCTGCGAAAGCGTCCCCTGTCAAAACCGATTGATTTATTCAAAAGAGCTGGTCGCTAATGCCGTAGTCGCCGATCCAGCTAACAGGACGTTACATGATCCTCAGCGACAGCTTTTTTTTCGAGTCGCGTCATGAACGACGTTAAACTGCTGCAACGACAACTGCTGCTACTTCGAAACATCCGTTGACCGCGTCGTCAGCACACTACGTCTTGCCGAACAAACGGGTCAAGAAACCGGGAGACGGAGTACCATCGTCGGCCGTTCCAGCCGTGACGTTGAAAGTACCCATTGTACCCACTGCCGCCTCGCTCGGCTGCATTTTGCGTCGACGACCTCCACGAATCGGCCGAATAACGCCGTCGCTACTGTAGATGGACCCACCACGAAGCGTTTTGATCGCACTCGTGTCGGCGCTTCCCATAGCAGCCATTAGCGCCGCATTTGTATGATTCAGCTGTGCTTCAAAGTGCGAGCGCTGCGCACCGCGGAAATCGGCAATTTGGTCGCGAAGGTGTGTGAGCTCCTCCACGTGCTTCTCTGCTTGTGTTCGCATGTTTCCAGCCATGATGCGATTGTTGATCTCCACTTGTCGAATGCGTTCATCTCGTAGAGCCAGCTTCCGTTTCGCTTCTGATAGTTCCAGCTCTAGTGACGCGTACTTTCGCAGCAACTGCCGGTGGACGGCGACAAGCTGCTCGAGCTTTTGCTGGATGCTCCGCATGTGCTGTCGTTCACGCGCTGACATGTTATTTGAGCTGACTGAGACACTAGTTGGAGAAGAAAGCTCCCCGGTCGATGCGCCCGCCCGATCAGCCCGCGCTTCGAGATTCTGAATTTGGGCCGTTTTACGATCGATGTCTTCCTGCAGACAAGTTTTCTCATGATCGGTCGACTGCTTCAGTGCGAGGTACTCTTTCTCGTACTCTCTCAGCTCGGCTTCGAGTGCCGTGTACTTGGCCTTCAGATCGATGTACTGTTGCAAGTCGGTGCCGAGTTCGGTGTGTTCCGTCGGCGACGCATCCCTCGATTTCTGCTCCTGATCCTCTGCAGCATGCTCGCCAGCACGGTCCTGAACCCTCTGATCTGCTGACAATTCTGTGCGAGCAATCATTTCCGCTGCCGCTGCCAGTTTACCGCCGCCTCCGGCCGCTCTTTGTGCCAACACTTCTTGCAGTAGCGCGTCGTACTCGCTCTGAATCGTCTCCGAGTGAATTTGAAGTTCTTTATGATCAAAATTGAGTTTGTCAAAGTCTGAGCGCAAATCCGAGTTTAAAGTCTCGCATCGGCGGATCTTCTCTTGCAGCGTCGTAGCTTGTAGTTCCTTCACTCTTTGCAGTTCCTCCGACAGCACGCGCTGCGTCTCGAGTGCATGGGCGTGCTCCTCTAGCTTAGCCGAGAGCAATCGGATCTCCTCTCCGCGTCGCATCGATTCTTGTCTCTCCTCAGCTAGCTCTTCGTCGAGCTGGGTCACTCTCTCCTGCAATTCTGCCAGCGCACGCCCTGCTCGAGCGGAGCGCGATGGTGGCAGTTCATCAGCTGTAGCATCTGGCAGTTCCAGCTCTTGGTCAACCGCGTCGATACAGCCGTCAGGTTCAGGTTTTGCATTCTCACCCGAGCCTTCGATACCAGCCATAGATGCTGCTTGACCTTCTCCGTCTGGGTCTTCTTTGACCGATAGTCTAGCTTCAAGCGCGATAATGTGTGTCTGCTGCTTTGCGATTTTCTTCTCGGCCGCAGCAAGTAACGCTTCGTACTCAGCAACACTGCGCTGTTCGTTGACGACTGCCTTGTTTGTAATCGACTTGGCACGCATGCCAAAGCGTAGCGTCGAAATCGTCTCCGATGCGTTGAAGCTGCTTGGCGAGACGTTGATTATCAACGCCGTGCGCGAGTTACCGCCGATCGATTCCTGCAGCACACGGGTGAGCTTGCTGTCGCGATATGGCACGTGAGTCATGTTCGAGTCAGTGAGGGCGTTGATGACCATTCCCAATGCTGACAGCGACTTGTTAATCGTCTTCGCCTCTTCAAGCTGACGGCCCGTTGCACCAGTCTTGCGCACCATTTCAGACCCGGCAAGATCCACGAGGTATAGCTTGCCAGCCTTTGTGGCTTGGTTCTCGAGGTTGCGCTGGAACAGCGTCACCATAAAGACACTGTGACTACGAGAACTTCCTTCGTTCATTCCTGTTGCTGCCACAGCACGGTTAGCAGCACCTGCGCGCATTGCAGCCAGCAGTTCCTCGTCACTCGTCACACACATTTCTGTCATTCCTTCGACGAAGATGCCGCGTCGCGCGTCTTCACGGACTTGGAGATTCACCTTGGACTTGTACGGATCCAGTAGGTCGCGAATGCGCTCCATGTAAATCTCGATGTAGCTCACTTTCACGATAAACTCCATGTTCTCGTCGGCATTCATGACATTGTTGAAGATCTCCGTCGCTGTGCGCGGGATGATGCCCTGCAGCTCTGGATGATCGATGTTGGCTCCTTCCATGGTGTACGTCTTCCCCGACGATGTCTGGCCATAAGCAAAGATGGTCGCATTGTACCCATCCATGATATCTATAATCACCAACAACAGCACCACCACCATCAACAGCACCAGATCAGTCTGCATCGACCCGACCCTCGCACGTGGCTTTACTGTAGTCCATCGTACCTTGGACTACTGGACGGGCCACGCTCTCAAACACTGTCTTCTGATTGTCCTCTTCTCCAAAAACGTGATCAAACGCAAAATGCTGTGCGTTTCCTTCACTGACCTGTACCAACAAAGTGCACGACACAGATCGCCATCAACATAGTGAGCTCTCGAACGAACGCTCTCCTCTCGTGTCCGCCGTCGCGATCACAGTGTGCAGCCAGCAGTCACGTGCGCCTCGTCTACCTTGACTTCAATTGCCACATTGTCGGTAAACACACAGCGCTGGGCGGCGGCCATCGTGAGCTCTTTGGCGTTGTGCGGACGCACACGGCAGTAGACGCGCACATTGCCCATCTCGCTCTGCAACAGTATAGGGACGACACGTCGACCCGTTCGCGACACAGAGACTCAGTACAGATAGAAAGTGAAGGCGCGAGTGGCTTCAGAGGACAGAGGGAACGCACACTGGCGGACGACGTGCGTGCCATGGGCTCTCTCTCGCTCGCTCTCGCTCTTCCTCGGCGCGACGTGACGTGACGGAAAAGAGCTCTCGAACTAGATTGTGGATCGTACTTAAACGAGACATGGCTTCATCGCACGCAAAAGGGACACACTATGGACACGGACGGTGCTGCGGGTCGGGCCACGGGCCCTGCGACAGGGTGAGCGTCAAGAGCACTGGGAAATGCACGTCGGGCACGTAATCGCCTCGAGTCTGCTGCAACGCTGTGTGTCGATGCACGATCGACGGATCGTAGTCTCGAGACTGTTCAATGGCAAAGCCGTGGCGCTTGGCCACGCAACAGAACCGCTCCATGGAGCCGTTGCGACTCGGCTGCAAGAGCAAACACCGGCCCGACGCCGGACGCAGCAGGGTCTTGATCGTGCACGCGAGGTCTTCGTGGAACGCTTCGAAGAAGAGACAGTCGCTGGCAAACACGAGATCGAACTCGTGCTGCAAGTCACTGCGCAGCTCAGCGGTACAATCCCACCGCAGCAACTCGGCCGAGAGGTCGATCGCTGCCGTCTTCGCGGCAAACACGTGCCGCCGCTTGTTCTCGTCCAGGCACAGTTGCAAGTTCTCGACACAGAGCGGATTGCCGTCTGTCACCAGCACGCGCTGGAGCTCCACGGGTGCCCACGCGAGCAGCCCCAGACTGGCCAGACCGACCATTCCACTGCCCAATTCACAGCACGCAATGGGCAGTGCATTGCCGGCTTTGTCTCGTCGCTGGACTCGTGAACAAACCCCACTCGACAGCATGTAAGACAGCAGAATCTCCTCCGACGGCCACGTGCGGATGTTGCCCGTGTTGTCCACGCCCTCGTACACTCGATGACTCAGCAGCTCCGTCATGGACACTCGCTTCGCGTCCTTGCGCTTCTCGTGGGCGTACACTCGCTTTGGCGGTGCGCTGCGCTTACTTAACGGTGCTACCAACTCGTAAGCTATCCAGGCAAAGTTCGCCTGGCCACGAAGATCGACTGGAACTTTGGCGTACACAGGAAAGAACTCGGACGCCACTACAGATGCAGTGGCGTCCGACGTGTCTGTGTATGTGGATGGAATAGAGCGACACACTGACTGCAGCAGCGCGTTGCGCAAGACGCGCCAGTGGCGACTTGTGCTGTCGGTCGTGCTCATCAGGACGACCCAACGAACCGTATGTGTGTGTGCGTGTTGATGTGCGCCACGCGTTACTTCTTGAAGTCGCGGTCTTCGTGAAGTAGTGGTACCGCGGTGTTCCGGCCGCGATGTCACTATTCCCGAATCGCACGAGTGACGCAGCCAATCTTTCTCACTTCCGCGCGAGTCCCCCGAGAAGGTCGAGATGCCGCTCGAATCGACTATGATCTGGTACGTTTGCCGCCGCTTTTCGTGCCAATGCGCATCTTCTGTACACGCGTCTGTCTTTGCCCGTGTTCTGCATGCCCGAAGTGTCGACAAGTGCCGATTATTGACGCTTCTGTGCTGTTTTTGACCGCAGTTTGGACAATTCCGAGTGGATGCGGAACGGAGACTACATTCCCTCGCGTCTCGAGGCGCAACATGACGCAGCGAATCTGCTGTGTGGCACCAAGACGCAGTCGAATCCAGAGAGCACAGTGGGCGTGCTGGCTATGGCTGGAAAGAGGTACAACAAGCTGCACGCCGAAATGTCAAAAACAGCGCAATAGGTTGAACGGATGTTTGACGCTGTGGTAGCATTCAAGTCCTGGCGTCCCCGACCGACAACATGGGAACGCTGCTGGGCGCGATCCATCGCGTCGAAATTGGCGGCACGATGAAGCTCGCGAACGCCATTCAGGTGGCGCAGCTTGCTCTTAAGCACCGACGCAACAAGACAGGTAGGTCTTTTCGGACGTGTCAAAAAGGCAAAAACGATATTTCAGACAAAAGGAAGGCGATGGCTAAGTGGGAATGTGTCTATTCGGACAGGTGGTCAGCGCGTCGTGGTGTTTGTCGGCTCACCCATCGAGGAAGATGAAAAGCAGTTGACCAGGATTGGCAAGTTGCTCAAGAAGAACAATGTGCGTCTTGCTGAGTAGAAGAATGGCTCGAAGAGGGTCAACCGATCTGATAGTATTGCTACTGCTGCTGCTGATGATGATGCTGATTCGTGTAGATTGCTGTGGATGTGGTGAGCATGGGCGAACTCGATGCCAATGCTGCCAAGCTACAGGCGTTCGTGAGCGCTGCCAGCAGCAATAACAACAGCCATCTAGTGACAGTGCCGTCGGGCGTGCTACCCTCGGACGTGTTGGTCTCGTCGCCTGTACTGCACGGAGACGATGGAGCTGCTGCTGCCGCGGCTGCGAGCGGTGGCGGCGGTGGCAACGGTGCTTTCACCGAGTACGGTGGCGTGGACCCGAGCATGGACCCCGAGCTGGCTTTGGTAGGTAGCAATGCTGCTTTTAGCCCTTGTACGATGGATGAGATCTGATGTCGTGTTCGTTGCAGGCCCTGCGAGTATCGATGGAGGAAGAGCGTGCCCGTCAAGAGGCTGCCCAGAAACGCGCAGCTGAAGCAGAGGCTGCTGCTACTGCTGCTGCATCTGCCACTCCTGCTGCCGTCGCGGCTTCTGAGCAGACTGTGTCTGCCATGGAGGCTGCAGGTGCATCAGTGTCGGCTCCCGCAGCCGCTTCGTCGGCGCCCCCTCCTGCACCGGCACCGGCGTCCAATTTGCCGTTCATGGACCCCAAATTCGTCAACTCATTGCTGTCGGGATTGCCTGGCGTGGACCCGAACGATCCGAAGATCCAGGCTGCTATGGCGCAGATGGCAAAGAAGGACGAGAAGAAGGATGGTAACGATGAAGAAAAGAAGGAGGACGAGTAGAGAGGGAGACCAAACGAATGATAAAGTGCAGCGCTGGCGTACGAGACTGCCGGCGCACGAGTCGTCAATCGAAACACCAGACGATCGATTGATTCGCATCGCGTCGACCGGTCCCGCACTTGCACTCACTTGTCAAATGTAACGTCGCCATTGTCGCGCGTCAACAACCCCTCGTCTCTTGTTGGGCTCAGGCGTTAGACGGGCGTACACACCCGTGACGTTGAAGTTGTCGTTTTGTCGCGTACTGGGCCACTAATGTGCTTGTCGTTGCACAAGTGCACTTCCTCGTCCCACATCGTTCTCACCTGAGCCCGCACAACACACATTGTGTCGAGCTCTGCCACTAGCCACTCACTAGACACCCCACTCATCCATCGGTCCATCCATCGATCGGTCAACCAGAAGTGAGGGTCACTTCTTCCCACGTTCTCTCTCTCTCTCTCTCTCTCTCTCTCTCTCTCTCTCTCTCGAGTCAACCATTTTGCATTCCTCCATTCTGGAATTCCTCGCCAGGTCGCATCATCACTCAGCCCGAACGACCGCGTTCCGACACCTATGGTGGGGCCTTTCCAGCGCGAGGACTCGACGTTGAGCGACGAGTCGAAGCGGTTCCTCAACTCGCTGCCCTCGACGTTCAGCAGCCACTTCCGGAAACACCGCCACTTTCTGCCCGCGTGGACGGCGCACACGTACTGCCTCCGGATCAAGTCGACGTTTCTGGTGTACCACCGCGCGAGTCGACCAGGAGGTCCGACGAGGTCCGCTTTCTGGCAGCAGCAGCAACACGCGCGCAAGTATCTCGACCTGCAGCTCTGCACGGTGACGCTCCTGGACGTCGACCACTCGACGCACGGGTTCGTGATCAGTCTCACGCTCGAGTCGAGCCGCACGCACCGCACGGTCTCTTTTGCCGCCGCCTCGGAGAAACACCGGGCGCAGTTTGCCGCACACATTGCGGCCGTGCAACACCAGCGCCTGTCGCTGCGAGCGTTCACGACGCTCAAGTTGCTCGGTCGGGGCCACTATGGCCGCGTGGTTTTGGCGTCGCGGGCAGCCGACCCGCAGCTGTACGCCATCAAAGAGATGAAGCTCGGCCCCGTCAAGACCAAAGTCGTGGTCGCCGAGCGCGCCGTCATGGAGTGGGCCAGCGGCCACCCGTTCGTGCTCGGCCTCGAGTACGCGCTGGCCCGGGGCCGCTCGGTCTTCCTCGTGTCCAAGTTCATGCAGGGGGGCGACCTCTTTGGGCACCTGCGCAAGCAGCGCGGCGGCCGGTTCCCTGAAGCCGCCGTGCGGTTCTACGCGGCCGAGTTACTGCTCGCGCTCGAGCACCTGCACCGGCTGCGGATCGTGCACCGCGACGTCAAACCCGAGAACGTGCTGCTCGACAGCTGTGGCCACGTCAAGTTGGCCGACATGGGGCTGGCAAAGCAATTGGCAGGGGCCGCTGCTGCTGCTGCTGCAGGACGGACCACGACGGCGTGCGGGACGGACATGTACCTGCCGCCCGAGATGGCCGCCCGAGACGCCGCGGGCCACGGACTGGCGGTGGACCTGTGGCAGTGCGGCTGCCTCGTGTTTGAGCTCGCGACGGGGTCCCCGCCGTTCTTCCGGCCGCAGTCGAGTCGCAAGAGCTTACGCCAGCGCATCCTATACGCGCCCGTGCAGTACCCCGACGACATGTCGCCCGAGCTCAAGAATTTGGTGGCGGCATTGCTGGAGAAGCGACAGGAAGACCGACTCGGCTACGACGGCGGCATGCGAGACGTCTGCGCGCACGCGTTCTTTAAGGCCATTGACTGGGACAGTGTCTACAGGCGGCAGCTCGAGCCGCCGCTGGTCCCCGGACCGCCCGGCGAAGAGCTCGTGGCGAACTTTGACGCGCACTTTACCGGTCAACCGCACACTATCTACGCGCCCGACGCGATCGCGAGCTGTTTGGCGCGCGACTTTGTCGGGTTTGACTACGTGCGACCTGCGCACGTGTTGTCGAATGGGGCACTGGGGTCGAGTCGCACTGCGACAGCGTCGACGTTGTCGAGTCGCGCGAGCACTGTGAAGGACGTGCGGGACAGTATGATTGAGTGCAGCTATGGACCGGTGGATTGCGAGTAGCCTCGACAAGTGGGGACGCCGCCTGGAAACCGAAGCGGCGGTTGACTCGGTCCAAGCGAGTCGAGACTTACTTGACCGTGCAAGTCAACCCAACCGACCAGGTGACCAACCAACTGGGACTGTCGATAGCTGTTCAGTTGGGATTGATCTCATTGTCATCGCGTGGCGTTACTGGACTCCGTGTCGGCTACTGACTGCTGTGTTTCTTGGCCCGGCGTTGGCTGTGCCGGCAGTTGTGTTTGCGACGTTCACTTCCGCCCTGAAGCCCCTCCCTCACCAGGTACACCGCTCACGAGATTGCATGGCTCACGAGATTGCATGGCTCACGAGATTGCATGGCTCACGAGATTGTGCAGTCGCTGCTTTCTGAGGTCTTCCGTCGTTGACTGCTGCGGACGGAACGCTGCTGCTGCTGCTGCTGCAAGTGCCGTTGACGCAGTTGTTCTTGTTCCTGCTGGCACTGACGCGTCTGCGCGTCCACCTGCCGCTTGTGCTCCTCGTAGTATTGCTCTGCCCGTCGCTGGGCTTCCAACTCTTCCTCCGAAAGCACCAATTGACCGTCAGCAGCAACGACACCAACCGATCCGCTCGTACTCGTGTCACGACCGTGGACAGCAGCATCTTGGCCACTGCTTTCGTTTCGCTTCACGCTCTCGACGTCGTGGCTGCTTTTTCCAGCTATGTTGTGTTCCACAGCATTACCCGAGTGTTGAGACGACGCGGGCCCGTTACCACGCGCTAGTTGCTCTTCCTCTTGCTGTATCTTCAGCGCCAACAGGTAGTCGGGATCAACGACGTTGTCTTTGTTCTGTCCAACAGACTCGCTGAATGAAGCACATCCCGCAAGGCTCAAGGCTCGAGCTTCTTGCAACGCCTGCTTTTCTTCGTCTCCCCCTCGCTCCTGCTGCTGCGTCAGAATACTCTTTTGCTGCTCGGACGACGTAACGGGTCGGAACTGCGCGTCAAGATACTCTGTGTCTCCGTCGATCTCGTCCAGCAGCTCCCACACCACCGTAGGCTCGTCAAGGTACCCAGCGTCGGTGACCAGCAAGTACAGCTTACCTCCAAACTGCATGGAACAATAGCCAGCACGCACGCAAAACAGTCAGAACACAGCGGACGACGAGCGAAAGCAATTGAGCGAGGCCGACATCGCTCGAGTCCATGACGGTCCGTACCTTGAAGAGAGTAGAGAAGTGGTTGTTGCGGAAGAAGACACACAGCTGGCGCTCTCGGATCCCTTCGTGCAGCTTCACGAGGCCGTAATATGTGAGTTGGCTTGCAGTTGAGCTAAAAAATGCATCGAGTACTGGACCTTCTTCGAGAAGCGTTGTGGCCGTCACCAGCGCATCCGCATCACTGATGTGGCGCTCCTTCATCATGGCCTGCACTGTTTGCTGCGTCGGACTCTTCTTTCGACATGACATTGACGCATCCGACTCAACGGGTTTTGGTCCATTTGGCGAGGCAGGCGCGCTAGCAACATGAATCGAAAGGTCCTCGAACCCTACCGTCTGGACCTCTAGCGGCGCTGGAACAGCAGCTGCCGCAGGCCCTGCGACCTCGTTCTCGACGTGTGCCACTACAGCATCCGGCCGCAACCCGTCGTCCATGTGCTTCGCCTCTGCTACTATCTTTTTCGTGTTCTCTTCTTCCGTCAGCAATACTCCACGGTAGTCCACCAGCCGCTCAATCAGCTCATTGTACGACTTGTTGCCCACCACTTTCATCTAGAACGCATGCTCGGGTTAGCTTCTACATACCGACAGCAAGTACTTCCGTTCGTCCATCCATCAGCAACGCACTGTCAGCTCGTCCTGATCATCCAGCAGCCAGCCATGGACCAGCTCCATGTCCAGCATGTCAAACACAGCACAGGCCACCGTGTACTCAAAGTCCTTGATACTGCAAGATCACAAGCACCAAACAACCCGTCAGCACTTCCTAGCGCTCTCGAGCGTCCCCCAATCTGCCTCTCTATCTCTATCTCTATCCCTCTACCTCGACACCCACAACTCACTTATGGAAACGCACGTTGACGTCCAGTCCCTCCAACATACTCGGCAGCAGTCCCACCACATCGTCCAGCGTCTTCTCTTGTGTCAGTCGCTGCAACTCACTCGCGTGACTCAGCTGCGTCAATCACATTCCCACAGCAGTCAGTCTTTCGTCCACCACTTTCCTCTCGCACCCACTCTCTCTCTCTCTCCCTCTCTCTCTCTCGTCCAATAGTCGCACCGGTGGGTTCGTCTCGAGCAGTCGGCGGTGGACGAGTTGCATCAGATCGTGAGCGCTCACAACGCCAAAGGACGTGACGACTCCTTCGAGCGTCAGCTGCCCGCGCAACAGCAGCACGTTGGCGATGGCCAGCAGCGGACACGGCCCGTTCGCGTTCTGACACACGTAGCGCACGCTCTTCCCGAGGAACTGCGTCGGCTTCACAGCGTACGCTTCGGCCATGACCGCCGAGGACAAAGTCGAGGCCTCGGCCCGTAGTACAGTTGATCTGAGTCCGGCACGTCGTCGAGCCCTAGCCCTGCTGTAATCAATTTGCACACAAAACCCTCGTCGTCGTCGAGCCCTAGCCCTGTTGTAAACAATTTGCACACAAAACCCTCGTCGTCGTCTTCGGCGTAACTTATTGCAGTGCGTACCTAAGGGATACGCGTACGTACGCACCTGACACACCAAGTGAGTGTACAGTTGACGTGCACGAAGAAGAAGAATGGACCGTAAGCGCCCCGAGCTCCATGACCCGCGCGTGCCGCGCTTCCCCGTGATCTACAAAGAGCCGACATCCGAGCAAGTACGGGAGAACATGAGCCGAGCCGATTTTATCCAGAGTGCTATCGTCGGCACTGTCTGTTTTCCACTCGGGTACATTGTCGGTACGTTTGTCTGTCTGTCTGTCTGTTTGTCTGTCTGTCTGTGTGTGGGTTCGTGCAGCTGCAGAGGGACAAGAGGGCTATGTGAATGTACGAGAGAACACTGAAGCTGTTTTCTGTAGCTCGCCAACTGGACCGCAGCCTCGCGCGTCCCGGCATGTGGTTCACGGGGATATTGGGTGCAGCAGGTAGCGTCGCGCTGGGCTTTCACAACTCGTCACTGCGTCTGCAGGGCTTCGGGCGCAATGACGAAGAGGTGGCACGTTACGGGCCGCCATCGACACAGCAGCAGCCATAGCGCTTTGTGTGCTCGATCATGTCAACACCAGCGGAACGGCTGTGGCTGTCTACTGGAGATAAACGAGGGACGTTGTGGCAGTTGCAATGCATTTGCAGTGTCTGAGAGATGCACGAGTTCAGCTCGCGACGATCGTTGACGTGCAAGTGCACGTGTTGCTGGATGAAGCTCGAAGACCCGGAGCATTCTTTGGGCGTAGGCGAGTATGTGTATACACTTACACTGGGTACCACACGATGGAGACAATGGGTACGCAACGACAGAAGGGCAATGCCACCGCTAGACGTAGGAGAGGAATCGCTCGGCATGCCGCAGATAGTGACGTTGTTGCCGGTTGACGCACAGTAACTGCTTTTCAGACGGTATACCTGGCCTTGTATACGTCTGTAAACCGTAACCAAATGATAAACTGTAGCCAAACGACACGAGCAGGTGCGGTGCCCAGTGGTGTGTGTGTCAATTACACAGCTTTGCGGCGCTGCTCTCGAAATGTACTGATCCGTCGATTCGGTCTTGCGCACTTCATATTCTTACTTTTCGCACTGGAAGTAACATCTGCGCACCACCCGCCTCGCCTTTTCGTCCGTGCCAGTCATTACCGAATTCCCTCTTCGATACTACAGGATGGAGCACGTGGACCAGGTACCTTTTGCTGTCTGAAGCTTACGACTGAGCAGTTGAGACACGCGGGAAGAGGAGAAGGGGCAGGAGATCGTTCGTTATGACTGAAGACTGAGGTGCCGGGCGGTAAGGCAGATAGCAAGTGGAGCAAACAAAGGGGAACAGGGAGGCGTTTGGCCCGGTCTTGTGGCGGTGGAAGCTGTCTGGTGGCTGTCTGGTGGCTGTCTGGTGGCTATCTGTTTGGTGTCGCTCTCGAGTCGTGAAGTACCGATTGCAAGACAGGCAGGAGGAGCTGAAGGAGCTGGCTAGCTAGTTGGTTGGGGTGATGGCCCACCAAGGCTGTAATCCACACACACACACACACACACAATCGCTTTGTGTATGGAGTGATTGCCGAGTCAAAGCAGGAAGAGGGAGACAGAGGTGACATTGCCGTCAGTGCCATCGACAGCGATGTCGTCTGTCTGCTGTGGCTGCAGATGGCAATGACGTCTTTGTCGTTGTTTCTCTCTCTCTCTTCTGCTGAGACTGCGAGACCCTGAAGGAAACGTTGTCAAACCGACTCATCATCGGCAGGTCCCCCTTGGATCTCTCTCTCAGAGAGGTCCGCACACTAAGCTGTCTGTATGCTGCCCCGCAGCAGTCAACGGAAACGAAGACAGAGCACTGCTCTCGCTCTTGTGTCCCTTCGCCCTCTCCTTTTGTCTTGCTGTATGCTGATCTGCCGGGTACTTACTGCTTGTTATGTGGTTGCGAAATGCAGACGGAGAAGGCTTACCAGAAGCAGCAGGGCGTGTTCCTTGCGAGCAAGAAGTTTGCCGGCAAGAAGAAAGGCCCTCGATTCTACAAGGAGGTGGGTCTCGGCTTCAAGACCCCCAAGAGCGCCATTGATGGCCAGTACGTGGACAAGAAGTGCCCGTTCACCGGCAACATTTCGATCCGTGGCCGTATCCTCAAGGGTGTCGTGCTGTCGAACAAGATGAAGCGCACGATCATCGTGCGTCGTGACTACCTGCACTTTGTCAAGAAGTACAAGCGTTTCGAGAAGCGTCACAAGAACGTGGCGGCGCACTTGTCGCCGGCCTTCCGTGTCAAGGAAGGCGATGTTGTCACGATTGGCCAGTGCCGCCCGCTCGCCAAGACGGTGCGCTTCAACGTGCTGGAAGTCGAGCCTGCTTCGGAGACCAAGCCCATCAACGTGCGCAAGCAGTTCCGTCAGTTCTAAGCTCTCGACGAGTCCATCGGTCAATCGGTCTGCTGAGGATGGATTCGGTTCTGGTCAGCTCAAGCTAATAAAAGTACGGTCCGCTTTGGATTGGAACGGGGAATTTATCGCATAACTGTGCTGTTGTGTCGGTCTTTGTGCTCGTGCCCACGTGCAGGAGTGCACGTGACGAGTCTAAGTGTCCGAACCTTTTGTGCCATGCAACGAACTGCGCAGTGTAGTAGCAGTGACTGTTGTATCGCTTGTTTAGACGAAGCGCGAAGTCTGTGACCAACTAGCAGTGAACGCAGAAATGATAGGGCAGGTTGGGTCTCGTGACAATGTCGATGGAGGTAGACACCGCGATCTTGGTATTGCCACCCACAAACAAGATCCGACGACAGTTCTTTCATGTGCTCAACTCGCTCAGTGCATTTCTGTGGGCGGAGCCACCGACTGCGCGGAAACGACAGATTGTGTGCTGTAGAAGCGCAGTCTGAGTATCAACGAGCACCTAAAATGCCTCGGTAAAGACCTGGTAGACACCCTGGTACTATTTTATCTTTTCACGGTCGCCTTCCGACAAGCATTCAGCGCCTTATCGTGCCTTCCACCAGATTCTTGAGCGTCGTCATGGAGATCTATCTCACTCCGTGCTGCGTGTCTTCATCATTGCAACAGGCTTCGGTTTCGTCTCAGACTACTGACTTACCTCAAGAAGCAATACATCGACTGTATCGTGTACGTTCTTTCAGAAGTACTACATGGTCCGCCCCAGTGCCATCGAGTCGTCCATCGACATTATACCATTAGTTGATGTAATTTCTACTCCAGTACGTCAGGTTCATCTTCGAACTCATCGCTGCGCTCTTCGGACAGCAGAAACGAGCCAAGATCGTTCGGGTACTTTTGCGGCTGGCCAAGTAGACTGAGCAGCACCGGCAACAGCGCCAACCCGTGGAAACAGCCCAGCACGACGATGCCCAAATACATCCGGAAGAAGTATACACGAAATAGCATGGATGGTGCGAACGCGAGCACACCGATGCCACAAAACTTGGTCAACGTGATGCCCGAAAAGATTGACGCGCCAACGCTGGTCAGAGCGTAGCGCGTGTGGTCGTCGGAAGTGCCTCCTACGTGACGTCGTCTAGAGAGCGAAAACTGGTGGGCCATGTGTACACAGAACTCCACGCCCAGTCCGATGCAAGCAAGAAGGTTGACTACCGAGATCGCGTTGATGGAAGTTTCAGCACTGGGTCCTGCAAGCAGATTCCACACGAAAAGAAACCCCAGCTGCGAAAACGCCATCGACAACACGCAAAAAGTGACGACAGCAGCCAAACGCAAGCTTCCGTCCATCAGCACAAACACCGCGGCAAAAACGACAGCCAATGCCAACAGCACACTCTGTAGCGCCACTCCTTGAATGTATGTGTACTGCTCTTCGAATACAAAGATAAGAGCGTACGGGAACGCAGTAGCGACTCGACCGGAGCTCCAGGCACTAGTCACATCGTGCAGGTAGTAGTACGAGTTTACAAACATGGACTGGTTACGCATCGCATTCAGCTGAAACCGCATCCGAGAACCGATGATGCTCAGGTGGTTTGCATGGCTGTCTTCATCAACACTTGACTCGTCAAACACGATGTCGCCTTCATACTGCGCACCACACAGTCCAAATTGTTGACAACAGGATGATCCAATCGAGATTTTCGTAAAGTTCTTCACCAACGAGTAGAACAGCGCATTTGGAGTCACGTTCGCTGCTGGTGCCAATGCATTGTACCCAAGAGCGGGGGCCAGGGAAACGTCACTATCCGCAACGTGTGTGACCTCGTACGGGAAAGGATCCATTGGCTGTATCGGGCAATCGCACAGACCTTGATTGATCTTGTCTTGAAGGAAAAAGCGCATTTGGCGCCACTGATTAAACGTGTGCAACCACGAGTAAATGGGCAGCTCAATGTACTGGCGCAAACCCGAGAGCTCGTCCAACAGAACATTCAGGTCCGTTTGCTGTTGTCCGTCGGTGTAGTCGATTGCACCGTCAAGGACGACATACGCCGGCGGCCCAGCTTCACCAAGCGCTGTCTGTCGTTTGAAATACTCATGCAGGTAAAAGTCGGTCGGTACCGCAAGCTCTTGCTGTAGTCCAAGATGCAATTCGGATGAGCCAAACGCACTCAGTGTTACGATCGAGAAGCCTGTCACAAGCACCAGTATCTTGGTGGAACGTTGCAACAAGAACGGAGTGTACGTCTTCTCGACAAAACGCTGAATCACTCCAGCACTGCCCGGACGTGTTGACACTTCTTCTGCAGAAACGCTGTCCTCGACAAGCAACTCATACTGGCGGTGAACCTTTGACTCATTTCTCTTGCTTTCCTCACTTAACGGCGTGGTAATGGGCGTTTGCTGGATCCACGGGAACACATCATATCGCCGGGCTCGCACGCGGCGTGCGTCTAGCACAAGCGCTGAGGCAAACCACGTCATTTGGAGCAAGAAGTTGGCGACAACCGCCAATCCCGCCACAACGCAGAAGCTCGTCAGCGCTGGTATCCGTGTGAGAACACCCACTGAAAAGGCCAGCGCTTCCGTCACGGCTGCCACCGCGATTGATGGTCCGACATTCTGCATGGTCTCTCCAGTTACTTGCTTCAACAGCAACGACTCATCCTCAGCTTGATCACGCATATTGCGGCTTTCATCAAGCGCCACAAGACCACGCCGTGCTGCCAGGCGGTCAAATTCGTTCGCCAGGATGAACATGTTATCCACACCAATAGCAAGCACCAGAAACGGGACGACTTCAAGCGTGATCATCGTCACTTTCATCTGCAAGATCGCACAGCTTACGCCCATCGCAGCACCCAGCGAGAGGAGCACAATCAGGATACCGGTGAAGCCAAGTCCAAAGCGCGAGCGCACTGGATCCTGAAATTTGCCCAGCGAAGCCGACACGTACAAAAACATCACCAGGTAGCTCACCACAACAATGAAGGCATTCTGCTTCGTCTGCACCACCAATGAATCAGCAACGGATCGTTCAGCCATGTACGTAAGTCGCACGCCGTCGACGCCAGCGTCCGCCAGCTGCTTATCTTCCACACTGTCCCAGATATACTCGTCACTATCGATGCCTCTCGAAGGCATGAGCGAGTGTGCCGCTTGCTCCGCCGTCTTGAGAAACACCTCCTTCTCCCACAACTCAACGTACCGCGTGTACGTCTCGTTCTCCGGCTTACTGTTCAGTAAGAACGTGACAATCAAAGCCTTCGCTGCAGGCGTTGCTTCTCCGCACGGATCTGGATTCGTGTGGCAGTCGTCTCGCGACAACCCGCCAAACACCACGTTCCTCATCACTGGCACGCCATTCTCGTCCATACACGGCGCGTGGGACTGGAGCTCTGGGTCTGTGGTCTGGCACGCTGCCGTCAACTTGATGTCTGGGTCGTTCTCGAGCAATGTGGCATTGCTGAGCCAATACTGGAACGGACTCGTGACCAAACACCCCTTCCCTCGGATCGGCCGATAGCAAAAGTCCTCGAGCTGCAACGACACATTTGCATTGTCGGCACTGTGTACGACAGTTTGTGCAATTTGGGTCTGAAGTGTAGCCATCTGTTGCAAAACGCGGCGTTGGACCAAATCCGCGGCCGAGTCACAAGTTGCTGCTTCAGGGTCCACTTCTGCGGCTGAATCCGAAATGGAGTCGTCGACGTAGAAAATGAGTTGCTCGATGCGGAAAAAAGGTCCAAAAAGCGCATCCACGCGCGCCTGTTCCTGAGCCGCGACGCTGTTTGGAGGGACCCAGAGACCCTGCGGATCCGTCTGCAGCTGCATGTTCAGTAGTCCCAGACAGAGGAATATGCTGCCTAGGAGTGCATAGAGTGCCGTGGGCACGGGTGACGCGCCACAGAGTGCGCCCAGGCGGAAGAAGACGCGCATCTGGAGAGCGGGAGGTCGACGAGAGCTGACTGAGTCCGAGGACCGGTCATGATGGGTACATTCGGAAGACAGTATCGGTATGTTTGACAGTGGCTCTGAAACGGTCGCGAAGAACAAATCGTGTAGGAACGCCGCGGGGTCGCGATCTATAGCTTTGAGTTAGAAAGACGCGTACCGGTATCTTCGTCACGGCCAAGAAGACAACAGAACTGTGTGTGCAGCGAGGTTAAGTGCGGTACTGACAATGAAGAAAACCCATCGGTCAGACTTAGAAATGCGGAATGTTGCCGCTGAGCGCGAACAACCTGTCGACAAGGTGCGATTCGTGTCACGTTGTAGGTAAGTACGGAAGCGACTTCGATCAAAAGTTGAGAACGAGTTCCAGCAGAGTAGGTCCAGACGATAAAAAGACCCATTTCCGGCTCCATACCACCAACAACATGCGTCTGCTACATGTCGGATTATCTCAGCGACTTCCATAGCATGCGGTACATCGGCTCGTCAGATCGGACCTGGACCATGACGCGCTGTGGTACAAACAGATCTCCTCCTTTCTGCCACAGCAACTTTCTGAATGACCCCGCGCACGTGCAGGAATTGTCGGTGGCTACATACGTCGCACATCAATGACAATCTGCCAGAAACTACGTCCTCCGCTTCACTCACGAAGAACGATACGACGCTCCAAACATTCATGGACTTGTAAATGCGGCCAGTAGCGACGGCATTTATGACTGATAATGAGCTGGTGGGCGTCGTCGATTAGGCGTGAATTATAGTTTGTGACAGACGACACCATGCGGACACTTTGTCGTGTGCATTTGCTGCCGTCTGACGTGACGCGCTTCCGACAGCCTTCGCTGAAGTTTCGCCAGCGCTAGAATCGAGTCTTTCGCATCTGCCGCTGCTTTGACAATGCAATTGTAACCGCATTGTATGATGAACCAACTACACGAATCATTGCACAGACGGCTCAGGTGGTTGCCTCATGATATACGACATCTTGCAAGAAGGAACAAGCGGGTGAGACAACTTGCCAGAAAATGGACTTGGGAGAGAGCTACTTCGTTGCCAACGCCCGTCTTGTCCGGGGTAGAGCTGCGCAAGCCCGTCAGCTCTGTCAAACGAGGCGCATCTTCTTCCAGTCGCACGACAAGTACAACGCGACCAGGAAGGCCGATCTTTGACAGCGACGCCGTTGACAATTCGATGAAGGCGGACGCAAGTGGACATCGTTTCGGCGCCTCCATCCGACGCGCACTTCCGACCGGGAAGACCGAATCGACCACAAACCGTTTTGTATATGCTCGCAGTGAATCGGGTTGATCGTCGTCTAAACTGCATACTGCGCGACGTAGCGATTACGATTGTGTAGTCGAAGAATTCAGGAGGCTTAGACTAGCAACAAAGACTGCGAGCTAAGGACCCAAATACATTCGCTTTGCATTTGACCAACAAGTGCTTAAGCGTACTTTCATTAGTAGGCACCCTTCCTCGTGCCACGATGTAAGGTCTGCGCTCTAAGTCGCAAGTTTCGAAGTGCCAGTCATGTCTTTGGGCAACAGTAGACCAGACTGTTTCCGTCAAGAGCGCCAGAGCAACGCATTCAGCAGCGTCGTGCTTTCCAGCGTTTGCCCAGCAGTCAAGTCACGTCTCCGGCTGCAAAAATCTTTTCACTACTCTTCTCGCTATAGCTGTTACATTCGTCTTCATGGCGTCGATTGTTCACGATCGCAAACTGAACTATCTGGTCAGATGCAGGGAATCTTTCTCGTCTTCGCTCGTCAGCCTCCCCGCAATGTTTTTTCATTCCTTTGTGCTGCATGTCGGTCTGCTTCTCTGCCAGCGAACCGGATCGAGATGGCAAAGACTGTGATAGGCAGCTGCTGAGGCACACTCGATGCATTCGACAGCAAGTGCAGTCTGTATGCGATCGCATTGTGATGCATCGCTTGGCTTGACCGGCAAATCGTGACATCTGTCGAGATCGCAAGCAAAGGGAGTGTAACCAACACAAGCGACAAGCCGTCATACGTGATCACTCTACAACATCCAATTCATGACGCTGGGTACAGCTATAGCAAGCAGGCGGTGAAACGCTTCGTGCAAGACGTCACATAACCTGCGGGCTCAAGACCAAAGCGCTTATAAACTAGCATTGCTTTTCCACGCACGTGATGATCTAGTTGGCGCCTAGCTAGCACCGGGTAAGCTAGAAGATCAAATGTCCCTACCGATTGCACTTTGGGCTGCGATTGTTCCTGCACGTACAGCACGCGAATGGAAGAGAAGTTGTGTCGACTTCCGAAGCTGTGCTGGGTAGAAAGTGGAGCTGATGCAAGAAACCTCCGGTACAACGGCTTTTGCGTGTTAAGCCGGACGAACCTATGGTCTGGGGGGAGACGTTCTTCCGCCAAGTGGCTGCATTCCTTGGTAGCCTGCACACACAGGTATGCACGTAGCGCCCCCACCGCTACGCAGAGAGACTACTGAACGTCAGTTCGTGTCCATCTTACTCGACATGCTCTTGCCCGCTGCCAGAACAGCGCTCCGCCGACATTTTTGCGGCAGCGTGATCGTTGCGTAAGAGAAGCAGATAGTGATGGCTCGTTGTGTGTGGACTGAGGCACGATGTTGTCGGCGCGCTCAGATTCAATAGTGCGTGCAGCCGTCCAGTAGAAGAACCCACCTTCGAGCGTGAACAACAGGGTCTCGAAAACAATTAGTGAGGTGATGCCTAGTCGGTACATCTATCTAGCAAAAGTCAAAACGGATGGCGGCAATGCAGCTGGATCAGCGGTGCTTCGGTCATTGTCAGCGTCATTGCGCTACAAACAGAGACGCTTTTGGCGTCGTCCCAGTGCTTGCAGTTGTAGACCGGGAGCAGCAGAGAGGTCGACTGGTTGCCTGAACCGTTTGCAGCAACATCATCTTGATCAACTCACAATGCCTCGTGCCGTACAGTCCAAACTTTCCAATGATCTCTATTTCAGTAGCGGCTTCATGCGGTAAGAAGCGTCTCCGAAAGCGTACAAGATATTCATCGATACGTACACGCCTGACCTTGACGAGCTACTGAGCACTCTTTCTTCGAGTCGTGAGCGCAGCACAAGATACAGCGTAATGCTGCTCCCTTGTGTCTGCTCTTCTCGACTGATCCTTGCAGACAGTAGTGCTCAACGCTTACTTCTGCTTCTTGAGCTTCTTCTCATCCTCCTCGGCCGCGTGCTGCTGCGCGAACTGCTCAATGCACGAGATCGCAAAGTACGCAATGAAAAGCACCATGATCCAGGAGCCAAGCTTCGAGACGAGACTGGTAGTAGGAGCCACGGCTGTACCCGCGTGCTCGGCAGCTGCCGTGACCTGTGCCGAGTGAAACTTTTCGCGACACTCGAGCAGAAACTCGCTAACTCGAGAGCCAAGGCCCCACTGTTTGGGAGTGATGTGTCCGATAAGTGCCTCCACTCGCTTCAGGTGCGCGTCCGTAAAGATGGTGATGAAGAACGCGGCTTGCACATTGACCTTGATCAGTGCTTTGCCAATCAGTGTGGCGCCAAAGAAGGTCCAGAATGGCATGAGAAAGTGTCCGCAGCAGATACCGCACAGGTCAAAAGCCATATTGGGCCAAGCTGACATGAGCAAGACGCCCCAGAAGCCGTGCTTCTCCAGGAACCGGATCATCCAGTCCTTCATGCCGTTCATCAGATTGTACTGAGACTTGGACTCGGCAATCTCCTCAAACTCTTCGTTGCGCTGCCCTGCGAGCTTCGCGGCACGACTGAGCGCGTACGGTGGAATCTCGCCCGCAGCCGTGCCAGCTCCCCAGAGCATACACGGCAGAAAGACTTTCCAAAAGATCGCAGCAAACGTGACGGTCGAGACGTGAGGGACGTGCGTGCAATTGGCTTCGAACGGGTGGAACCACATGTGGTGGCGCGTGTCAAAGTCCAGCGACCGACACTCCTGTGCGCCCTGCACCACGAGGAAGATGTGCGGGAAGAGGAAGAGCACGCCCGAGTGCATGCCCGTGCCCAGCCCGACGCTCGAGAGCACGCCCAGGCCGAGCCACCAGACCACAAACTTGACGCTCTCGTTGAGCTCGTCCAGGAGCGGTCGATGGGGTCCGTCCCGACTCGACGCCACGAGCCACAGCACCGCAAGCGGCAACAGCACGAAGCGAGTGGCGGCACTGCGCTGGGCCCCGAGCGCCAGCCACTTGAAGAAGCGCAGGAACACGATACTGAAGTGGTACAAGACGCTCAGGGGCCGCTGGAAGAGCGTCAGCTTCTTGCGCTCGTGGCGCAGCTGCTCGGCGAGACTCCCACACGCATCGGGACTCGCCATAGTCGCTGCTCTGCTGCTCTGCTGCTCTGCTCCTGGACGACCACTGACGCACTGCGAGGCCGAATGACGTGTGACGTCGTCGCAATTTGCTGTCTCCTGGCGAGGAGGTACGCTACGTGATTGGTTGAAAAACGGGTACGGTAAGACGAACCTGTTTTCGTCGAATCAGCTTCGCGGTTCGTAATCCTGCTGTTTCGTTCGTTCTCTAGCCGCAGTGTGTTTGGAATATTCTTGCTGCGCTCGCTTGATATTCTTGTACAAAGGAAATAAAGCTGCAGAATCTATCGTCGACAAGTCGCTAGTAGTGTTGTTGACGCACGCTATTGTGAATAGCGAGCGGCGCAAATAGAGCAAGCAGCCGGGCGTCCGTCCACTCGAGCAACAACGCGACCGCAAAGTTTCCGAGAAGTCAGTATAAAAGCAAGAGGTGCCTCCAAACGCAGGATGCAGAGTCGACTTCTTTACGCTCCTGTGGCACGACACCGACCATGATAGTGCCGTCGTGTTGGCGCGAGGAGCGGAAATTATCGATCTACACTCTTGGCATAGTGTGCAGCTTCAGTACATGCGCTGTGTGTTTCATCTGTAGTCGCCTACTCGCATCGTACTGTGATCGCACGTATTTGGTATTTCAAACTGCCCGTCAGCGGTACACTTTTTCGGACATGCGATGAGACAGACGTTGGATCAACACTCGTCTCGAAACTACGAACGTGAGGGTTACGTAGTCGCAGTGGGCTGAAGTGTACGTCAAAGAGCGAGCAGTTACATGCGATCTCTGGTCTTTCGCATCGCAACTCTTGCAACATTTAGATATACTTATGAGTGCATCTGTCGTAATTGACTGCGTCTACACGAAAGCCGGTCTTCGTCTGACGGAGTGCAAAGCTGACCCGACACTTGACTTGACCCCTTTTCCTCTTCACAACTCAGTCAGAGATCAAGCAAACAGACGAGATAACAAACCATCGGAAGTGCGTGGTAGCGGTTGTTGCTTCGACTCCATTCGAGCTTTGCGGCAACCGTCCGGCCGAATGCGGAACGTACACTATCGTGTGTTCGACGAAGTCATTCTTTTTGGTTGCTTCGTCCCGAAGCCTTGACGCCAGAGAGGCATTTCCTCTCAAGAACACCTCCGTACTACCTACCGCTGTGCAGACCGCTCGCCCCGTTTAGCTGCAGCTTCCTGCGGACTCGGAAGCAGCATTGTTGCTCTTTATGACAGAAGCCAAGTCCGTGCGTCATACTTTTGCTCGCGATGCGTTCGTGTGGGGGCGCCCGGTCATAGCGACACTTTGCACAGGTGACTGAGAAAAAGACAAGTGTATTGAGGTGATAAGGAGACACAAAGCGATCTGCGCTACGTGCTCTTCGTACACGCTATCAGATGCCGTTCCGAAAGAGATAAGAGACAGACGCGCACAGCACGAGAACTTTGACAAGCGCAGTGCTCCTTATGCGTGCTTGCCTTCATTCTTGGTCTTCGGCATGACGCGACGTAGAACAGGTGTAAGCACGCTATAGACAGCGAGTGTGACCAGGGGCATAGCGAGCAGCCAGATGTAGATGGCATGCAAGAGCGTGAAGCGAAAGAGGAGCAGCGTCTTGATCGTGTCCTTCTTGACGTCCTCCATGAAGCTACTCATGGCAAACCCGCTGTCTCCATCCCCTTCTCCAAACATAATGTCACCGTAGTAGCTAAACGTGTTCAGCCCACACAAGTTCGTCACGTAAACAAAAATTGATACAAAACGGATAGCGCTTCCAAAAACGCATGCGACATCTGCGCATCAAATAAGCACACGACGTGCATCCGTACATGAAGACGGGGATGGACGCAATGTTGAGTGGCGTGACAAGATAGTTGGTGAGCATAGCAGCCACGGGGTTCAGGCGGAAGAGAAAGATGGCCGCCATCACGGGCACAGTGGTGACGCCAGGGACGGGGAAAATGCCACCGGAGACGCCAAAGGCCATGGCCAGTGCGATGCTACTCGGAGAAGCTTTGTCGATGCATACATAGAGAGAGAGTGAGTGAGTGAGCAAAAGGTAAACGGGAGAGCACTCAGCTACAGAGAGAGAGAGAGAGAGAGAGAGAAAAGTGGACGCACCGCCAGACTTGAGCAGCTTCAGGACCGGGGCCTTGACTTTTCGTTCGAAGAGGGCGCTCATGCTTTGCCGCTTTGCCGTCGTGTGGGTGCAGCCAGCCCTAGCGAGAGATGGACTGCAACTGGAATACAGTATAAGGCGCTACGAAACGCAGTCTCAAAAAATAGGGAGCTGTATTTGCTGAGTGCGATCTTTTGCTGATTCTACGTCGAGCAACAATTTTTTTCCAATACAGAAGTGTCCATATCATGAGACGCAGAGTTGCTCGAGTACGAGAACGATTGGCGATAAGTTATGCGAGCGATATGCTGCACAAAACCCGCGACTCCGTACGCAACATCGAATCCCGTATGACAAGGTTTGTACTACTGTATAAGACGACAGTGTACGTCCTAACTCTATTCCAGCGTTCGATGTTATGGGCAGAGCCTCGAACTTCTGACAACATATCGTGTTTACAATGGTCTTCACATGTGACTGGCGATCCAACATTTGTAGCCGATCTGTAGATAGGTCCTGCATTTCCGGCCACCGAAGAGGGTACATCAGTGAGTGAGAAGATGAGGTATATTCAGGTACGCGAACGACCCGCTATATCCTGTCTACAGGCATCAAAGTCACCGTGCGAGACCACTACTTTATCTACTATGTAACGGGGCACACCCTTGCGTAACTTAACGCAAGGGATTTGGGTGCCCCGACGGACGTACACGTGGCGAGCGAGGAAGCGTAGGTAGGGTAAAAGTAGAACTGTTATATTAATAAATTAAGTCTTTAAACTACTGTCTCTTCGTTTGACTTAATTCAATTATACTAATATAACTGCATGTATGGTGACGTCTCGTCACCACTCATTGCGCGCGTCTTGCGGCGATTGGTGGGTTGATATCATCACGATATCAACCAATGAACAGACCCTTTGGTCGACCCTTCAATATCACCACTTTGGTGATATTGTTTAAAGAATATCCATCTTATATTCTTTATTGTCACTTTCCTTAAGTGACAATATCATGTAACGGGCTGCCCCGTTACATCACCCCCCTTAACTGATAGTCACCGTATGACTATCGAAATATGGAGGCCACCCGTTGGCCACCATTGGGACAGGGAGTACTTGTTTGGTCCGTTCCACTCACTTTCCGCTTGACCTCGCATAGCTAACATGTCTATGCGAGGTGACTCAAGACCCACACAGCCTGGTGCTGTGCAAGCCTCTGCGGCAGACGCTTCGTCGTCTGCCGCCCCTTCTTCGCCTGCAGCAACAGGTGCTGCAGGTGCACGCGGTATCACGCCGCGTGCGTATGATGACCCCGATGTGGAGGTCATCTACTCTGGCGAGTCAGACGTGTCTGACTCGGGCAATGCTCCAGAGGCGTCTCGCTCACCGGCGACGCCTCAGTATTCGCCAAGGCCACTGCCGAACGAACGGACTCGTGATTCGCATCACAGTCTGTTCGGCAGTGATGACGATGATCAGGGTGGTGAGTTCTATTCTTCACCACCGCCGGCTCGTGCGTCTTCGCACGAGCGTGTTGACGATGGCGCGAGCCGTCGTCAATCTGGGAGCCGTGGTACCGACAAGGGTACCACTGTGAAGCGTGATGAGTTGAAGCCGTGGCGTTTGCCCGAACAACTCATCAATAGCCTGTCTCACGAGACAGGCCAACACCATCGAATACCCTTATTCGATGCAACCGAGCTTCACGGCTTGAGTCCCAGCGCGAAGAACTTTCGCGCTGAAGAAGATTTTTATCTCGATGTCTTCCTTAGACATCGATGGTACAATAGCAACCAAAAGCGTGACAAAACATCGCTTTTGGCTGCGTGGAACGCGTTCGTCCAAAACGTAAAGAATTTTGGACGAGAAGGGTGGCTCAAGAAACTTGAGGCAACACGCCTCAGGTTCGAACGGCGAACGCCAACCGGTGCTAGGTACCGGTTGCATTGTTTATCGAGTGAGGCAGGCATTCCTTGCCTCACATGGGGAGACCCTTGTGCGAGTTGTGTTGACAACTCGCAGCGTGCACATAGGGATGTGTACTCCCTAAGTTCGCCCTGGGGAAGGGCACATCTCTCGGAGGAGATGCGTGACGCGATTGCAAACTTGCAATCCGTCTACAAGCGCCTAGGGCGCGTGTTTACCGATGGGCCACAGGACTCATCGGATGGGTCTCGTCATACTGGTGGACGAGACCTTCAACATCCATTAACAGCTGAGAGCGGGGCTCCCAGCTGTTCCAAGAGGGTGGATACCCCCGCCACTGGACGAGGTAGCTCGTCCTTGATCCTGAATCGTCACGGTGATTCAAGATACGCTCCACTAGAAAGCGTTGATCACCGTGAGCATCCACCAAAGGATGTGGTGGAGGAGGAAAGACCTCCTCCAGAACCCCAGGCCCACCATCTCGACCCTTACGAGATGGATCGCGCAATCGATGAATTGCGCGATGACTTGAAGCACGAGCGCGACCGACGCTACGCTTTGACCGACACCGTGCGGAAGAACCGCAAGGATCACGAGGCTGATCGGGCGAGGGATCGCGCCGATTATGCCACGGCGCAGCTTCAGGTCGAGCGGGATGTCCGCTCCTTTTCGGCGAGCTGGCGACAGCTCGCGGAGAGATAACTCGGTTGAATACCGAGGTATCATATCTGCGCGACCAGACGGATCGTCTGGAGCGCGAACGCAAGAACTTGATGGATGTTCTTGAACGTGGGGGCTATCTTCATCGGAAGAAGAAGGCCCGTACTGACAGTACGACCTAAGCCTCCCCACGTAAAACGTAGGATGCGTGCGCATCCTACGTGGCAATTCGAGTGTGTATGCATTGCCCTTGCGATGCAACACTCGAAATGGCCCAATGTATTTCGGCAGTAGTTTACTACTGCCGACACTAGTGACTGCATGTCCAGGTAGGTTTACCGTTGACAGTAGTACTAGGTCATTAACCTTAAATGAAAGAACATTTGCTCTTCCATTCTTGTCTGCGTTCCGTTTCTGACGGTCCACCGCATTTGCGATGGAGTCCTGAACGAAACGGACTACCGCTTCTCGAGTCAGCAGGAAGTTCTCTGCTGACTCTTTGTTTTGTCTAGCAGTGCGCTTCGTGCGCACTGCTAAGAGATTGCTCTCTTCTTCAGCGAGGTTGTCTTCTTCCTCGCTGGCATAATCGTTGGCGATGCTGAATATACCAGCATCGTCATCATCATCCGAATCAATAATAGCGTCTTCGCTATTATTGAGATGATCTTCTTCATCGATGTCGACTTGATCGACATCGGCATCATACGTGACGACGTTTGCGTCGACACGTGATGAGCAAGAGCCAAAACGGTTTTTGCTCGAGCGAGTCCCTCCCCCCTTATCCAAGAGTCACACTCTAGAAGGGTGGGCACACGTGGATGGCGTAGGCCATTCACGTAAAACGGTGTGTGCTGTGTTGAAGCATGCACCGAATTATTGATGGCGAATTCCACCATGGGTAGGAATTCGCTCCAACTCGGAAACGAGTGGACATATCCTCGAAGAATCTCTTCGAGGACACGGTTCGCACGTTCCGTCTGACCATCTGTTTCTGGATGGTCAGAAGTGGACATCTTCAATCGTGTTCCGAGAGTACGGAACACGGTTTGCCAAAATTCCGCCGTGAACCGAGGGTCACGGTCGGATACGAGTTCACGGGGTAACCCGTGGAGTCTAAAGACCGTGTCTAGAAAGACACGAGCACAACCTTGAGCCTTGATTGACTCAGGGACAGCAGCAAGATGGACCATCTTGCTGAATCGGTCCACAAACACAAGAATACCATTATTCTTGTGAGCGTCTTCGGGAAACCCGAAGACGAAGTCCATTGAAACGGACTGCCAGCACTCTGTCGGAACAGGCAGAGGCTGCAATGGCGCACGGGATGAAGGACTAGGCTTCACCCGTTGACATACTTCGCAAGCACGGATGTACTTGCGAACAAACTGATACTGGCGGGGCCAGTAAAAGTCGCGACTTACCGTGAGGTAAGTCTTTTCTCTACCACGATGGCCGCTTGTTGGGGCATCGTGACACTCATACATGATGCGCAATCGCAAATCATGATGAGCGGGTACGACGACACGAGGCGTGTCGTCGGCAACAGCTGTATAGTACAGCAATCCGTTGCGTGTACTATACCGATCCGATGAGGATCGGTACAAAGCCGGTAAATCCCTCATGGATTTACTGGATGGATTCACCAGATGATCCATCAATCGCAGAAGATCCTTATCTTCCGCGTATGCCTTTCGTACGTCGTCAAGTAAACTTGACGACGGGACACTGACTGACAGTGTCGCAACAGTGGGCTTGTCCTCACTGTTGGATTGCGCGTCCGGCTCGAAATCGGGCCGGCGCGAAAGAGCATCCGCGACGACATTGAGTCGTCCCGGTTTATACTCCACGGAGAAGTTATACTCCGCGAAGAAAGACAGCCACCTCGCCATTCTTTGCGAGAGGTGTGGGCTGTTTACGGCCGTGCGTAATGACGCATGGTCCGTGTAGACAACAAACGGTCTATCTCCCAAGAGATAGACGCGAAATTTAGCCAGTGCGTATTTCATGGCAAGGAGTTCCTTGTCATGCACTGGGTAATTACGCTCAGCTGCTTGCAGCTGACGCGATTGATAACAGATGACGCGCTCCGCGCCATCTGCATCGAACTGCATTAACGCACAGCCGATTGCGAAATCGCTGGCGTCACAGACCACATGAAATGGTCTGTCCTGATCTGCAATCGCCAAGATCGGCGATTGCATCAAGCTTTGCTTGATACCTTCAAAGGAACGCTGGCACTCAGCGTTCCATGACCACTTGACATTTTTCTTGAGCAAGCAAGAAAGATGTACCGTCATCTCGGCGTAGTTGCGCGAGTACTTGTGCAAGTACGCCGCAAGACCAAGGAACTTTCGAAGTCCCTTGACATCGACTGGCACTGGCCAGTCGGTGATCGCCTTGATCTTTTCGGGATCAGGGCGTACGCCGTGTTTCCCCACGATGCACCCAAGAAGTGGTATTTCGCTAGCCGCGAATA